ACAACCATAAACCGGTTGGCAGAGTCCCGGTCTTGCAAGGCTTCTGTATATACAATACCGGGTATTGTACTATTCCCTGATGTGAACCAACCCTAAGGCTGTGTTTACATGAGAAATTTCAACCCGGGTCGAGTTCAGCCCGGGTTGAAAGTCTGTACGATAGACAAAAGAGGTGAGCGTTTACATGAAGGCAGTTGACCCGGGTCAAATACTGATATGCCGCCAAAAGTCCACTTCTACAGTCCTGTATGGTCACGTGAATCCGTTCGCGCGAAATTTGCATCTGCAGTGCCGTTCAAACCTGGCGCGAGATACGCACAGAAGTACGTTTGTACGATTTTCTTGACCCGGGTTGATTTCAACCCTCCCCTTGGGGGGAGGGTTGAAATCAACCCGGGGCGAAATTTCAACCCGGGTCAAGCGCAATGCGTCATGTAAACGCGCCATTCATTTTATGCACATGGCGGGTTGAAAGCTGACCCGGGTCGAACTCAACCCGGGTTGAAACGCCTCATGTAAACACCGCCTTACAGAGAGCCCTACGCGGTACGCACACAGTATGACTATGCCCAGGCTAGGGCTCCCTGGTTTGGACGGATCTTCGTGGCAACCAGGGAGTCGTAAAAGCCCGGGAGAGGACACGGGATGCGCGCACGCGGACGATGTTTGCCTCGGCCAGAAAGTGAAGCACGCTAGGCCGGCGCGGCCGGATCTGCTCAATCCACTGCGCGGTGCTCGTCTTCAGGGCAGGGAGTCCTAAAATACCAATATTTTACAACTCGTTGTCGATCCGAAACTGGTGGCGAAGGAATAAGAAGCATAAACATGATTGTGTGTCTGTCTGTCAGACTCAGTACACATGGTACAGGGGGTGGGGAGTTGAGTGTGTGTGTGTGTGGGGGGGGGGGCGTGTGATGTGCACATGTGCTTGTACTTTTGTGTGTGTTTGTACAGTGTTTGTGTGTGTGCGCGCGTGCGTGCGTGCGTGTGTGCACATTTTTGTGCACAATTCCGTTATGAAGTACAAATGATAGGTTTACCTTTTGTACACTCGCCAAGACTTCGGTTAGATTCACTGAGAACCTTTCTGGCCAACCTGGAGGCTGAGCCTTCCGTTTCCTAAACGGCTAAAGTCACCGCGTACTCAGTATACGAGTAGAAAAGTGTTGAAATTATCAAGATTTATAAATAACGACCTGCAACCATGTACAATGTAGATAGATAGGGAACAGACATTGATTGTTTTTAAAAGAATCCAGGCAATATCATGAATCATGGAACGAGTGCGTAATAATGCACTATGTTGCGTTTTGACGATGCTGAAGGAAGGGAGCAGTTGCGATTCACTCACAACACACGCACAGAAGTCCACTCGCCTGCAATTTCAGTGCAATTTCTGACACAAATTCATAACTCCACGAGTACGAGGACGCTCAGCGGATCTCCACAAGAACTTTCGCCCATCACCTGCAATGGAATATGGGCTGTATGATACGACCAGCGGCTAACACGGGAAGTGGCTTCATTTTCCACAAATCTCGTTTCATTCACAACCATTTGACTGCAATTCAGTGCAATTTCTGCCACAAATTCAACTCCACGAGTGCGAGGAAGCTCAGCGGATCTCAACACGAACGTTCGCCCATCACCTGCAATGGAATATGGGCTGTATGATACGACCAGCGGCTAACACGGGAAGTGGCGTCATTTTCCACAAATCTCGTTTCATTCACAACCATTTGACTGCAATTCAGTGCAATTTCTGCCACAAATTCAACTCCACGAGTACGAGGAAGCTCAGCGGATCTCAACACGAACGTTCGCCCATCACCTGCAATGGAATATGGGCTGTATGATACGACCAGCGGCTAACACGGGAAGTGGCGTCATTTTCCACAAATCTCGTTTCATTCACAACCATTTGACTGCAATTCAGTGCAATTTCTGCCACAAATTCAACTCCACGAGTACGAGGAAGCTCAGCGGATCTCAACACGAACGTTCGCCCATCACCTGCAATGGAATATGGGCTGTATGATACGACCAGCGGCTAACACGGGAAGTGGCGTCATTTTCCACAAATCTCGTTTCATTCACAACCATTTTGACTGCAATTCAGTGCAATTTCTGCCACAAATTCAACTCCACGAGTGCGAGGAAGCTCAGCGGATCTCAACACGAACGTTCGCCCATCACCTGCAATGGAATATGGGCTGTATGATACGACCAGCGGCTAACACGGGAAGTGGCGTCATTTTCCACAAATCTCGTTTCATTCACAACCATTTGACTGCAATTCAGTGCAATTTCTGCCACAAATTCAACTCCACGAGTACGAGGAAGCTCAGCGGATCTCAACACGAACGTTCGCCCATCACCTGCAATGGAATATGGGCTGTATGATACGACCAGCGGCTAACACGGGAAATGGCGTCATTTCCCACAAATCTCATTTCGTTCACCCCAACTCAAATAAAAGTGAAGTACAATTAGGGATTTATCTTGCATTTCCATCGCCTCAGAATAAATTAACTTCGATAAACTGAGAGAGAATGAGTGAGGCAGCTGGAAGAATTGAGGATGAAAATAGAGATCAGAAAACTCGACGGAGCAATCGTCTCCGTGCTCTAAGAGAAATCGGAGAATGTCCCAATTAGTATTTCAAGAAGACATCACAATTTTCGAAAATAATAATTTCCTTGCCTCGCAACACCGTTCCCTGGCAGCGTTCCCCGGCAGCGCGAGGCAAAGATGTTTTCTGGGAATGTGTGCCGTGTCCTCTCCCGGGCTTTTACGACTCCCTGGTGGCAACAGTTACATAGTCATTACCAGGGAGTCGTAAAAGCCCGGGAGAGGACACGGGATGCGCGCACGCGGACGATGTTTGCCTCGGCCAGAAAGTGAAGCACGCTAGGCCGGCGCGGCCGGATCTGCTCGATCCACGGCGCTGTGCTCGTCTTCAGGGCAGGGAGTCCTAAAATACCAATATTTTACAACTCGTTGTTGACACCATATCCAAAACTGGTGGCGAAGGAAGCATAAACATGATAGACCCTTTGCACAATAACGGTCACGTGATCCGAGACGGGGCATCCTCTTCGATTTTTGTGCAGAGTATCAGTTGTTGAGCATGGTGGAACACTGTATTTTTCCATTTTGGAGATGGAGGAGAGAGTGTCGAGTGGTTTGCCATCGATGGCCTTGGAACCCGTGGACGAACTGTCAAATGAAGATCGGTTGTGTAAGGAACTGAACAGTTTTCTGCTGAATGAGGGTGCGTATCTGTCTGGAAAAAGAAGGAGTTGTTGGAGCGGTAAGATTTCCGCATTCAGTGGATATTTCGGATTACTGTAGATTGAAATTTATTTTATTTTCTCTACCTTCTCTCCTCTGTCGATGTAGAGAACACTTCTCTATGCAGAACCCTGATGCTCCTAGAACTAAGAAGGGCACCACTTCCTCGAGTGTACCTTCATCATGCCCAACATTTCATGCGTCCGAGTGGATGAGTGATGAACCTCTGTTTCCCAGAGTGAGTGCCACACCATGCTTGCCGGCTCATCTCCAACGCAGGGGCAAGTCGCCGACGACAGTGAAGAGGGAGCTGATGGAGTAGTACTAGTGAACAAGCCCGTGGATAGTGTCCATGAGTTTTACTTTGGTGGCTATGTGCATAATGTGAAAGTCTGTCATATCGTGAACACAGCCACAGCTCGAACTCAGATGACTTTCTCCGCACACCTGAGCGATGAGGCCGCGTCTCTCTCCACTTCAACATCAGCAGCTCGAGCAGCGCCAGCAAGCAGTCGATCTTCCAATAGCGAAGACAGGGATGGGTCATGCTTTTTCTCAAGCTCCAGAGTCTCTTGGCAGGGCGTTCCATATCTTCGCAAAAGCAAGGATGAAAGTCGTCATGGACAAAGTGTTCCGAACACAACACTGTAAACGATATCGCAGCACTGCGGCCCTCTTCTCGCCAGATAGCCAGGATTCCAGAGTGTGGAATGCCAGCATCACCAGGGAACGCATGGAAAGACAAGTGGGCTCCTTAGACTAACGTTAGGGATGACGGTTGCTGCAAACAAGAACCCAACAGTGGTCCTTGGAAAGCATTTCGGGACTTCTTCCTTCAGAACTAGAAAAACTAACTTCAAAATGAAAAAAAGGCTGGGGAGTACATACATGAACATCGCGTCGGGACCGTGAAAACACAGCCTGTCACAGGAAACTTGATCACGTCCTGCAGCAAAACCATGCATGCTGGTTGCATGCCAAGTGTGCAGCGCGTGCACAGCATGCCCCGTCTCGACCCCTCTCGCTTATTGCGCAAAGGGTCTATTGTGTGTCTGTCTGTCAGACTCAGTACACATGGTACAGGGGGTGGGGAGTTGAGTGTGTGTGTGTGTGGGGGGGGGGGGGGGGGGGAGGAGGAGACGTGTGTATGATTGTGCACATGTGCTTGTACTTTTGTGTGTGTTTGTACAGTGTTTGTGTGTGCGCGCGCGTGCGTGCGTGTGTGCGCATTTTGTGCACAATTCCGTTATGAAGTACAAATGATAGGTTTACCTTTTGTACACTCGCCAAGACTTGGGTTAGATTCACTGAGAACCTTTCTGGCCAACCTGGAGGCTGAGCTTTCCGTTTCGCCTAAAGTCACCGCGTACTCAGTATACGAGTAGAAAAGTGTTGAAATTATCAAGATTTATAAATAACGACCTGCAACCATGTACAATGTAGATAGATAGGGAACACACATTGATTGTTTTTAAAAGAATCCAGGCAATATCATGAATCATGGAACGAGTGCGTAATAATGCTCTATGTTGCGTTTTGACGATGCTGAAGGAAGGGAACCGTTGCGATTCACTCACAACACACGCACAGAAGTCCACTCGACTGCAATTTCAGTGCAATTTCTGACACAAATTCATAACTCCATGAGTACGAGGACGCTCAGCGGATCTCCACAAGAACTTTCGCCCATCACCTGCAATGGAATATGGGCTGTATGATACGACCAGCGGCTAACACGGGAAGTGGCGTCATTTTCCACAAATCTCATTTCGTTCACCCCAACTCAAATAAAAGTGAAGTACAATTAGGGATTTATCTTGCATTTCCATCGCCTCAGAATAAATTAACTTCGATAAACTGAGAGAGAATGAGTGAGGCAGCTGGAAGAATTGAGGATGAAAATAGAGATCAGAAGACTCGACGGAGCAATCGTCTCCGTGCTCTAAGAGAAATCGGAGAATGTCCCAATTAGTATTTCAAGAAGACATCACAATTTTCGAAAATAATACTTTCCTTGCCTCGCAACACCGTTCCCTGGCAGCGTTCCCCGGCAGCGCGAGGCAAAGATGTTTTCTGGGAATGTGTGCCGTGTCCTCTCCCGGGCTTTTACGACTCCCTGGGCGCTACGAACCGTTCTGTACGTCGACATCGCTGGCTGCGCACACGGCAAGCACGCATAGAAGAAGGTGAGAGTGTGAACCAGGGAGTGCTAAAGGGAGTGCTAAAGGGAGTGCTAAAGGGAGTGCTAAAGGGAGTGCTAAAGGGAGTGCTAAACTGAAAAATTTCTAGTACTACATGTAGTAGTCCCTGGCGGTGTGAACGTGGTGAACAATCCTGCAACAATTTATTGCAAGACGTGTGGGACAGAAATGACAGCATGTGCACAGAAGTCTGCGTGCCTATTCTGCATAGAACCTGTGTGATGCGGACACCTCCTTTGTCAGGATGCCTCCAGGCTTCACTGGCCAGGGTGCGTTGCTAGCAGGTGCCCCGGCAGTCGAATATTGCGTCTGTCTTCCTTCCTGTGCCGATCAACTAAACTTCAAGTACAATTTTGGCCGCGAAGAAATCCTACCCATGAGTCAAAAGTCAGTGCCGCGTTGCCATTTCTATTTTATTATACACGGTCCAAAAAAACAACAACAACAACAACAACATCCGAGGACCGCAGGGGACGCATGAGCCAAGGCGCTGCTTTCGGCGTGTGGGGCGGATTTCTTTGGCCATGACTGTACTTCGCCACATATCACTTTTTTTTACATGGTAAAAAGGGTGGCAGCCCTCAGCTCATGTAGCTATCGAGCGACATCAATCTTGGTTCAACTGTACGCCGTGGTGTACGTTTCGATCTACTCATGGTCCGACTGCCTTGCTAACTGCCGGCAGTTGCTATGGCTACCATGCAGAGGCGTTGTGCAGGCTGCGGTCACTACGGTATTGACCGCACCACTCTTTGCCCCGGGTTTTGCCCTGTGAATCAATAAACTAGGCATCGATGTTGGCTCTATAATTATATTGAAAATGTCAGAGATGCCCCCCCCCCCCCCCCCCACACACACACACACAGACACACGTAAAATTCAATTGTACGTCAGATGGCTGGAAGTACCACCCTAAATCCTCTGACACCCGCAGAGCCGTGCCAGGCGTTGCCATGGTTGCTGTGCTTAGAAGTGCAGTACCCATGGCAACTGAAGAGCGCACGGCACCGCGGGCTGGATAGAGCCTACACCTACAACACAGTGGGTAGAGACGAGTATGTGCTCAGAGTCACCTGCTAAGCGATCACCAGGCCAGGCCGTTCTCCGCATTGACGGTAGATTATCCAGGGGCGTCACGGGGCAGTGTGTGTGTGTGGGGGGGGGGGTATAATAGGGCTTGAAAGTGCTACGTCACTCCATAGCAATGGCATAGCAACAATTTGAAAAATTCGAAAACTGGATCCACCTGGATCCAGTTTTTGTATGGATCCAAGCACATTTCAAGCGGTCTCACTCACAGCAAGGTGATGTTGCCAGTGAAACTGACTGATTTGGCTAGTGGGGGCGGGGTGACAACTGGTGGCGAAGTAAAAGTTGCACCTGCATACGACATGAGTGGGTTGCTATGCACCCACATACTGAGGCAATAGCAAAGTCACACCTTAGTGGATCCAAAATAGAAATCTGATGTCAATTTACTACTCCCAGGCCGTTTTTGACGTCATCACTTTCAAGCCCTATCGGGCATCCGGCGGGGGGGGGGGGGGGGGGGGGGAAGAATTGGAATTTTCGGCCAACAGGGCAGGCACGTTTTAGCGCACTACAGGCACTCTGGGCAGACCATCCTGGACGAAAAGTAGTATGACCATGGTCATACTGGTCGCACCGTGTTTGACGCACATGTTATCATTTGAGCCGTGACGATGGTTTCACTAATGTAAATTTTAATTCTCTTGAAGCGAATCACACGTACATATATTAACTACACACACACACACACACACACACACACACACACACACACACACACACACACACACACACACACACACACACACACACACTATGTCCAGTGGGATTCGCGTCTACTCCGAATTTTTGCTCTCTACAATCATCGGGAGACACCGGAACTTGTGTGTGTGTGTGGGGGGGGGGGGGGGGGGGAGCTCTGGAGTGCTCATCTGCCAACACTCATATTGAGCACTCTAACGTGTCTTCAAGGATCATTCTGTGTGTGTGTGTGTGTGTGTGTGTGTGTACGTGTGTACACGTGTGTGTGTGTGCATGTGTACACATGTGTGTATATGTCAAAAAGAGGTTTGTGTACGTGTGTATGTGTGTGTGTGTGTGTGTGTATGTGCATGCATGCGTGTGTGCATGTGCCCATCGTGTTTGTACTCAGCAGCTGCAACGATGCCGACCACGTACAATCCGTGGAAAGACGCAGACTTTCTCAAACTGAAGCCAGATCTGGCGGAGAAGATGGACAATCGGACCATGAGAGTCCTGTGCGGATCCGAGCTCTTGATCTCCAGTTCAGATGAGAAGAAGCTCCTTGCAACAGGAGAGGAAATAGAACACAACGACCTACTTCTCGACCTACTGCAGAAGGGGGATGCTGACTCGTTTAGGATATTTGATCGCATGCTACGATCAGACCGCATTGTTAAGTTCAACTTCTCCGAAATCTATCCACGTCTTGACGTTATTCTAGAACGTAAGTGCACTTTCTTTGCGAGTACGCGCGTAACAACATGCAAACCTAGAATTGGCGTGTGCTTGTGTCCATGTGGCATGCATCGTTTGCTCGTTTCCGTGAGACTGCGCAGGGGCGTCGGAAGGTATTTTAGTGTGCTATGGTCAGCAATCTGAAGTACAATTTACTTGTGGGGGAGGGGTGGCTGAGCCGGAAAAAAAATGGAAAAAATAGATCCCAGATCAGAGTATTTTATTAATTCACGAGGTACCTGGGGCAAAAAGTGGTGATACAGTCAATACCGTAGTGACAGTACCGTGTCCGTGAGACTGCAGCAGCGCATGACAAGATTTTTCCTCCACAGCATGTGTGCTCGAACGCGTGTATTCAGACAAATCCATGTACAGTCGACTCCGGATAATTATAATGAACGACGTCATGCGGGTGACTCAGTGGATTGACTCAGTGGATTAACTCAGTGGATTAACTCACTACCGTCTTTCTGACATTGCCACTCGAACTTGACAATAGAAGCTGCTTTTCGTATGTGCAGTTACATTGAGCCATAGCGTTTTTGTCTTATGCTTGTGAATCCTTCCCGGAAGCAAATGCTGGTTTTTATGCATTCGTGTAATTACTCAGCGTTATTTGCAATAATAATTAGTGTTGAAACGAGCGTATCTATAACAAACGAGCGATCAGTTCCACTAACGAACAAGCTATCGAGCGAGCTAACGAGTTTCATTGATGTGGCAAATAATGATTTTTTAGAATATTTTTTCCTAAGTTCGATTTTTTTCAATTCAGCTGGTCCAAATTATCACCGCCGGCGTTTGGTGATGCTGCTGCTTCACTTCGGACTGCTGTTTGGTGTCGAGATGTCTTTTCAGTGCCGTCGTTGAGCAGCCTTTGTAACAATAGACCGTTTTGCAAAGGCTGTTGCCCTGTTCTTCGCTGCATCGCGGGAGAAAACTTCCAAACGACTGAGCGTAACTTTCACTCGAATGGAGAGTAGACAGAAGTTTGCCCTGCAGCAGGTCAGCAGATGCGGAACAAGACATCAGTGGAGTCCACCAAAGCTGCAACGACAACTGAAACAACTCAGTGTCGTGCAGGCGGCATGCAGTCACTGTAACTGCGAGTGATTTTCACTTTGCGCGGGACTGGACTCTCGATCGACCAGGGAGTCGTAAAAAAATTTCCGACTCCCCGCTCGACTTGTACTGCCATGTGTACGGATTACGGTGTACGGTGTTCGTTAGTGCAAACGAGCTGGCCGCACAAACGAGCCGAGTTTCTGGCGAGCGAGCTAACGAGTACCCGGTGAGATCGTTTCAACACTAATAATAATAATAATAATAATTAGCTCAGTTGATTAACCCTTTAAGAGCCACAGGAAAATTTCAAAATTCTGCATTTTTTCGTGTTCCTTGGATCATAGCTTCAGTTCTACTCACTCAATCCTCACAATCTAGGGCTTCCTGGAACGGTCTCCGCGAGAGGAAGAGAATGAGGTCGATCATGATAGCTAGCACACTGTCTATCCAGCGCTAGATCGCAGCGACAGTACGAAAAATGCCCCAAAATGCGTCCAATTGCGTCCCGCTCCAGATATTTCATTTTACTCGATCGTGGAGTTTCAATTTTTTCGCTGTGTACTCTTGACAAAATCTACAGTGAAACCCGTGCAAATTCGAGTAAACCAGCGTGACGAAAAGTCTCAAAATTCTCAATACTAAAGTCGCACTGCGCGCTTTTGAAATTGCCGCGATCGCGGCTCAACTTACGAGTGATTTATCTCAGGAACCGTTGCTCCCAGCGCTTCGCGGATTGTTTCTCCCGACAGGTGAGAGTTTTCTCTTTGCCCTGGATATTTCTATCGATGGATTTGAACGAGATTGGACTGAGTTACGATCTTTTGAAGTTTTGCATTTGAATGCGTCGTTTACGACGCATTCAAGTATGGGGCGGCTCTTAAAGGGTTAACTCAGTGGATTAACTCAGTGGATTAACTAGCACAATCCCCTTGCTCAGAAGTTTCCGTTCATCTATTCAACAATTCATAGGGTATCCCGTAAAAAGGCCCTAGGCCTGTGGGACTGCCCTATTCAAAATTTAATAATAATAATTAACTAGTTAGATAACCGCAATCAATAAAACTAGCTGAACCGACATTTGTGTACTTTATTCATGCAATGTAAAAACGGTGGAGACGATGTGCAATAAAACGATGAAAATATGAAGAAATGGTGTAGGGAAAAAATATATGGATTCAAACAAGTTTTCGTACAACACTCATCAGGAATCGTCGTTGTACTAAAGGACACTGAAACAAAAATTGAACTATTATAGAAAATCTAAGTTACAGAAATAACACTAAGAGCAACAACAGTGAAATTTACAAGTGTGAATTTTAACAATCAAAGCGAGAAATGAACAAAGGAGAAAGGAAGGAAAGACAACGTGATAACACATAACAGCAGTACATTACACCTAGAACATTAACGGCCAAGCTTGGCCGCACTAAACACGACACGTTACTTGAACAATTTCAACCCAATTATACTATCTTTCTGTACACACAAATTAGGCTTGTACAGACGCTGATAGATAGCTTCCAACACTTTTAACTGCAGTCCATAACCATGACGACCACGGCACAATACAGTGAACGAAGAGTCGGAATACGAATTACAACAATCAGGACTAGCTAGCAGATGATTGTACACTGAAGACTTGCTACCACGAAACCTACGCACAACACTAACACTCTCACCGGCATTCTCACCATCACTCCCATCACTGCTCTCCGACTCACTGCTCCTTCCGCCGTCCGCTCCATCCTCCGCTTCCTCTGTACTCTCTCTGTCTCGTCCATCCCGCCTGACCGGGTCCATTGAAGTCAACTCGGCCGTCACCCTGCTATCACATCCCTCCTTTCGCCCTTGTCCGCTGAGTGCGTAGCTTCTGTTGTAGTTGGCTGTTGATCGTCTTGGTCTTTCAATTGTGGGCTTGGATGGTGGATTAGTTGTGGTTGCTGTAGATTGCGTTGTTGGTGTTGGTGTGGGAGCTACTGATATGCAAGGTGGGTCTTTTTGAGTCGGCATTTGTAGTGTTAATGCAGCTGTCAGTGTTGCTCGCGGTCTCCCACTGGCAAGCTCCACCGCCGCAAGAACCGATGGTGGAGGATCGGGAGGAGGCAGTGGGACCGGGACCGCAAGCGGCACCACCTCAGCCTAAGCCGCCGGGGGCACTGACGAGGGAACCACCGACGGCCGGAGCAAAGGCGGCGACACAAGCCGACCCGATGAGCCACCACGCCCATTCTCCTCCCCCACCCAGCTGCAGCTGTCAGTGTTGCTCGCGGTCTCCCACTGGCAAGCTCCACCGCCGCAAGAACCGATGGTGGAGGATCGGGAGGAGGCAGTGGGACCGGGACCGCAAGCGGCACCACCTCAGCCAAAGCCGCCGGGGGCACTGACGAGGGAACCACCGACGGCCGGAGCAAAGGCGGCGACACAAGCCGACCCGATGAGCTACCACGCCCATTCTCCTCCCCACCCCAAAATTCACACTTGTAAATTTCACTGTTGTTGCTCTTAGTGTTATTTCTGTAACTTAGATTTTCTATAATAGTTCAATTTTTGTTTCAGTGTCCTTTAGTACAACGACGATTCCTGATGAGTGTTGTACGAAAACTTGTTTGAATCCATATATTTTTTCCCTACACCATTTCTTCATATTTTCATCGTTTTATTGCACATCGTCTCCACCGTTTTTACATTGCATGAATAAAGTACACAAATGTCGGTTCAGCTAGTTTTATTGATTGCGGTTATCAAATTATTGTCTCCTCGCCGTGTGTTTAACTAGTTAGAGCCGTGAATTAGTGCCGGCTATATGGACTCGCTTGCTGCGGCTTCAGTCACCACTGTGTTCCACTGGTATAGTAATGGTACGAAAGGCTCAGTCGAAACTATAATTCTGTGCTTCGTGTGCTAGTCAGTTTTTTTTATGATGTATACAACGTACAGAACAGAACAACAAGGCCGCACACTGGCTACATCCTCCGGTATACTCTATATTGTGTATAAGTACAAAGTTTCGTTTGGAATGAACTTTCGCTATAATTATTCATTAGGGGGGGGCACGAAATTACTAAATTTTGTACCAAACTAACATTTTTTTCTTATGAACGTTCGGGGTGACAGACCTCGACCAGAAACGAAATTTAGTACGTAACGAACCTGCTGGTGGAGTGATCTAACGAAAGATTTCGTAAACGAAAATTTGTACTTATACAGTAGCCAAAGTTCGTTATCACAGAAATGAACTTACACTGAATAAGCAGCAAGTCATGACTGGCATGTGGACCATGACTGGACTGAGTTCACTCGGTTTACATGCGGCCCTTCAAGATAACGGTCCAGTAATCGGTATCAACGGAAACGGTTCGCAACGAAGGGTCAATTTTTGGATGGGTTCAAACAGGGGCGACGGTTTGCTATGGCACAAAGTTCACTATATGCGAGTTTGTTATAAGCGAGTTTGTTACATGCGAGTTTGTTATAAGCGAGTTTGTTATAAGTGGAGTCGACTGGACGGCGAGTGATCTGCTGAGTAGATGATATGCCGAATAACGTGCAACTAGACTTGCTAGGGCATTGCAGAGTAGTGGCATACAAAGTTCAAAGTTGTACTGTTACCTGTGACTTGTGCTCCTGCAGAGCTCAGGGCCTACCATGTACACATTGTAGTATGATTTGTATGCAACTTGTGTGCGATGCCCTCCCAAGTCTAGTTGCACGTTATTTGGCATATCATCAAGAGTATATAACCCCCCCAAGAGTGTGCAACTCCTGATACCCTTTCTATGGGGTACGGCGACGGCGACAACTCACACCACGTGGTGCAGTGTCGCAATTGTACGTTTCTCTCTCTCTCTCTCTCTCTCTCTTTCCCCTCTTATCAAACATACATGCACACACATGCACACACACGCACACACACACACACGAACATCCACACACACACACACACACACACACACACACACACACACACACACACACACAAACACACACACACACCTCGTTGCGCCATTGCTGCAGGCATAGACAAGCACCGTCAGCATGGCCAGGCTGCACCAACAGGAACAACGTCAGCAACGACCGGCCAATCCCAGACTGAATCTCAGCAGGGACGCGGAGCAACAACGGCAGAGAGTGTCAGTGATGGCAGAAGGCAGCAATCTAGCGACGGGGCAGGTTTGAATACATGTACGTAAAAAGAAACTGAGTCTGAAACTGAGTTCTACCAGAGTAGTTTAATAACTACTCAATCTGCTGACAGAACCTTTAAAAAAACTATATTTTTAGATCTTGCAGTGCAATGTGTCGGTGCTACTTGTATGTATTCGTGTCATTCATTCATGATGCACTTCCTCCGGAAACGAAAAAAACTGCACGAACTTCTATTCACTTTTTTTAGAAAGGAATTACCAAGCTCAAGAAATGTGGTCCAGTGGAACAAAAGCACTTCAGGACAATGAGTGAAAGTCTGCCACATAAGGCTACTGCGAAGTTCATACATGTCATGTGCAACATTGGCAGTCCAGTCTGCACATACATGTGCAAGTATGCAGTGCAAAGTCACAGGCAGGCTCTACTCACTGTCTGTACTGTGTTTGGCGTGCATGCACGTATATGCACTGCATTCGAAGTGACGTCACGAATACTCGAACGCGACTTAACCCTTTTACGGTCTCACATTTGAAAATCGATCACCGGTGATCGATTTTTCAAACTATCGTAACTCAGTCTATTTTTGAGCAAATTCGCACATCTAAATATCTGGGTTGAAGAGAAAGCTCCAGGCTATCCGTAAAAACAATCGCCGAAGCGATAGAGTGAACGGCTGCGATGCTACGAAGCTCGCGATCTGCGTCACGGCTCATTTACGATTTGAGTGGGCGAGCTGGGTCTTGAGGACGGGTTTTTCCCTTTGCAGCTACCTGTCGCCATAGAGACACGGATTCAAATGAGAGTATGGACTCGCTGCACTCCTCACAAAAAATATGAGCTCGATGTGAGCAAGGTCAGGGAAATGGCTGTTGAATCTTGTTTCTCGTCGTGAATCAAGCACTGGGGCGATGTCGCTGCGCTGCAGCGCTGGATCCACGGCACGCTTGGTGTCGAATTGTAGCTCGGCGTGTTGCTCTTGTCCAGAGCCGCAAGTTTCCAGAGAGCCCAAGATCACGAAAATAAGCGAAGGGAAACTGAAGTTATGGATGAATCAAGGTACGAAATTGTTGAATTCTGTAAATAGCCTCATTTTGACTGGATTCTGAGACCGTGAAAGGGTTAAAGAATATTCGAAGGTGACCAACCGAACGAATATTCGAATATTCGTTTCACCAATTTAGGGGCCATCCGTAATTATCGATCTATTCACGAAACGAAAAAGTTTCGTTTCAGGGTGGGTGGGTAGCGGCCGGTTTCGTTTTGAAAAAACATCGAAAGCGGAAAAATCAACGCGCACTGCATGCATTGATGCATGCATACATTGTGAAGTAGATCGACAGTACGTCGCGCGGCCAGGCAAGTGCTGCATGGATGCACTGATACCACTCTGTACTTAGTGCAGTGAGTTCCTTTCGTCCTCGGATGACTTCTCCGACGAGGACCTAGCAGTCGCCATGGTCATTCACTCTGGGACCGACGACAGATAGATAAATACTTCGTTCCAGCCGCCGATGCAAGAGAATTTCAAATTACGGAGCGGGGCGCACGCCAAGTAAATTCTCACGCCAATATGGGGAGCGCCAGCCGCTGAAGACGATGTCGTCGTAATGTACCTGGAAGAATCTGATCGTGCTTATGGTGGGGAAGCCATGGAGAGTGATCCCCGTGTCGACAGTCTTCCAGAGACGGAAATTTAGGCCATCGACTTTCTACGTACCTGATTGACGGCAGCGCAGCGCGGCGTGCGTGCGACCTTACAGAGCTTTCCGACAGCGATTCTGGGGCGATGCTGCTCTCATTTGCGAGCGAGGCACGACCACTGCAGTCTGTGATAGCTATGGCGTTTGTTTCCGCTCCGAAGTCGACTTGTTTTGGCAGTATCATGTCAATGTCGGAACTCTGACGATTTGCAAGTGTACAATTCCCGTGTTTAGGCGTAGAGACTAGAGGTGCGAATTATTTAGCAGTGTATGTGTGTGGTAGGTGAAAATAAAATGTTTCCATGGTCAAGAAGTAGTAGAGTCTACCAGACTTCCGAGAAAACATAACTTTAATACTTGCACAATCACACAAAATGTGGCCTCGCTGTGTTGTATACATGTAACAGCCAATCTACAGTAGATCATTTTCTGCACAAAGTCTCAAGTCAATTAATTTGTTCGTTTCAGGGTGGGTGGGTCATAACTAAACTTTTTCGTTTTGTGAAAAAGATCGATAATTACGGATGGCCCCTTAGTCCCTTTTAAAGGGGAAGTTAAGGCAAAAATTAAAATTTCACCAGTTGTAGTCTTCGGGGTGCTGAGTCGAATGGTCGTGGTCCGAGGAAGCTGAGATGCTCCCTTCCTACTTGAATCCCAATCGAACTCGCGCACTTCCACCGAAACTGGGTGACTGCGCCCTACTAGATGGGGATTTGTATGCAAAATGTCACTAAAAGCGCCATTTCGTTCTTATAAAAGCACGGATGACCGCGATTGGCCCATATGTTGTAGTCTTTTGGACGCTGAGTCGACTGGTTTTGGTCCGAAAAGGCTGCGATGCGGCGTTCCTCCTTTATTCCCAATCGAACATGGTTGAAGAAGCGGTCACGTGCTCCTGGGTGCCCAAATCACCTGGTCACCACGCCAGCAGGTGACAACTTTCACACCAAGGTTCAACTCGAGTTCAACTCGAGTGACAGGACTGCACCCAAAAAAGGTCAAACAGGCTAGTAAGTTGTACCCTGCAGGCACGGTGACCAGGTGACTGGTGTACGCAGGAGCACGTGACCGCTTCTTCAACCATGTTCGATTGGGAATAAAGGAGGAACGCCGCATCGCAGCCTTTTCGGACCAAAACCAGTCGACTCAGCGTCCAAAAGACTACAACATATGGGCCAATCGCGGTCATCCGTGCTTTTATAAGAACGAAATGGCGCTTTTAGTGACATTTTGCATACAAATCCCCATCTAGTAGGGCGCAGTCACCCAGTTTCGGTGGAAGTGCGCGAGTTCGATTGGGATTCAAGTAGGAAGGGAGCATCTCAGCTTCCTCGGACCACGACCATTCGACTCAGCACCCCGAAGACTACAACTGGTGAAATTTTAATTTTTGCCTTAACTTCCCCTTTAAGAATAATACCCTTTTCCCTTTTAGGCATAACACCCTTTTCCCTTTTAGGTGTAAATACTCTCTTCCCTTTAAGCACCACCTTTTATACTAAACTTCTCGGGCAACGAAGGGGCTGCGGCTTAAAATCGACTGTGCCATCCCATTTGTCGTATGACGTACTAGTATGTGAATAATTATATTAACTAGTTAGTGATGGAAAACCTTACACACACACCATCTTCAATCCAAGTGGTCTCTTCGCTGCAAAAATAATTCTCAATCTTGAGAATTATGTTTGCAGCGAAGAGACCACTTGGATTGAAGATGGTGTGTGTAGGGTTTTCCATTTAATGAAGTGGCTGCAGTGGAGCTTGCGCATATTAAGAAATAGTTAGTGATGCTCTGCTCTATGTTACGGGAACGTGACGCGAACAGTCCCGGGAACGCTCTTCGGCGTTCTCAAGAACCAAATACAACAATGTGCGTAAAATGTGTGTTGTATGGCGGGGGCCAGGGGAAGAAGGCAATAACATTTTGTGTTTCATGTGTGTGTGTGTGTGTGTGTGTGTGTGTGTGTGTGTGTGTGTGTGTGTGTGTGTGTGCGTGTGCGTGCGTGTGTGCACGCATGTGTGTGTGTGTGTGTATGCGTGCGTGCATGTGTGTGTGTGTGCGTGTGTGCATGCATGGTTGAATGCATTTGTTTGTGTGTATTTACTGCTGTACATACAGAGAGCTGAAGCCTTGTGACTGGCAGTAGGACGGTTAACATGGTGGTCATGGCAACTGATAGAGTGATCTGTTTCTCACATACATCCGCACACAACCACAGTCATCGATTTGTTCTTTCTAAAGAACTATTTCTCCTACTTCTACTTCCATGTACATACGATTACTTTTAAATGATTCACCTCCCACCGCTTAGTTAGGAGCTGCATCTGCGCCTTGATCCAAGAGGGTGCTGGTGTTCCTGCGGATGTGGAAAACTCGACCTTTGGCCGTGAAACCGTGAAATTTTTGTTCACCAGATACTGTTTTCGCCTGGTACATTTTCAAAGATAATTATATTTTTTTACGCCATAGTTCACCATGAGGGCTGTGTTATCAAACCAGAATGCTGGATTTCCCCGCGCGTGCCCTTCGCTCCATGCACAGTACCTGACCCATGTGTAGAGTCTAGATAGATTGTTTGAGTTGTGTTGAATTGTTGTTCAATTTCTTTTTATTCTCAAAAACATATCTCTACATAGTAGGGCTGAAACGATCATGGATTTTCACCTATCGATTACTCTTGAGCTTAACGATCGATTTATCGATTATAATCGTTAGCAGATAGTGTCAGAATTTTGTGTAAACATTGCTCTGTTTCCGAAATCTAAGCCATTATAATACCACAAATTTGCATTAGTGACAGGGTAGCTCAGAAACATGGTAGTTATAAAGTCAATATAACCTCAGAATGTGCACCATGCCATTGGCAACTGCATACTCACAGTGGAAACTGATTCAAACTTCACAAAAACGAGGGTTTTCAGTACTTTTTGGACTCAAAATCCCTAACGAGTAATCTATAACGTAACGATTACTTGATTGATAAGGAATTATCGATCGATTACCGAGTAATTGGTAAAATCGTTTCAGCCCTACTACATAGTCTATCTTGGTGACTTAGAACCTCGCTTTAGGTCCATATTTGCCAACGTGTCTAGTACTTCGAAGTACGTATTTGAGCTTAGACCCTACTGGTAAAGCAGCGCACTAGTCCGACGTCATCATGTCGAATAGCGGAACATTTTTTTTAAATTCTTTTCCGGTTGAACCGGTGTGCACATGTGCTCGTAGCATTATCAGGTTCTGGGCGGCCTCATTTCTGTCTATCCCGGGGACTTGAAGTTCTCAGTCCTCTTTGGCTACCCTTTTTCTCATTTTACGATGCATTTTCAAAGCCCAGCTTCTTTAATTTCTTCTTTTACAGTAAATATCGGATATAACGTGCCCTTTTGATTTTCGAAAAATTATCACTATATCCGGTGCATCACTATAGCCGATTTGCATGTTTGACCGACACATGGCACATGACTGCACATGAAATGATGCGTACACGCTGGAAAAAGCATGCTGAAAGTGCATGCATGCTCCGCAGACTGAGTACCGGTGCATGACACAGAGCAGTGCATGGCAGTGCAGTACGAGTACAGACCAGGGAGTAGTAAAATACATTTTACTACTCCCTGGTACAGACTGTACATGTACTAATACTTCGATACGTCATGTGGCATGGCTGCTTCTTCAGCGTGTTCTCCAAAAAAAAAGCCTGAGCTGGATCCGTACTCGCGTACTCGGTGTCCAACGAGATCAAAAAGAGATCATGAGTAGACCTACGTCGAGTGACATTCGTGACAGTAGCTAACCTGAAAGTCTGGGCTTCGCTGTCCTTCCTGTTTAGTTGCCAAGTTGCTCCCCAGTGAAAGGTCTGGTCATGGAGCCTCCGCCGAAAAAGAGAGTTTGTCTTTCCACTGAGAAGAAAGCTGAAATTGTAGAGTTCGTAGAGAGAAACCCTAGCGTGTCTCAGTCTGCCGTAGGAAAAAAGTTTGGTGTGCCTCAGTCGAGCGTTTCAACCATCATCAAGCAAAAAGATGCGATCAAGGAGCGAATGTTGTCTGGTCAGAAAACAGTGAAGAAAAATCGGCCAACACAAAAAAAAACACAATTGTTTTGTGATCATCACTCTTGATCATTATATGCGATATTTTCCTGTACATTTGATATGGTTTGCTTCCTGAAGTCCATCACAATAAGCGATATATCGGTATAGCCGATAATAGTGTATAAAGTGATATTTTAGCTGTATTTTTTCTGATTTGATTTTGATTTTGACGTGTTCTATCACTATAACCGGTATATCATTATATCCGGTCACTTTATAAACGATACTTACTGTAACTGCAATTTTCACAGCAGACATTTTCACAAATAATTGCTGCTGCCGGTTGAACCGGTTTGCGTAATCACATTCTGCTCGTCTTTTATTCCTGCATTTGATTTTCATTTTTTTGTCTCTTTGCCGTTCGTAATACATGTATCTTCAACTGTAGCACCTTCTATTTTCATTTTTCAAGGCACCACAATTTCCAAAGCAGCCATTTACGTGTAATGATTTTTATACTTTTCTAAAGCACTGGCACATGGTATCTTTGAAATGCAAATCTCGCTCTATAGTCTATAGCCGTGTCAAATCCTGGGATTTTTGAATTTTTTCCAATACTGAATCATGACCATGCTTCTGCCTGGGATAAATTGTGTGTTAAGTATAATATCAGTAGATTCTCTTCAGAAGCTTTTACGAGTGCCAGCATTATCCGCGCTTGACTTTAAATATAGAGGTGTTTAGAGAGGACACGTCAGTTTTTTGACAAATCCTGTACCCGGGTAATTATAATAAATTATTTATACTGTTGGATTGGAGTGCCGGTTCTGCATTATCCAGAGTGCACTAGAAAAATTGGCAGAATTCGGTACTTTTTCTGGTAAGTTTCATGCATGTTTGGTATGTGGATAAAGAAATGGAGCAGAATTCGAGGAATTGACCGCCATAAGGTTTGTATGGTTCTGCCAATTTCACTGCTTTTCGAGCAGAATCTGCCACCTTTTCGAGCATTATCTGCCAATGCCTACGCCTGCGGATAATGCTAGCATTTATATGTCAGATATCGAGCATGATTAGCACTCCCAGTTTTGGAGACTATTGCGCTAGCATAATCCGGCAAGTTTTGCCGAAAACTACTACATAATTATGTACTAACTGGTTAAAGGGGAAGTCCGGTGAAAAATTTAAATTTCACAGTCCGTAGAGTTCGGGGCGCTGAGTCAAATGGTCTTTGTCCGAGGAGGCTGCGGCTTATGCCAGTATAAGTTATGGTTCGTCAGATACGCCCAATCGAACATGTGCGAATTTGAGCGCGCATCACCCAGATCCAGGTGATGACGTCACAGCGTGCAGCCAGGTAGCCACACCATCTAGTTGTGTACAAAATGGCCATATTCGGAGCGCGTTCGATTGGGGAACCGTTTATCGCAGCTTCTTCGGACCAAGACCATTCGATTCAGTGTTACAAACACTACGTACCCTGTGATTTTCAGCTCGCTAAACCTCGAGGTTATACCGTATTTTAGCCGTTTCCGAGTTGGACTTTTCCGTTAGCCCGTCTACATGGTCTAGATCTATGCGCTCTGCGCTGCGTGCATGCAGTGCGTGCAGTGTGTTATCTAGCTGTAGTGCAGTCAACAAACTCATGTCACAACTGACACAAGACTCAGAAAACTAGTCAACACACGGACTTGTCATGTACTACACTCGTATCAGCCGTATTGTACAGTCATGTAGTCAGAGAACGCGCGTTTCTCCTTGCCGGTGCCGGTGCTTGTGCTTTGAGAAAGAAAATTTTAGTTTTCCGCACCCGTGGCGCCTCATTATTTTATGCTACAGCGATGAGTGCACAACCGTGACAAGTGACAAAACAGCGAACAGCTCTCGGACCTAGAACTTTCAGATTCCATAGCGTTGCGAGCGAAGAGTCGCGCCCGTGGTTCAAAGAGCCTGCACTGTTCTCCAATTGAGTAGTCCGAAATATTCCAAGTTCGCACCAAAACATCACCATGTGGCAGGCTACTGGAGTCTAAGCGAATCTAATCGGTATGGAACAACATTTAGAGCACTCGCATCACTCTTCTCCATTTTGGCGACCCTGCTCTCCAGCGATCTGATAATTACATCAGCCTCGTCTGCAATAGCTGCTGCTTCTTCATCAGTCGGAAACTCAGTAGCGCTCACTCTTGACCGGCCCGCGCGGCCATTCCTTCAGCTGACTACCGAGGTTCTCAGCCCCAGACCGAACTCATGAAGGTCAGCCATGGCTGCATCCTCACTCTCACAAGGAGTTACATGTCTTCGGGGTCGCTTGCACCACCTAATATCAGTCGCCAAATCATTTGAAATAGCACTGACACTATTGCTTTCACGCACTCCTTTTGACCTAGCTGCACGCTATGACGTTGCAGAGGGTGTGGCGCGGCCGCATGACGTCATGGCGCAGCCCCCGAAACTCAGTTTTTCAAACGGAAATATCTCGAGAACGCTTTGTCGGAGACACGTGGGACCAACACCATTCGACTCAGCGGCCGAAACTCTACCGACCCTGAAATTTAAATTTTTCACCGGACTTCCCCTTTAATACCGCGTTCAAAGTATTTTGACGCCCTGGCCTGGTGGTATATTTGCGAAAGCTAGCATATCGGTATTAACTATTATTTATTGCAAAATAATGGGATTTTCGTGAGAATTCACAATGCTGTCGATCGCTATAGCAACACAATCATGCATGATGCATGTGCGCTCTGCATGCACTGACATGATGTGATGATGATGATCAGGGAGTCGTCAAATACTTATTTGACGACTCCCTGATGATGATCGATTGATCGATATGCCAGCTTCATTTTTATTGAATCATAATCGATTCTTGATTCTGACTTCGTTCTCAAAAACAAAAACATACTTCGTCGGAGTCGAGTCAGTACTACTACTAGTAGGTAGTTGTCTTCAGTAAACTGGATACTAATCTTCTGTGTGCGTTCGTGTTTTATCTTTGTCCAAAAAGGCTTGAGGAAGCATTACAAGCTGCAGTGCATGTCTAGCCGGAGGCACAAGGGTTCCCGGATTACTCCAGTTCAAACTCGTAAATCTACAGCGCGTACCAGAAGATTTGAACAATGATTGTTTTGCTAGTTTGTCGACGTGCGTTTCCTCAGGCGGTTCTCGTGGAATCGTGAGCATGCAGCACACATCTGCCAGTTGAGAGAGTTATAAAATTAATATAATGGAGCCAAGGAATATAGTCGTACTCTCCCTGGTGCCGCTCCTGCTGTCGGCGGTGGCGCGCGTGGCATGCGAAAGTTTGTACGCAGCCAATGGCGATGTGTTGGAGCTGCGTGGCGAGGCTGAGTTCTCCAGTGCGCTGTATAGGAGCAGCTCGGTGTGGCTGGTGGAGTTCTACGCAAGCACGTGCGGACACTGTCGTCAGTATGCTCCCATATACTCAGCACACGCCACTGACGTCAAAGGTGCGTTTGGAGCTCTAGTGATATAATTTTGTGCAAGTGTAGTCAGTGTCCCAGAAAATCCCGACACGGCACTCGGGGTGAACTCCGCGTTCAATAAGAAATGTGGTCCGAAAAGCAGTGCTAGGCCGCGTGTTGCAGTCACCATCAATCATAGAATCTGTCAGGATTTTTTTGCACCCACGTTACGATTAGGCCACGCCAAGTTAATTCCATGTTCCGCGTCGGACATTTTCCGGAAAAGGCACGCGGGGCGGTGACGCGAAACATAGAAATAACTTGGCGTGGCCTTACGTCTGAGAGTTTGGTCAGCGTGATGGCCGCTGGCGCACATCGAGATGCGGGCCCCCGGGCATGATTCTCTCCGTATCAGCCATCTCCCGGTGGTAGATGACAGCCGCATGCTCGGCGCACAAGCATGGCGAGTGTAACCGGCCATTGTGACAACATGTATAACGAGCCGCCGCTTGCGCAATTCTGGTACCGCAGCCACGTTTCAACGAGTGTCACCGGCATGTGGACTCCCTTATAAGGCCTGCCTCGCCGGCAGCTTTTGCCGCCAGGCACTGGCAAGCGTGCATTTCCGTTGTTCATTAGACTTGTTTGCAATCGGTTCGGCCGGTAGCTCTGAGCTCCGAGAGAGACACGGTCGAAACAACTACATGTAGCTGTCCGGTGATTGAGTACGGTCAGCTTTGCGTATAACGACACTCGGCGGGGGCATCAGAAAAGTGTCCTTATTCGCGAAGTGTCCTTATACCCGAAGTCTCATTATATGTATTACAGTTAGATGGGACTTTGCTCCGGGCATGGAAATTCTGTCGTTATTCGCGAATTGTCGTTATATCCGCAGTCGTTATTAGCGAAGTCGACTGTACGAGCGTACGTGTACACGTGAGGCACACAACGGAAAGCAGGACATTGAGCACTCTACACTGTAGCAGGTTAAGGCGCACCGCACCGCACCGCCTCTGTGATCGTTCATGTATACAGTAAAACTGCCCAGATCTGGGCAGGTTGCCACTGAGCACTGCTCGTCTGGGCAGGTTGCCACTGAGCACTGCTCGTCTGGGCAGGTTGCCACTGAGCACTGCTCGTCTGGGCAGGTTGCCACTGAGCACTGCTCGTCTGGGCAGGTTGCCACTGAGCACTGCTCGTCTGGGCAGGTTGCCACTGAGCACTGCTCGTCTGGGCAGGTTGCCACTGAGCACTGCTCGTCTGGGCAGGTTGCCACTGAGCACTGCTCGTCTGGGCAGGTTGCCACTGAGCACTGCTCGTCTGGGCAGGTTGCCACTGAGCACTGCTCGTAACCAGGAATTGCCCGCAACTAAGAACTTACATACTTTAACACTAGGGGTGAAAGTTGGCACTGAGATCCCGAGTTCGAGTACTCTGATTTTCTCCGATTGAATATTCGAGTATTCTTCATCTCCTAAAAATTGCACACCAAGGGCCTTAAAATCACATGATACAACCCTGATTGAACCGAGTAGAAGTCATTTTTCTCGGGGATATTAGTTGGTGGGTCTTTTGGGCTCTCTCTACTCGTGAACAAATGTTCACCACACACTCTGCACATCAATATCTGCCGAATGCTGCTCTGAAACTGCTGATTTCTGTGGTAAATGCCCGTACCATCTATGAACGAGTACGATTATTTTTGAAAAAACCGAGCGAGTACTCGAGTATTCGGTATAATTGTTTCACCCCTATTTAATACTGAGCGCAAGTAAACATATTTTTATGCCAACCAATAGTTTTTTGATAGACAAGAAAAAGGGCCAAAGAACTACGCTATAACGTCCACTAACACCGCAAGTTACTAAACCATCAGCTCATGCAATAACTTTGCACCGCACTTTTCTATAAACTGATCCTTGGTTCTCCATCCGAGTCCATTCTTGCACACCTGATAAGGCGTCAATAGTTTTTTTGGGGCCTTTTTCGTTGAAATGCCGATTCTTGTGACTCTAGATCTGTCAGAAAGGTACCCGGTAGACGTTCGGATCCGGGAAGTGTTACTGTATTGACATCGGTGTGCTTGCGCGTGTCTTTGTCCCCGATGCTCAGCCTGGACACCTGTGGCTAAAGTGGCGTCGGTGAATTGTGCTGACGACAGCAACCTAGGCCTCTGCTCCGCTCATAAGATCTCCTCCGTGCCGGATATCAGGGTAAGGTGGACCACCGTGAACGCAGTGCTTACGGAATTTGCTATCCGGCTTGAAACTCCGTACGGTTAAGAAGAGAAGAAGAAGGGGGGAAAAGAGATGGGTGCTTACAGTCTTGCACATGACGCTCGAAGAGGGTTGACGTGAAGAAATCCTGGTTATTCTGTCGCTCCGTGTCTAGACTGACATGCGCGCCTCGTTGTGCTTTTTCTGAACTCGTATGCGGGCTTGCACAGTCCGTCTTCGTGTACTTGCACTCTTGCTTCTAATCACAATGGTTATGCGTATGGGCAGGGCATCGACGTACACGAGGCTTCACGGGGTCAGCGATGCACTGTTCAACACCCCACGTGACATAGATAAGCAATGCACTGTTCAACACCCCACACAACCATAGATCAGCAATGCACTGTTCAACACCCCACACAACCATAGATCAGCAATGCACTGTTCAACACCCACACAACCATAGATCAGCAATACACTGGTCAACACCCCAGACAACCATAGATCAGCAATGCACTGTTCAACACCGCACACAACCATAGATCAGCAATGCACTGTTCAACACCCCACACAACCATAGATCAGCAATGCACTGTTCAACACCCACACAACCATAGATCAGCAATGCACTGTTCAACACCCTACACAACAATAGATCTACAATACACTGGTCAACACCCCAGACAACCATAGATCAGCAATGCACTGTTCAACACCCCACACAACCATAGATCAGCAATGCACTGTTCAACACCCTGCACATCCATAGATCAGCAATGCACTGTTCAACACCCTACACAACCATAGATCAGCAATGTACTGTTCAACACCCACACAACCATAGATCAGCAATGCACTGTTCAACACCCCACACAACCATAGATCAGCAATGCACTGTTCAACACCCTACACAACCATAGATCAGCAATGTACTGTTCAACACCCCACACAACCATAGATCAGCAATGCACTGGTCAACACCCCAGACAACCATAGATCAGCAATACACTGTTCAACACCCCACACAACCATACTGTCCCCACAGAATAACGCGGACGAGTTCCTAAAATTATGCGCATAATTATGCGGGCGAAAACAGGCCATTATGCGGCAAATATGCGGGATTATGCGGCAAATATGCGGGTTAATGCGGTCATTAGACACCCTTAGCAAAAAAACGTTATGTTGTAACGGTATTATCGTAAGGGGGAAAATACCGTGATTTGGGTTCGACCTTTAGCAATATGCACGTTATTTTTAGTACACTGCTGCCACGAGAATAGCTTTGATTTCGCGCGGTACAACCATTTTTGTCACCATATACGCGATACAAGGTGAAATACGTACGGACTATGCAATATTTGGCCAAAACACGCACCGTTGGTCACAACGATAAATCAGCCCCCATAACGTTTATACGCTGCAGCTTCAACGCTATTTGGGTGATCAAGGTACGAGTACCGTAAAAAAAAATAGCGTTACCGTTGTTTGCTAAGGGTGTCTGGTGTCTAGTATGCACGAGTTATCTGTCACTGGTACAACTTTAGCGTGCAGTCGCATGCAAGAATACAACTTTGTCGTACAAACTCATGAACCCATACGACTTTGTAGTACATTTTCAACAGCATGCACTATTTTCTCGTACATTCTCATGAATAACGCGGGATTTATGCGAAATCTCACGAAAACGCGGATGATAACCTATAACGCGGAAAATTCCGCGTCCACGGAATCGCGGTATCCTGTGGGGACAGACCATAGATCAGCAATGCACTGTTCAACACCCTACAAAACCATGTCCAGGTGGTTGTGTGGGGTGTTTGTGGCACAAACATTTCTCATTGTGCTGTGTGCGTCTGTCTGTCTGTCTGTGTGTGTGGTTGTGTGTGTGTTTGTGTAAATGCGTGTATTTTATGTCGATGACATGCCTGGTGCGGTGTATGTAGTTGTTCCCTATCCACCAGGGCAACACGACATCGGATGGTCGGCTCTTCACCGGTATCCCCCTTCATGGCGATGGCTCAAAGTCAGGTACTGTACAGTGGCTTGTATTCGCGACGTACTAATATTCACTATTTTTGCGAGCAGAGTAACGCGAATATTTACCAGCGGGAAATCACACTCCAACAGTGTGTGTATGTACTGTCGTGGACATGGACATCCAGTCGGATGAGCGGGGCCGGCGCCCTCAGCGCGTACAGAGCGTATTGTCGTTGCACGCAGTGTCACGTTGATCCGATGCGACCAGCGCGCTGCAGGGCGTATGTACCGCTTACCCACGGCTGCATGGCCAGCGTCCTGGGCCGCTAGACGTGCGACCGGATTTCCATGTCCACGACAGTAGGTGGCCCCAGTGCTTCACGAACAGTTGCCATCGTCAACTCGCTGGTTCCAAGAAATCACGAAAATTTAGGGACGCAAATATTGGGCGGTATACAGTGGGTGCTGTGCACCATGCTGGTTCTGAAGCTGTAAAACCTCACTCAGACACTGAGAAAAGGAAATCGAAATGATTGTGTTCTCACTGTCGACCTGTCCAATTTGGGTCTCATTCGTCAGTTGTATGCCTGATGTGTGCACTGCTCTGTGAATGCTGTTTTAATCTACGGGTTCCAGTGCTTTCATGTCATGCGTTGTGGCTCGGTGCATATACATGGTTACTGATTCCGGCTGACTTCTTTCTCTCTCTCTCTCTCTCTCTCTCTCTCTCTCTCTCTCTCTCTCTCTCTCTCTCTCTCTCTCTCTCTCTCTCTCTCTCTCTCTCTCTCTCTCTCTCTCTCTCTCTCTCTCTCTCTCTCTCTCTCTGCATGCGTGCGTGCGTGTGTGAGCCTCACTCACTCACTTGCCTGTTTGCGTTGGTGTTTTAGAATCGGCCGATAAGTCGTCTTACCTACGTCAGCGAATGATTGATGTAATCAAAGATCAGGCTGTGAAACCATCCACATGGCCCAGTTTGCAGTTCGATGGGTGAGCGACCATTTCAAATTTCTTCCTCTGACTCCTAGGTTTACTGTTATGTGTGTTCTTGTCTTTTGGCCGCTGCACCCGCTCTGTTTCAACGTGTCCTGTCCCTTTGTTCCGTTTTGCGCTTCAAAGTGTTAGTGTATGGTGGACGTTGGGAACATCCCGCCCATTTGGATAGCTATTACTCAAAGTAGCTTCCCGTCATTAGTTAGAGTGAAAGTCTGGAAGAATATGGCTGTCGCCACCACGACTCGAGCCCGGACCCTTGCTTTTGGCCCACGATGCTCTACCGCTTAGCTACGGTAGCTCGAGTCATATTTTTTTCAAGCATTCACTCATGAATATATTCCATTTCTCTCCCGCTCTCCTTTTTTTCTCTTCTTTGCTACATTGCTCTCATTCACCTCACAGGAAACATCCAGCTGAGCTCACGTTCGACAAGGCGTCCAAGTTTGGCATCGTCTTCCAAGAGAGCAAGTCCTACTTGGGTGCTGAGGTATGTGTGTGTGTGCATTGTGCGACCGTCGGGTTTGGCCCGATTCGTTTTGCTTCACCCTACCTCTAGAGGTATAGTACTGCCAGGCGCCGAAGAACTACGAGGCTAGGATTTCATCAAGCACAGCATACCAATGTATCCACGGTGACTTAACTGTGCATAGACTGTAATACATGAAAATAAAAACGGTCTAGGCTAGCAGGCTGACCCCCCCCCCCCCCCCAATTCTTCTGCGACCGAGAGTGCAGTACTGTATACTGACCCTGATTATCTGGCTCCGTTGGCAAACGCTCACAGGCCATCCCTGGACTGTAGCTGATTGGTTGCAACCGCTTTGACTATACAGCAAAACCTGTGTTTGCCGGACCCTGGGCCAAGCGGAGTCCTGTAGTGACCGGACGAATTCCCATGCACCGACGTGCTGTGGCTCGAGCGTGCATCGCTAGCTCAAGCGGAATCCTGTCGTATCGGGACAGTTTTCGCTGCACCGACTGCATCCTGTTACAGTGTTAGGGCCGGTTTTTACTTTACTTAGTACCTGTAACCCTGGTGTTGTCTGTCCACTGTGCTGTTCGGGGGATGCTTCCGCTGAAGCTGATGCTGCTGCTGATGATATATTAATACTCCCATGCCACCCGCATAACACTATACTGCTCGCTTACACTGCCTTCGCGCTGAAACGCTAGCATTGCATACCTGCCATGGGACAACACCCATAGTGAATAAGACCACACAACCCCGACTATAGCCCCAGTCTCCTGATGATTGCTTTTCAGCATGAAACTCGTGAGTAGAGACATTTAATAACTTTTTTTGTTCCACCGGATTTTCGTGTGATATAATTATTATATTTTATCATCATTATTATGTTATATGTTACCTTTATTTTACGTCACCATAGGTACAGGCATTGCTGCCTTCTTGCTGTGGATCATAAGTGGTGCCACAGCTCCTAGGCTATGATGATGATGATGATGCTACCGTTGCTATTGTTGTTGCTTCTGCTTGTCAGCGGTTGTGATGTTTTTTCTTTATGAAGTGCAATGTCAATTTTCTGCTGTTTTCATTGTTATGTTTGTGTTTCTTTGGTTTCTGCAGTTGTCACTGGATTTGCTCGTTTGTCCGTCGGTCAAGGTTCACATCGTCACTGATGATGAGGTGGGTGCTTTCTTGTCCAATGTTCACATTCTGAATGCTACACAGGTACAGGGAAACCTGTCTAAGTCGACCGCTCAGGGGGGGGGGGGGGGGGACTTATGAATGTGGTGCCTGTGCAGAGGTGGTCTTCGTATCCAGGGTCACTTGGCTGGAAATAGCATTCCTCTGGTCCTGGTTGTAGTGGTCCGAGAGAGAGAGAGAGAGAGAGAGAGATCTGTGTGTGCATGTGTGTAAGTATGTGTGTGGGTGGGGGTGTGTGGGGGGGGGGGGGGGGAGGGGGGTGCGTGTCCTCGCCCATTTACTGAGGTGAGGTGAGCACATAAGTGGGATCATTTCAAGTCCACCCTAGTTTGGGGATTTCAGGGTGTGTCAGCCGTTGGGCGGTTCAATAGCCAATTGAGTCATCTTTCTAAGATGCCTTTTGAGTCTCTCTCCCCTCTCCCGGGGAGACCCACGTGACCAGTTTTGGCAGTGAGCAAGTACAAGTGTGTGTGCGTGTTTGTGTGTGTATGTATGTGTGTGCGTGCGTGGACGCGCGTGTGTGCACGCGTGTATGTGTGTGCGTGCGTGGCCGCGCGTGTGTGCACGCGTGTGTGTATGTGTGCACGCACACACGTGTTTGTGCAAACACACTGGTATACAAGTAAACAATGTCTATGCGCACCTTGTTGTTTGCGTCGCTGTCTTGCACAGACAATCGGACGACACAACGTACGCACTCTACCCTCCCTACTTGCCTGGAATGGCGAACAGAAGAACTTGCTGTAAGTAGCCCCATGCAATGGTGGCCTGTCTCCTTAGCTAGGCTGTGTGTGTCCCATGCAATGGTGGCCTCTCTCTCTCTGTAGCTCAGCTTCTGACGATGAAACTCCGTTTCGGGCACGACGAACACCTCGCGAACTCCAGACAGCAGCGTACGTCAGTGTCGCTCCGCGAGCTGCTGAATAAACACCGAGGCTGGTTGGCCATTCACAACGTTATTGCCTCCAGACCACGAGTTCAGAAGCCCGCGCTGCTGACGACAGTTTGAAGAAAAGGTTATAGCTACAGAAGGTTGTGCCAACTGTCGGGGAAACTGCTTCCTTCGCAGAGCGTGGGCCTTGTGTTGTCAGTCCCCGGGTTTCATTATCAGGTGTCTGGCAGTTTCGTTGCCGTGACAAGTTCGAATGTCATAGTCAAATCAAATTGGACCTCCTGGTTCGGATATACAATCGACTCCACTTGTAACAAATTCGACTATAGCGAATTTCGTGAGAAAGCGAACCGCTGTCCATGTCCTTGCCTGAACCCATACACTGTTTACCCTGAACTGTTTTCGTTTATGACAAGCCGTGTCTTGCTGGAGAGCATGCAATCAAGACTTGGTGCGTCCTTGCACTCACTCGCAGCATGCCTGGTTTGACAAGTTGCATGTGCTGAAGAAATATGGTGTGTGATTGCACTTCTGTTAAAAAAAAAAGGAACGTCGGCTGTAAAGAACCAATTCTGTGTGTATGTACAGTGCGGTGGTGCGCTGACATCGCAAAGACCCAACACGGGATAGTAAAGCTACGAAATAGAGACCGCTAGGATGTGAACGCACCACCGCTCGGGGGTCGGGTTTCAGTTGCCAATTCTGTCTGTGTGTGTGTGTGTGTGTCTGTGTGTGTGTGTGTGTGTGTGTGTCTGTGTGTGTGTGTGTGTGTGTACATGTATGTGTAACTGCAGGTCGGATTGCAGCAGAGACGGTGCGCGCGACCTGCTGCTGTCGCTGTGTGGACGCGTTCACCACGCGGCGGAGTACGGCACCGTGGGTGCCGATGAACCAGCAGCCGCAGCAGCAGTGGTGGCTCAGTCTGTACAGTCCAAGGCAGCGTGAGTATTCGCATACAGTAGAACTCCCCTTGCCCGGGCAGGTCTGGAGCGAGCACTGCACGCACCTAGGAATAGCCCGCAACTCAACACATACCGGAGGAATAAACAAATCAATCATTCTATCCTGCTTCACTGTCCTGTTTGTTTACAGTACGTTGCACGTGGCGCTGCGCTTATATATGACCACTAACTGATGATGCTGATGATGATGCTACTGGCTCTGCTGATGCTGTTCTTGTTCTTGTTGTTCACGTTGTGTTTATGCTGTTCTTATTGTTCATGCTGTTGCCATCATCATCATCTTCTTCATCATCACCATCATCATCATTGCCGTCATGCAGGCCAGGTATCTACATGACGGACATTGTCAGCGCTCTGGCGTCCATCATCCACCACGAGGTGCCTCTTCACTCCGTCATTCATGGCTCGTCGCTCGAAGCTCTCTCGCAGTTTCTTCAAACTGTACATTATGTGAGTGCAGTCGGTACCTCCAGTAACAGTCCCGGAGAAATATTTGAGCTGTGTGAGCTTTTCCGAATCCAATTGTAATATGCCGAATTTATATACAAATAGAGCTTTTTCAAGGTTGTACCAACGGTCACTTTTTCGGGTCCCGTGTGAGACATTTTTGAATCGCTGGTGAACAGGCGAAGCCCAGTTCACGTTCACTTTGTATGGGAATGGATGCGTGGAGGTGCCTCTTGATGTCCGACACTTGTGTTGAGTCAGAGCAGTTGCCAGCAAGCCCTTCCATGGCTCGGGCGAAAAAGAAACAAGCTTCAGAATCACTCCAAGCACTGGTGGGGACGAACCTGTCACATTTCGTGTAACTTTCAGTGCATTTTGACATGCGACCTGTTCACCACAATCTCGGGGTGATCGCCGGGACGGTGGCGGGAAAGGCGTCCTTGAAAAAGCTCTATAGGCTAAAAAAGCATTATTCTAATTCAGCAGGAGATAGGTTTGGACCAGTGAATCTTTACTTGAATCTGTGCTGAGCCCGGCTGAAGAAGTAATTCTTTTTCAGATTCGACTTTAAATATGGCGAATTTGGTTTGAAATCCTTTTTCTAACTCAGCATGAAAATGGGTTTGGACCAGTATATCTTTAGTTGAATCTATGCTGAGCCCGGCCGAAAAAGTAATTTTTGTGAAACGAATGAAATTTGTATCACCAGTCTTTTGTTGAGTGTAAGGAGGTTTTGAATCGCGTAATAATCTGTGCATTCCCTTGTCTCATGGATGCAGTGAATGGGATTTTCGGCCTTTGACCAGTTTTTGTGGTGGGTCTTATCTACTCCCCTCCCACCGCTTTACGAACTGCATCTGCGCCTTGATCCTTGAAGGGTGGTGGCGTTCCTACGGATGCGGAAAACTCTACCTCTAGCCGAATCTCACGCAAACTGTGACTTTTTGTTGCTGGTCTCTCTATGTTATGTGTGTGTGTGTGTGTGCGTGCGTGGGTGTGTGCGTGTGTGTGCGCGCGTGTGTGTGTTCGTGTGTGCGTGTGTGTCACAATGCATTGTTATGCACAGTGTCTGCCACTGCCAACGGAGGTGCGACAGTTTGTCGTCAACCTGCTACGTCAGCTGAAGTTGCAGAAGCACTCGCGGACGCTGTCCTCCGTGACCTGGGCGCGCATGAAGGCCATGCAGGTTTGTACGCACCGTGTCTAACGTTAGCACAATAGCAGGGGCGTTGGACACGCTACGGTCACTACGGCATTGACCGTACCACTTCTTGACCCTTTCCCCCCTAAAATTAATAGAACGCACTGATCCGAGCTCGAAATTTCCGAATTTTGAACCAGAGCCCCCCCCCCCCCCCCCCCAGCACTTCAGTTGGTTGACCGTACCACACTAAAATACCCTCTATCGCCCTTGTAGACTACTGAATCAGCGTGATCTCTTCCAGTTCAATGGGTTTTGCTGGAGGAGTGTTGTGACCATGCTGAAGAGGTAGAGGAGGGGTGTTGCAACTAAATGGAGGGGCTACTGAAGGCTTGCAGTCTGGCTTTACTTTATATCGTGAACGAAATGAAAACACTTCGCAACTGGCCAGAATGGACTCGGATGGAGAGCCAAGGATGAATTTGTAGAAAAGAAAAAGGACCAGTGTTATCACATCAGCTGATTGTTTAGTAACTGGTGATGTTAGTAGACATTATAGCGTAACTTGTAGTTCCTTGGTCCTTTTTCTTTTCTAGAAACTGGCCAGAATGATACATTATGTCCAGCAGCAGTATTTGGTTGATTTTTCAGGTCGTGTCTGCTAGTCTGTCAGGTACTGGTAATCCGCTGAACACATGGTCAACACAGATCTGCTTCTGTGTTCATGTGTGTGTTTGTGGCTGGATGGCTGGCTGGCTGAATGGATGGCTGTCTGGATGGCCGGATGGCTGGCTGGATAGGTGGATAGGTGGCACAACAGTCGTTAGCCAAACCACACAATTAATTTAAAAAGTGTTTGCTTTGTGTCTCTTTGTCTGTCTGTTGTCTGTCTCTCTGTCTCTTTGTCTGTTTACGTTGGTAATTGGTGTAGAGCCCATCTGCTAGTCTTCCTCACAAGATACGTTGGGTGGGGTGTGCGGGCAGTGTCCCTGGCAAGCGTGGTTTTCCTTGTGGTCTGTGGACCCTGTTTCACACGATGACATCGCATTGTTCTTTGCTTGCCGATGGTGAACTGCTACAAGGTATAGCCTGTGGTTTGGGCTCTCTCTCTCTCTCCCTCTCTCTCTCTCTCTCTCTCTCTCTCTCTCTCTCTCTCTCTCTCTCTCTCTCTCTCTCTCTCTCTCGCTCTCTCGCAATCTATCTCTCTATCTATCTCTCTATATCTCTATCCCTCTCTATGTACACTATTTATCTACAAAGCTAGCTTATCGTCTCCTGGCGAGAGTACTCAATATGCGAATTCCAGCTTACAAGTTGCAACGGTGTATCTACCTCTCTTTCTGTTTCTTTGTCTACCTTTTACCTATCTGTCCGTCAGTGGTGGGTTGGGGCTCCGGCTGAACTGCTTTGTGAGAGAGGCTTTACCCACAGCTTTCGCTACACGAAGAGGTCTTACATTTCGTTCTTGAATCTGCTGTCTTGTTTGCTGTGTGTAGGTATCAGTACGGACAATCATGTCCTGATGCGGCGTCGTGTTGCAGGTACGTGTGCACTTAGTGACTTGTTACTGAATAGACACTGGCTTTTCGTCAGCATAGGTCTCTGCCACAGCGTGTCCCCGACGATTAGAATGGACTAAGAACCATTACGTCTACCTATCCCCGCGCGCGCGCGTGTGTGTGTCCGTGTGTGTATGTGTGTGTATGTCTGTCTCTCTGTCCATGTGTATCTGTGTGTGTGTCTGTCTGTCTGCATCAGGAGTGGACGGCCGCTTTGCTGTTCTTGCCATCCGTGACTACATTGAGCATTTCTTCAGCTGTGGCGACTGCCGGGCGCATTTCCTGGAGATGTCGCAGAACATTAAACACGAGGTGAGCTTGTGTAGTAGAGCTGTGCCACCGCGGTGTGTCCTGCACGGTGTCACAGCACAGTATCACAGAATGTCTTTTCATGCATTGTGGTCGTCGCTAACTTTCTCTCTCTCTCTCTCTCTCTCTCTCTCTCTCTCTCACTCACTCCTTTCTTCCCGGTTGCCGTGCTTGTGACATTTTTTTCCCTGCTACCGTGCTCATATTAGTTATCTAACTTATATTCTTTTCTGTTCTGTTTGTCCGCTTATTTTTATGTATTTTTCTTTTCTCTTATTATCAGTGGGACCATTGTCATTAGGTTTAGGCCTGTTTTGGAACTCCACTCTAAATAAAGCCAAACAACAAGATTGTTGTTTTGATGGGACTGCTGCTGCTATTGCTGGTGCTGGTGTTGCTGTTGCTGATGCTGGTGCTGCTTGTGGTGTTATATGGCGGTGGTTGTGGACGTAGTTGTCATGTGTACTTCCATGTGAACATTCGTGCATAGGTGCGAAGCAATCACGAGGCTGTCATGTGGCTCTGGAGTGCACACAACAAAGTAAATCAGCGTCTTGCTAAGGATACGACCGTCGACCCAGCGTATCCCAAGGTATTGCTCTTGCGGCGGTGTGTGTGGTGTGGTATGGTGTGTGTGTGGTGTGTGTGTGTGTGTGTGTGTGTGTGTGTGTGTGTGTGTGTGTGTGTGTGTGTGTGTGTGTGTGTTGTGTGTTGAACTTGATATGCATGTACTGTGGGCTATCAGCTCATGCATAAATATGTCACGTTTGTGTATGTGTGCGTGCGGTGGCATATTTCTTTTCCGACCAGGCCCAGTTCCCGTCGGAAGGTCTTTGCAGTGAGTGTCGCAAGTCATCACTTTTCCGCGACGCTGCGTCCCATGATGCTGCTGTGCTCTGGGAAGAGTCGTCTGTTCTGACTTTCTTATTCCACTTCTACGGGCCCACCGGTGTTCACTGGTCTGATAATGGCCAGGTTAGAATGCGTGTATGCTCCTATGTGTGTTTGGGTCTGGTATCAGAAGGGGGGGGGGGGGGGGCTGCACATGACTGTGTGTGTTTCGGGGGGGGGGGGGGGGACAGGGGGGTTGGGGCACATACGATTGTGTGCTGGCATGTACTGTAAGTCAACACATGTGCGGCAACAATCGCCAAGGGTGGAAATTAGAGGGGGGGGGGGCGATGGTACTGCAATGATTGAACAAACAAGAAAATCTTACCGAGAGTGATACGTCGCATACGGACTTATAGGTGTCGAGAATCACACACACTGAGTGCGTTCGATTATGCACTTGAATCGATTCATGGATCCATTCGCATGCATTCAAGTTGTTCGATTTTCGTGTCATGAGCCCTGGAATCGATTCGGATCCATTCGCCCTATTCAGATGTGGTGATGTGAGTAGCGCGAATCGATTCGCGGCCATAATCTAACGCGCTCACTGGCATGATGTGCTTGATGTGTTTGATGATTTGCCTACATTTTCCTGCTTGCCCTCTGCCTTTCGCATGTGTGTACTACCTGCACGTGTGTTTTGTGTGTGTTCTCTCTCTCTCTCTCTCTCTCTCTCTCTCTCTCTCTCTCTCTCACACTCACTCTCTCACTCTCACTCACTCTCTCACTCTCCCGCTGTTACAGAGCTGGGCCGAACCGAAGGCAACCTCACCAGTCAGCTGACCACAGCGCCGTCTTCCACCATCCGGACACCGTACCCAATTTTGTCTACTACGTCCTGTTCTGCATGGCTACCTGGCTGCTGGTGATGGCCTACGTGCGACGTCACCAGCTGCCATGGAGACGACCAATGGCATTCAAGTCCAAGCAACACATGGTCTGAGATTGTGTGACGCCTAGGTGCTGCTGCAATACCTTTGTTTAGAGTTTTCACGGTGGTTCCGGACCGGGGGGGGGGGGGGGGGGGGGTATTAAGTGTACTAATAATGGACCAGCCAATATTCAGCAGGATTTACTTTTGGATTGTGTGTGGAGGGGGGGGGGGGGGAGTAATGGAGCACATGCTGCATTACTTTACCACTTCACCTTGGGAGAGGGGGGGGGGGGGGGGTAATGGACCAACATTCAGCATGATTTTACTTTTGGAGTGTTTGACGAAGGGAAAGCAGTGCAGATTTGTTTCTAGTTTGACGCACATCTTCAATCTTAGACCAGTGTATTGTGGATTTGAGGTGAAACCTTACTGTTGTAAGCACTCATGGATTCTTGCATAGTATGTCTTCATCAAACCATCTACGTTCAAGTACTAGTTCAAGCAGTATAATTATATCACTTGGTAAAAGTGAATCTTGCACGGGTGATCTGGGATGATATTGTTGTGATGTTAGGAGATGTGTGTGTGCGGGGTTGGGGTGAGGGTGAGTCTTTAGATTGTTAGAATATGTAAACTGTGCATGTGGAGTAGCCCCGATTCTAGCAGTACATGGCCAGCAATCTCTCTCTCTCTCTCTCTCTCTCTCTCTCTCTCTCTCTCTCTCTCTCTCTCTCTCTCTCTCTCTCTCTCTCTCTCTCTCTCTCTCTTTCTCTGTCTGTCTGTCTCTCTTTCTTTGTTTTTCTCTCTCTCTCTCTCTCTCTCTCTCTCTCTCTCTCTCTCTCTCTCTCTCTCTCTCTCTCTCTCTCTCTCTCTCTCTCTCTCTCTCTCTCTCTCTCTCTCTCTCTCTCTCTCTCTCTCTCTCTCTCTCTCTCTCTCTCTCTCTCTCTCTCTCTCTCTCTCTCTCTCTCTCTCTCTCTCTCTCTCTATCCATCTTATTTCCATTGTGTTTTGGTGTGTGTGTACACGTGTGCATGTGTGTGTATGCTTCCCGTTCCTGTTGCAGCGAGCGTGAGAGCTGCAGTGGATGTCATCCCTAGGGGGTACTCGTGGCACTGCGGTACACTGCTATAGTGTCGCCTGCTCGGCACTCAACTGTGCACAAATCAAGGAGGACAAAACGTGCATATCTTGATGGACAGGACACACATTGGCATCTATTTGTGGACAGAACCGCATGTACATCTCTTCGTGGACAAGCCACACATGACATGTATCTCTTGGTGAACAGTACGTATGTACATCTCTTTGTGGACAGTACACGCATGGGCATCTCTTGGTGAACAGTACACATGTACATCTCTTGGTGGACAAGACCCGCCTGTGCATCTCTTTCACGACTCTTCGTGGACAGTAGACACATATGTGCATCTCTTGGTGGCGTGTGGGCAGATGCCAGTAGCCATGCGTTCGCTTTGCCAGGCATATTCTGCCAGCATGGTGAGTAGCTGAGTTTGAAGGTGCTGGGTTGATGTCGCCGATACGGCTATGCCGAGACCTGCGGTCAGTGTTTGAATCGAGGACTTTATTTTCTGATATTTCTATTTAACATCGGGCGGCAATTGTTTCTGAACGACTCTGCCGTGGCAGCTCGTCCATGCATGCCACCAGAGGATAGTTAACAAGATGGACAGCTGCCGCCACCACCGCCGTGGACCACATTGCTCTACTGCAAAGCTTTATTTGTGAAAACCGCAAATTGTAATACAGAACTCCCGAAAACCAAGCGGTACGTTGCTCTGCTTACCTTGCTGCTGTGTCCCCGCCTGCGACTGCGCGGCGAGGCCGTGTGCTGGCCGGTGGTCCGCCTTCCTGCGTGTGCGGCTCCTCTTCAGTGCTGGAGGATCAAATCGGTGGTGGTACTTGCACATGCTCTTCGCCGTTCACTCAGATTGTGTGTAGGCTATTGTGAGCTACCCCTTTCCATTCCCTCGATTGATGAATAATATTTTTTTACTATCTTTCTTATCCCGACGTGCGCAGATTTTATCCTATTCGGCTGTTTCTCTTTATTAAATTATACGCTATCGGGTTGGACGCTTCACGCGCGTACCTCCCACGCTTCAATGTGTGGCAGTTAGACCGAAATTCCATTGATTCAAATTCTAGACTTGCTACGACTTGTAGCTTGTGTATAGGCAGAGACAGAGATCTTAGTCCGACAATGAGCCCCGGCATGCTCCCGTCTTCATCCTAACAGACTTTTAAAAAATACTTCGAAGTACTGTAATTTTATTTTCGGTGTACTTTTATTTTCGGCACTTTCGGTGCGTCTGTTTCATACCTACAATTTCAATACACCGAACAATCACTAACACACTTAATCCAATAGGGAACTGCTTTTCTGTACCGAAAATTTCTGTTCACCTAACCTGGCCTTTTGCCCTCATACCGAAAATATTGAGAACCTAAAATTTCTGAAATTAGAGTAACCAGCAGTAGCATTGTTCCTTGCATGCACTACAGTGTGTTTATGCAGTGCTGCTCACTGAAATCCAATCGCGGTACTCAAGTTTGCGCCTTGCGCCATTTCGCAGACCCGTGCCCGCAGGTCCTAGGGCTGCGCAATGTGCGCATCGCCCGCCACGTACTTCAGGGTTGCGACTGGATTTCATTGAACAGCACTGTACTGCATGTAGCCACGTATGATTAATTTATAATGCAGTGGCAGTACCAGGCGTGGGCCATCCCCTGGATTATCAAAATGGGTGCCTTATCATTTTTCTGTTGCTTTTACACTTCTTCGTGCTTTGTGCTTTGTAATAAAAGTCTCAGACGAGTAAAAAAAAAAAAAAAAAAAAATACATGTAGCCAAGAGTGCGTAACCCCCGTTCTTACGTTTCGTGTTCTTACCGCACGCAAAAAAACCTTTTGACCTTGCTAGTTATACACACTGTACGCATGCTACGTTTTTACTCATTTCAGCTGCCCATACCCTCCTTCGGGAGCCTGCCTTTTTATTGTACCCTCTCTCTTCACCCGAGGGCTAGAGAGCTTTACATGTAAGCAGTTGACTGGTTGTTTGTTCCTCGGTCATGCACGATGCTTTTCTGTGGTAGTTACTTTGGCATCATACTTACTCAGTTGATTGCGTGGGATATGGGAGAATCCTACCATAAAAAGTAATCAAAAAGTTATTGTAAAGCGACAAACTTTCACGGCGTGCAAATTTAGCGTTTTCATAAATCGGGCTGGTTCACGATGAGAAACGTTTGCGATTTTATCTCTTCAGTCGGATCTTGTACTGTCTACAATCAATGTACGGAGGGGGTTGCGGCGATTTATATTCGCGAATGTGTGATGGTCGCGAAAATAGCGAAATTTAATCTCTAGCGAAAATTTCTCACTTTACAGTATGTACTCTTGGTAGTTGATACCGTATAAGTACACATTTTCGTTTACGAAGTCTTTAGGCTATTCATATTACGTTACAATACGCGTCACGTTTTGGAATACGACGTACTGGCAGACGTCGTTTTCATGCAGGTGCATTCACACAGGCCAGCACACGCTGCTCGCACAGCTGTGTGTACAGCTTCTTTTGGATACAAACTGCTGGGAACGACAGAACGAAACTCGGTACAGGGGTCTGGATACGTCGTCTACGTTTTTGTATCAGGGGTACGATTTTCCCGGCACGTTCCATGTTGTCATGGCTATCCGGACGAAAACGTCACATACGCCACATTCTGGGCGTAGTGTGAATGGCCCATTAGATCACTCCACCGGCGGGTTCGTTACGTCAAGACTCAAGAGTACGCTCTCGGTTACGTACTAAATTTCGTTTTTGGTCGAGGTCTGTGTCTGTCATCCCGAACGTGCAGAAAAAATCTTAAGTTTGGTTACTTTGGTACAAACTTTAGTTATTTCGTGCCCCCTATTGGCCTAACGAATATAGCGAAAGTTAATTCCAAACGAAACGTTGTACTTACACAGTATAGTGCAGTGAGACCTGCCGAATACGACTCCCTGCTGTCCTCCGTGGATTGCGTGATTGCGCGGCCGTGTCCCTGTTTTTTCGCATTATTGAACATGAGTTCTAAAAAAACTTATTGAACATGAATCGCATTTTTCTCACAACTTCCGCGTTGACGTCGCATAAACCTTGGTTTTTTGGACCCTGTTGGAAATGAGATCTCTTGGTCCTAGTTGTAGTTGTGTTCCGTGACAGTCACCTTGTCTGAGTGGTCGCCTTGACAGGTTTTACACAAACCCAACTAGGGGGCACATGTAGATCTACAGTGTACTAGTAATGTACCAGGACCAAGGAATGATAATAATTGACAAGTCTCATCACTGTACATTAGGCCTTTGCGGATAATGCCGGCAGAAAAATTGGCAGAATTCGGTACTTTTTCCGGTAAGTTTCATGCATGACTGTTTGGTATGTGGATAAAGAAATGGAGCAGAATTCGAGGAATTGCCCGCCATAAGGTTTGTATGGTTCTGCCAATTTCACTGCTTTTCGAGCAGAATCTGCCACCTTTTCGAGCATTATCCGCCAATGCCTACTGTACATGTACCGGTACATGCACCATGGGAAAACAGAGTACAGTCATCTACAGTCGACAGTCCTGCTCAATGAAGTCCAGTCGCGTCACTCACTCACGTTTGCGCCTTGCACATTTTCGCAGCCCAGTGTTTGCAGGTCCGGGGGCTGCGCAACGCCCGGCGCGTACTTGAGGAATGCGACTGGATTTCATTGAGCAGCACTGTACTTTAAAAGCTAGCACCTCTGTAGCCATGGTAACACCCATCACAATCAACAGTACAATACAATACAAGTCCTGTACATGTAAGGGGTATGTTCTCTTGGTGCAATGTAGTTTTTTATTTATAGTAGCTATTGTACTTTGCGCCTTGATCCTTGAAGGGTGGTGGCGTTCCTATGGATGCGGAAAGCCCGGCTCCCAGCCGAGTCTCACGCGAACCGTGAATTTTTTTGTACTTTTTTCCCGGTAGTAGTACTAGTAGTAGGCCTAAGATTAGCGTTGCCTCAACATTCAACAGCACGACGTATTTTATCATGCAAGACTAGACTAGGCAGTACCGGTATTTGCGCATGAAACTCAGAGCCACAATGCCACAATGTCCCCCTTCTCTGTTACACTGTACGACTGTACATCACGACAATGACTATCGACTCAACTGAGTATTGTACCATCTCAGATGGATTGACGATATTAATGATATAAAGCACGGCGGCCAATATTGATATTTCTGACTGTTTTGAACTGACTCTAGACAAGAAAGCTTAACTTAAAGGATGGCTGATGCTTGTGGAAAAATGTGCTGCGCTTGCGCAGTTACCATGGTTACCCTTCACACATTTACACGTTCTAACAATATTGAGTGAGTGACATGAGAACTGTAGCTAATAGTATTGTTATTATTTATAAACTGTTTAGAAAAAAAGGATGACCAAGGAACTACAAGTTACGCTATCGATTGAATGTCCTTGACTAACACCACCAGTTACTAAACAATGTCTTGGTTGCGCTCACCTTCCCCTCCTATGTTATCATAATTATTATTATAACTTCCAAGGTGGAAGGCGGTTGGAATGCGCATCCAAGATCATGTGTTAGATCTGTTAGCCAGCACGGTCAACATGGTCACGGTTGTAGAACCTCAGTACCGTCGGTCAGTCACAAGTGTCGTGCAATGTTGTCACATGAGCTGATTGTTTAGTAACTGGTGGTGTTAGTGGACATTATATCGTAACTTGTAGCTCCCCTTGGTCCTTATTCTTTTCTATCATTGAAAATGTTCCTTGGCTCTCCATCCGAGTCCATTTAAAATGTACCTGTATGTAATGCATTTTTACAATCATCTTCTTGGCTGTGCATTGCATGCATTCTTGGCTGCATTGCATTCGAGCATGCACTCAGCAGTGCATGCTGTGTCTATCAAGTGCACATGCCGGCCACCCAGCTCTATCTACATAGTACATAGTACACTCATGTACATCCTGGCCAAATGCGTGCATGGCTGTACTGTAGACTGTAGTGTAGTGTACTGTGTAGCCGATGGTGGCTCAAGTCAAGACCATCCACTGCTAGTTTTCTCCTGCACTACGTTAGTACGTAGATCTACTACAGTACAGACTACATGTACACAGTACTACAGTGCTGGCAACTGAAATCCGACCCCCCTACCGTCTCGTACGAATCGCTAACGCGGCTAGCGCACCGCTAGGGGGATCGGATTTCAGTTGCCAGCATGCACTGTACTGTAGTAAGTAGTAGATCTACGTACTGTATCACCATGATCACTATTAATAGTATTATGGTTTTTGTAGCACTAGCAGCCTTTAGTTTTACACTTACACTTACAGTTTAGTTTTTACACGCTACTCGCTAGTACATGATGATTGTATTACTTACTACTACAAAGTACAAGCGCAAGCCGCAGCTCGCCAGGCCAAAGGACTTACAAAGTCGTGGGCGTAGCAAGGAAGCTCCGCACGCACGCAGCTAGCTTGCAGAACAAACACGACTGAAAACAGCAGTGGCGATCACGGATCAGCATCTGACCCACGCGGGCCCACCTTGGACTTGGTTGCTTGGATGTTGATTTTTGGCCAACACGGCAACTATTACGAGTATTAGGCCAACCACTGCTCCAATCCATTAGCCGCCTGCGTGTCGTTATTACCGGCCACGCTCGCTAGCAACGGCGTTGACGCAGAGCCGCCGTGAGCCATGGAGGAGAACGGTGCACGGGCAGAGACTGGGTCGACGCACCGCCGAAGCCATCGCCTATTGGACGGTGGCGTTTTGCGGGGACTGCTGTCCAAGCCGGAACATAGCGAGCTCGTCGATGCATACCAGAAACTCAGCGAGGCGCGGGCTGCAGCAGCAGCGACTGGCGCGGAGCCGTTTCGCGCAGGGGTTTGCTTGCAGCGCTGGCGAAGTGACTTGGTCGTCGCTGCTCGTCAGTCGGCTGCACTCGGTTGGACACACAAGCACAGTGAGGACGAGGACGCGGATCGTGAAGAGGCTGGTGTCGGCAGTGAGTTTGACAACGAACAATCGCGACTAGACCAGCTGCTGGAGCTGTTCAGAAAGCCCCATTTCAACGCCGTCATGGATACGTACGATGCTGTCGAGAGCCAGAAGGAGGAGGAAGAAGCTCCAAAGGTGAGCCGCAGCATTCAAAATCGACCTCACTGTCAATGCTATGTAATTGTTATGTTTGTCAGGCATGCCCGCTCCAAACTAACTACTTCTCAGCGTTCGTGTTCATGTTGAGTTTCGCTTGTACCAGTCGACCCCCATGTCTTCAGTTTGTTGTTGCGCGGCGGTCGAAATAAGATTGCACCTGCGCATGCCGCGACTGTCGACCCGTTCGTGCAGCCGCGATCCCCATCGTTATGGGCCCCGGGCATGCTGTTGAGAGTGAGCGATTTGAATTCGCAGTGCATATGCATTGCCGGTGCGCTCCGCTCATCTGGAAGAGCCTGTGCGGAGCCTGAAGAGTTTTTGGTGGCGCTGGCTGCGAATTGCAACAATGCAGTCTGCACGCTTACTGGTGCCATCGTGAGAATAAAGAATTGAATTCAACGCTCCCTTTCTGTTATTTACGAAGAGGGCCAATCCCACCGCTTGCGCTGCCCCTAAATTACTAAATTGCAGCACTATTTTTACATTGTATTTACGTTTGCGGTAACCTTACACGGCGGCACAGTGGGTGGGTGGGCCATGGGGCGAGATATGGTGAAACTCAGCCAGTCTCATACTGTCGTGGAAATAGGCTAGACTCTAAGCACACACCCTGACCCTGGGGCTACGCGCACAAGCTGTATCTAGAAAAATCAACAGTGTACAGATTGATTTACTAGCTGCGAACGCGAAGCGCTGCGCGACATTGTGCCTTGGGCTAGCGGCGGTCAGCTGGTGCGCTTGTTTTGCGTGGTTTCTCATTGTTCTGATCATTGAAACTCTGAAAACACCACCCTGAGTACTAGTACTCACGTACAGAAGTAACTTAGTTTGACAACTGAAGCTCTATACAGTACAAGCAAGAGTAGGATAAACAAGAGTGTGCAACTCCGCATCTCTTCTGCACAATCTGCAGATACCCCCGCCCGGCCCACGGTAGAAATTTTTGTTGACGTCACCTTTTTCAGAAACATGTGCATTTTGCCGCAGAGCAGTGTGGGAGCACGTGCTGGGCACCGACCTTGTAATATAAAGTCCGGCGAAGTTCACAAGGCAGACTTCCCAAAAGACTCGCAGTGCGTGTGCGCCGTAGAAAAGATAACGTCAACAAAACATTCCGCCGTGGGCCAACCCATCCGCGAGTTGCGCACTCTTTTGTTTATCTACTCTTGGTAAAAAAACCCTGTCAAGGTGACCGCTCCATAACTTCATAAGGCAACCAACCATCTGTCACAGACGCCCCGTGTCACTGCAACCAGGATCGAGGGATGCTGCCACGGTCCACTGTCACATGACCCTGGACTATGAGCAGATCACTTGGTAGCAGAGGCGGCCACGTTTTGAAAGTCCCTCGAGCGGTCGTCTTCCGCGACAGGTTTGACTGTAGTTCGGTTTGCTGTGCTCGCAGTGTGCCATGTCTCCTCAATCCTATTCCCATGCCTCCGATAAGAGAACTCCGTAGCTAGGGGTGGCTATCTGGTAGCTGTAGTTAGTCGCGTGTTTGATGCTGCCGGTTTACTGCTATTTGTGTCAATTCTCCTCCGAGGAGAGTGTGTTCTAAACCATCAAGGCATAGCACATCATGCACGGTCCCAAGTTGCACAAAGTCCCGAAGCAACTCAGTAGAGACCGGGTGTGCTGTCAAAGAATGCAGCACTGGGTGTTCGATGGAAACGTGGGCCCTGCAGGAAGCAAGAGTAATACTACTCGCTTTCGTGGAGTGTGGCTGGTGAACTATTCGTGCTGTGGTCTGCAAGCGTCGTGTGGTCTCGTCGGGCCAAATGAAAAACCTATTACTACTATTTGACGGACCTATGGAAGATGGCAACAAGGAAATACTGCTTGTTTTATCGGAATAGAATTGATCAGTAATTCAGTATGGTTGACTCTGATGACATCATCCTGGGTGCAAGTTACTAAACATTTGGCTAGGTTTACTATAGTTCGGTGACTGAACCCTGCCAGGTTTCTGGTGCATGTGATGTAGAATTAGGTGACCAGCATTCCCTTCGCCTGTATTCTAAATTTAGGTGCCTGGTTGTGTGTGTGTGTGTGTGTGTGTGTGTGCACGCGCGTGTGTGTGTGTGTGTGTGTGTGTGTGTGTGTGCATGTATGTGTGTGTGTGTGTTACAGTCTCTCTCGCCGTTGCCGGTCTCCCCTAAACAGGCGGTGGCGGACGCAAGCGCGGCGGCAGCCAGCAACGGAGCCGCCACCGCCAGCAGCAACGCCACCGGCGGCGGTGGAGAGCGTCCGGTCAAGCAGGTGGGAATACGGCGCAACCCGAACGAGAAGCTCGGCATCGTGCTGAAGGCCGACGGCGATGACGTGGTCATCTCGCGCATCCTGATCGGCCTGGGCGCCGACCGGCAGGGCCTGCTGCACGTCGGCGATGTGATCTGCGAGGTGGACGGCGTGTCCTGTGCTGGCCGTCTGGACCTGGCCGAGGAGCTGGTCCGCAAGGCTAATGGCTCGTTTACTATCAAGGTAGTGTACACGCGTTGTGAGTAGTGTGTAGTCCAAGGGTGGAGGTGATCCAGTTGTTTAAGATAGGTGGTGGAGCGGATGATATGCATTTAAGAGAAGTTACAAGACTCTACTGTAGCTGTAGGAGGGGGTGAGATGCACTGACGAGCGGAGGTGATCCGGCCAATGGTTTGCGATAGGTGGTGGAGGGGATGAGATGAATTTCCTGGGCATGTCTTATCATAATTATGCGATCGGAGAAGAGGGGTCTTGGAGGAGGGAGGAGATGGTGAGAGCTGCGTGCCATCTTCAACTTGAAGGCGCTTGCGATCAGTACATCAGCGATGTCTGTGCTAAAGCATATATCGGGTGTTTCGCTAGGATGATTGTGCATGTGCACTCCCTTCTGTTAGTCATAGATTTGAGCTGTAACTTGTGACTCGGGGTACATCTGATGATTGCTATGTTGCATCAGCAGCATAGCAATGGTTTGTAGGAAGCATTTTGAGTGTGCGTGCGTATGTGTGTGTGTGTGTGTGTGTGTGTGTGTGTGTGTGTGTACACGTATGTGTGCTTGTGCGTCATGTCCATAATAATTATGTTTGTGTGTTTGTGTATGTGTGTGTTTGTGTGTGTGTGTGTGTGTGTGTGTGTGTGTGTGTGTGTGTGTGTGTGTGTGTGTGTGGTGTATGTGTGGTGTGTGTGTGTGTGTGTGTGTGTGTGTGTGTGTGTGTGTGTGTGTGTGTGTGTGTGTGTGGTGTGTGCGTGGTGTGTGTGTGCGTGGATTCTTCTTTACACACGCCCTGCAATGCAGCTCGTCCCCTCTCCAATGGACGTCGTGGAGCACGCGCCTCTGTTCTACCGTGCCCTGTTCGACTACGACCCGACGACGGACAGCGAACATCCGTTCCAGAGCGGCGGGCTGCCGTTCACCAACGGAGACATTCTGGAGGTGGTCAACTCCGAGGACGCCAGCTGGTGGCAGGCGCGGAAAGCGGACAGCGAGAATCGCAAGACGGGCCTCATACCGGCACGCGGCCTCCAGGAGCGACGTTTCGCCTCCAAGCGCAATCCATCACAGAACGGCAGCGGGGCGGCAAACGGAGGTGGCTCGGTGGGCTGCCTGGGCATTCGCAAGAGCAAGCCGAAGGCAGTCATGTACTCTTCGGCGCACAACGCCGACTTCGATCGCCACGACATCATCACCTACGAGGAGGTTGTCAAGACGTCGCCGCAGCAACGACGCGTGGTGGCGCTGATCGGCGCGCAGGGCGTCGGCCGTCGCGGCCTCAAGTACCGTCTGATCACGGCGTCGCGGGAGAAGTACGCCACCACCCTGCCGACGACGTCGCGACCTCGCCGGGACGACGAGGAGGACGGCGTCCAGTACTACTTCTCCGGCGGCGACGGGATGGCGCGCGAGGTGAAAACTCCAGCGTACCTGGAGAGCGGAGAGTACAACGGCTTCCTGTACGGCACCAAGACCGACTCGGTGCGCGAGGTCATTGCCGATGAGAAGGTGAGTCCGGGTAAAGTTTTTAATCTAAAATGGAATTTAGTACAGTAAAGTTGAACTCGGACGATGTGCCAATAGACCAATCCCGAAAAGATTGTCTGGGTTCGTGAAAGGGGGCACGCGTGCAAGCCAGCACGTGTGAAGTGCATCGTTTTGTATTCAGTTTGTGTGTGTCAGCTCATGGCGGAGGAGAGAGAGACTTTTGCTCGCCGAGCTGAAGCTAAAGGATTTGATGGAGTCCTGCCAGCAGCTAGTCAAAGGACCTTCGGTACCTTAGGCAGACCCTGACGGAGTTTGGAGGCCAGCTAGCTCTCGGTGAGGAGAGAAACATTCGCGTGGCGATCGACTCTCCGTAAAAAATGCAACCTACATAGCGCCGACATACTGCAACAGCTACGATTTCAGCTAACTTCTCGATCTGCTGCTTCACAACGTTCAACTATTTACAAGTCCTGACTGTTGTAGTCTGAAGCTGGAGTCTCATCGCCCACCTACAGGTAGCTTTTGGAGCTGATGGATTTCCCGACTTGGACTCCTTCCGCAAACTCTCGCAACATTACTACAGACTACAGTGTATGCTGTGTTTCCGCACGCTCGTGTCGACATGTCACCTATACTGTACATGTACCGGGTCGCGGAGGAGCTTGACGACCTCCGCTGACTCCAGGTTTCCGAAATACTGCCGTTGTCGTCTTTGATGTCGCTGGTGACATTCTCCCCTTGCAGGACGTGCGCATAGTTGTCGTCTCGGGGGTAAAGACTATGTTGTCTTTCGAAATAGTTCTTCATCACGCTCGCGCGAATGATGTTTCTCATCATGAACTCGTTCCGACGGTGTGACACGGCGATGGTCTTTGGCGGGGCACTGGCTTGGCGAAAACGATATCTTCTTGTGCAATATAACATTGATCAGCTGCAGATGAGTACAGTCACTTCGTGGTTGGTCCTATAGGAGGGCAGCTGCCAGGAAAGAGGCAGGACTCATGGAAGACGAAGCGCTCGCAACAAACAATAGCACTCGAAACATCTCGTAAGATTTAGGGCCTATCGCTTTGAGCCACAGCGCTCACAGCCTTGCCTACTTCATCAAAGTGAGCTCTACATGTTTGTTGACCTCTTCACACTACACAGAAGAGCGAAACAAGGATTATGTCTTAGCATTTCAACTCCAACAGCAGACCATTACCAGTGCGAGAGAGAAAACTACAAAGGGCTTTGCTTTCTGTCGCATCGTCTCTCTTGCATGCAACTAACGAGAAAACCGTGTACTTACCCTCGCATTCACACGCGAACTATCAAACACGTCCTGTGCCGCATGCTGATCAGGTAGTGCCATGTATGTGTTGTACAGTGACATGCCCCCTTTCGAACCCAGACAATCTTTTCGGGATTGGTCTATTAAATTGTGGTGAAAAAAAATGTCTCCGAATGTCTCAGTACTCCTTGTCAGTTTTGTGCCATTTTGTCACACACGCTGACTGTATAAGATCTGGTTACGTTGGTGGACAGTTAGTCATAACTCGTGACATTTTGTCCTTCTCCATTTTCACCATATTTAGTACAGTAAAACCTGTGTTTCTGCACATTCAAACGATGCCGACGCGAATCTCGCGAATATTTCTACGACTCAGACGTGTTTGATCAGGGATTGTGAAGAATCATTTGAAACACGACTGCATCACCATGGAAACTCAAGTTCACACGTGATTATGGCCGCAGTTTAGCAAAAGAAGGATCCACGAGCGGGATTCGAACCCAGTCTTTCCGGGACAGTGCCCTACCGATTAGGCTACTGGGGACCACACACACTCATGGGTCCTTCTTGCTACACTACTCCCCTGCCCCAACAGGCTGTGTCCTCACGCCGTACCTACTTGCGGGGTACGATGGGTCGTGGGTTCAAGCCATTGCCAGGCGCCAATGTTGCGAAAGAAGGATCCACGAGCGGGATTCGAACCCAGCACCCCTGTCTTTCCGGGACAGTACCCTACCGATTAGGCTACCGGGGATCACATACACTCATGGGTCCTTCTTGCTACAGTAGTCTGAATCGCCTATAAGGAGACCACCTGGTAACAGAGACCACGTTTTGAAAGTCCTATGAGCGGTCGTCAGACAGGTTGAAAGCAGATGAGACTCATACCTCATACAGGGGGGGGGGGGGGGTCGGACATGCTACGGCCACTTCGCTATTGAGTAATTTACTACTGACCGTACCACTCTTCGTCACGCATACCCTGTGAATCAACAAAAAGCGCTCACAGACTGGCGTCCAAAACTTGAAAACGTTCATAGGAGACACTCCAACCCCACGGGTAAATTGTACTTCAGGTGGCCGTTGGCTGATCATGCTACCCTACAGTACCTTCCGGCGTCCCTGACATGGATACGAGTTATGGGCAACTGTCCACCACTATAACTGGATAATGAATGCACAGCATCCAAGTTTCAGTAATTAAGCTTCTAGATGTTTCAAGACGTGCTAGAGCCGATAGCCAGTTAGTTGTAGAACGTCAGTACCGTTGGTCAGTGTCGTGCAATGTTATCGCATGAGCTGTTTGTTACGTGACTGGTGCTGTTAGTGGACATTAGGGAGGTTTAGTTCCCACGTAACGGAAACGCGTACGTGGGTGATCCACGTAAAATGGATGAAGGGCACCCACGTTGCAATGTTGTGTTTAGTCACACGGAACAAACAAAAGCATGAAGTGAAAGGCCCAAACCTGGTCAAAGACGAAGCTACCCGGGCCTAAGAAATTCATCCAATATTTTGATTTCGTGCTTCGGAAACTTCTTCAGCTGAGCACCCTCACAGCTCGCACAATGCGCTCCATTCTGATTTTCACCCACGTTCTGGCGGAACGTGGGTGAGCCTCCATACACGGTATGTCGTGAATCAGAAAACGTCTGTACGTGGGTCACTGAGTATCACGTGGTACACACACGTAAAGTACCCACGGAGTACGTGGGACTAAACCTCCCTATTATAGCGTAACTTGTTCCTTGGTCTTCCTTTAAAAAATATGTGTTCACTTATGGGTGTGCACACGTGGGTATGTGTTTGTGTGTGTGTGTATGGTACATGGTGTATGTGTGTGTGTGTGTGTGCGTGTGTGCGTGTGTGCGTGTGTGCATGTGTATGTCCATGTGTGTATGTGCACGTGTGGGTTTGCACGTGTGTGTGTGCGTGTGCGTTTAGATCTGCCTGCTGGATGTGAATCCGAACGCACTGAAACGCCTACGCACTGCCGAGTTCAAGCCCTACGTCATATTCATCAAGGCACCTGACTTTGAGACGCTGAAGGTCATGCACAAAGAAGCAGCGGCGGCCAACAATCAGGTATGGCAGCTTGTCTGTGGCTACCTCTTTCTAGTTTCTACATTTATTTTTTAGTTCATCAGTAGAAAAGAAATGATACTGGTTCCCATGCAGGGATCGGGAGGATCAAGCAATACCTTTCCGCTTCCGTGGGACGTCACCACCCCATGATCAGGTGCCAGATGCTTTATTCTTGGATAGCTCAGGATTCTGGCAGACGAGCTGATACCGGCGGTGTATCTTCTTGCATGCCTGTCATTAGAATGGAACCAGTCCTTGTTTTGGTCTTGATGACAAGCTGGTAGCGACGTTAGCCTCACTTTTCTATAATTCCGGCTCATTCGTGTGTGTGTGTGTGTGTGTGTGTGTGTGTGTGTGTGTGTGTGTGTGTGTGTGTGTCTGTCTGTCTGTCTGTCTGTCTCTCTATCTGTCTCTCTGTCTTTCTGTCTCTCTGTCTGTCTCTCTGTCTCTCTGTCTGTCTGTCTCTCTGTCTGTCTGTCTGTCTGCCTGCCTGCCTGTGCATGGGTTTGTGTGTGTGTGTGTGTGTGTACACGCGTGCAAACTTGAACATGCTTGCGTGCATTGCTGCTCTGCCCGCCTTCGCTCACTGACACACGGCAGGAGGCAGCCAACGCCTACACTGATCAGGACCTGCACCGCACACTGCAGGAGAGCGAACACATCGAGAAGCTCTACCAGCACATGTTCGACACGACCATCGTCAACGACAATATCGAACAGACCTATCACCAGCTTCAGGAGCGCCTCGCCGAGATCGACACCGACGAACAGTGGGTTCCGGCATCCTGGATGATCTAGTGCGCATCGCAGCCCCGACGTTAGGGATGGGCCAGAAGGCCCGGTTTTCGGGTCAAGTGGCCCGGCTTTCGGGTCAAGTGACCCGGTTTTCGGGTCCGTAGCACCGGGCTTGTAGTTTCATGACTTGAGGCACCCAGGAGCGTAAGTGTAGAGTGGCACAGGTAGTAGTCTGGTGGTGAGGTGTGAGATAGAGAACAGCCGCTTTGAGCGTGTGTGTGTGTGAGTTTGAGACAATTCAAATTAGGTTTTAGGGTGTGCCTGCTGCCGCTGTGGTCGACCTGCCCTGCGCGCCACTAATCTATCTCAATGCCCTTCTGCACCTTGTTCATATGTAGAAAGCCGTCGTATCTCCATAGTTTCCAAACGTCAAAGACTTCCACCTGCTTGTCATCTGTAAGCCTGTAGGCCATAGTCTCCACGCTCGTATTATTATTATTATTATTATCTGTTTCAATTTCTTGTCGAAACCGAACAAGTTTCACTGGCAGGTGCTAGCTACTGTTAATAACTAGTTGGTTGTCTCGTTCTAGCAATGATCGTATCTAGCCAATGTGTTTAAAAAAATGTGCAAATGTGTTTACCCGAATTCTTCTTCTTCAGTAGCAATGCCGGTGGTGTCTAGCCACTGTGTTTGCGTATTCGACAGTGCAGCTTTCCAATTTGACCGGCAGTGAGCGTACTAGCAGATAGGTGTGCGCTGCAGGCTTCCCGTCCGTACGCATGCGCCGGTCTCTGCCTCGACGGGTGTCGCTCCCAACTCGGTCCGCTGCCGCCCGAATAAACGAATGCGAATGGCAATGTGCGGAGCTCGCTGACAGACTGGGCCTCGGAGATGACGTTCTCGAGCGCATGCCGCGGGCAGCGTGCGGTGTTTGTGCTGATTATTTACTGAGCCTGTTGTGTCACGAGTGCGCGACATGCGCTTAGCTCATTGTAGTCAATCTACATTTAAGTACTATACTCCAAGGTGCAATGCACTGATGATTCTATTTTTTGACCGATCTATCTTTTTCTCCAAGTTCCTTCTCCTTTTTCTACTGCCCACTTCTGCGGAAACATTTTTTTGCAGTCAAAGTTGCATCTCAACAATCAATAGCTTTTTTTCACCGTATAGCTGGCAGTATTTAGTACTATGGCCTTTTGTAGGCAATTTAGTGCTCTGTCACTCTGGAATTGTTGATAGTGCTTGCAAGAAACTGTGTTGGTAGCCCCGGTTTTGGGCAGGACAAGTTAGGCTGAGTTTACGTCCACGTGTGTCTGTGGTTCTGTGCTAGTGTGTGTGTGTGTGTGTGTGTGTGTGTGTGTGTGTGTGTGTGTGTGTGTGTGTGTGTGTGTGTGTGTGTGTGTGTCGCCTTCGGCGATGGACGTCCAATGGTCCAACGGTCCAATGGTGTGTGTGTGTGTGTGTGTGTGTGTATGTATGTGTGTGTGTATGTGTGTGTGTATGTGTGTGTGTGTGTGTGTGTGTGTGTGTGTGTGTGTGTGTGTGTGTGTGTGTGTGTGTGTCCCATATGGTGCAGTGGTATGTGCAGTCGATTTCCAATCGAGAGGTTGCGGGTTCAATTCCCGACGATTATGGTCGCACACGTCGTTCCTCTCTTTCTCGGACTCTTCCTGACTTTTATTTCATTCTCCTGGGTGGTTACCAACAGCCAGTGTATGCCAGAGTATGTGGTGTGGCGTGTGTGTAGAAAAATATGGAAAAATGAAAAATAGGGATTCACTGGCCAGAAAAAGTCACTTCAATCAGCTGTGTGGTGGATACCAGGCTAAAAATAGCGGCGGTCAATTCATCAGCCTTACAAGCTGTTGAATGGTGTAATCCCAGCACAAGTTGCTATGTCTAACATAGCTATTCGCTATCATCGCTTCCACCATGGGCAGGTCTGAGGTCTGAGGTGTCAGGGGGGGGGGGGGGGGGGGGGGGGGGTCGGTGTGTGAGTTGGTGTGCCTGGTGTTTGAGTTGGTGTGTGTGTGTGTGGGGGGGGGGGGGAGTCCCGGTGAGCGGAGGTGATCGGATGTGGGTGACATGATCACCGGAACCCATTTGTCAAAAAAACAGTACTTGGTGAGGAAACTTAAAGGGGAAGTTAAGGCAAAAATTAAAATTTCACCAGTTGTAGTCTTCGGGGTGCTGAGTCGAATGGTCTTGGTCCGAGAAAGCTGAGACGCTCCCTTCCTACTTGAATCCCAATCGAACTCGCGCACTTCCACCGAAACTGGGTGACTGCGCCCTACGAGATGGGGATTTGTATGCAAAATGTCACTAAAAGCGCCATTTCGTTCTTATAAAAGCACGGATGACCGCCATTGGCCCATATGTTGTAGTCTTTTGGACGCTGAGTCGACTGGTTTTGGTCCGAAAAGGCTGCGATGCAGCGTTCGCCCCTAATTCCCAATCGAACATGGTTGAACAAGCGGTCACGTGCTCCTGCGTACACCAGTCACCTGGTCACCGTGCCTGCAGGGTACAACTTACAGCCTGTTTTGACCTTTTTTGGGTGCAGTCCTGTCACTCGAGTTGAACCTTGGTGTGAAAGTTGTCGCCTGCTGGCGTGGTGACCAGGTGATTTTGGCACCCAGGAGCACGTGACCGCTTCTTCAACCATGTTCGATTGGGAATAAAGGAGGAACGCTGCATCGCAGCCTTTTCGGACCAAAACCAGTCGACTCAGCGTCCAAAAGACTACAACATATGGGCCAATCGCGGTCATCCGTGCTTTTATAAGAACGAAATGGCGCTTTTAGTGACATTTTGCATACAAATCCCCATCTCGTAGGGCGCAGTCACCCAGTTTCGGTGGAAGTGCGCGAGTTCGATTGGGATTCAAGTAGGAAGGGAGCGTCTCAGCTTTCTCGGACCAAGACCATTCGACTCAGCACCCCGAAGACTACAACTGGTGAAATTTTGATTTTTGCCTTAACTTCCCCTTTAACTCAGCGGCTGGGCTAGGAGTACGGCAACGTCTGTAGGGCCTTCCCTATCAAAATAATAAATTCTACTACTACTACTACTACTACATGTATGTACGTGTGTGGTACATACATTGTACTTCTTTACGAGGGTTTGGGCACTGGGTTTCATGCAGCTGAGAATAGCCGCTTCGCCGGGAATTAATTGCAGACCTTTTGAAACGCTGCCGCTGAGAGCTGGAACCTCAGTACATCATCGTCACGAGCCGCTGGTGCTGTGATGCGAATACGGTTACTATACGGTCTCCGAGCAATCCATTGGCACAAGTTATGCATGGCGAAAGGGGAAAAAACGTTCATACCCGAGTAGCCAGGTTTGACCAGGAAGTCGTAGACCCGGGTGCTCGAATCAGAAACGATTTGACAGGTGTGAAATTTCTCATCTGTAAATCTCAACAATGTCAGAATATACTTTTGGAGAGGCGATGGAACAGGGAAGAGAGTCTGGCTTGGCCCACCCAGCAGGAATTCAGAACCCGGGTGCGCTACAACACAGCCCACAGTACGCAGTAAAATTGTCGTATTTCCTTCGGATTTTTTATTTGAAAATTGGGTGCTCGACTAAACAGCGAACTCGTCAGATCGTCTCCGATTCAAGCACATGGGTCTACCATCGTCAACGCTTGTTATGGCAGTTGAGGGCAGGGAGTAGTAACTTACTACTTCGTTTTTGAGAGCAAGATGGTCAGCGGAGCCGCAGATTTTTAATTTTTTTTTAATTTCGGCCAGTCGGCTACTATCATTTTCGTCTTGGGGGCTAGACAAGGGGAAGTAGCCATGTCGGGGCGTGAGCCCGCCTTTCGGCACCGGGAGTTGCAGCTCGCTCGACTTGACTCTACTGAGTGCAGAGGACCCACACCTTGATCTGGTGAGCTGCGTCGTGGGGATTTTGCAGTCAGATGTGCGACTGCGGGGCTCGAACCCGCGACCTCTCGGGCAGTACCCAACAGGCGAAGCGCCAGCACCGAAAAAGAGCCCTAAAAGTTGCACTTTTATTTTCCAAATCCGACCCCAGGCCCGGGAAATTTGAAACTCAGCTCAATATCGCCAAAAAGAGACTATTTTATCCCTTGCTCACAAGAGCTTCCCTGGTGGTATCGGCTTGTTCCGAGGCAATGTTTGGGAAGGTGCGGGCATTAGCTGCCCTAAGTTTCGCGGAAAGCTCCAAGCGACATCATTTTCCTCGCTTTCTCGCCAGAGTTTTCAAGACCGACGCAACTCGTCGTCAAAAAGTACTCAGCGTGGATTTCGTGCCGAATTCCGCCCCAAACAATTTAGGCTGACCTCTCGCCACCAATCGAACCCACTGATATGTATCTACCTTTCAAACGACCCACGTGCCCTTTGCTAGGTTACGACCAATCAGCAGCCTCGGAGAGCGGGCTTTGATATTCCATCAAAGCCCGCTGTCATTGACAACCTGTACGAGAAAACCATCAAAGCCCGCTGCCATGCTGGAGCTAGGTTTCTCAACTTGTGGAGTTGGAAACCTAGCTCCAGCATGCACCGCAGAACTCTCAGCAGTATGCAGCGTGAGCAAGGCGTGTATGGTGGAAGTGAAAATACTTCCGTGACTCTTCAGCCACGTCTGGCTCTTGACACGTAGTCGAGAGAAATTTCTCACGAAACAGGTTTTTCGTCCACTGACATTACTTTCCCTTTGCTGTAATCTCTGTGTGAAACTTACGAACGGGACGAAAACGACATGCACTTTAGACTTCAGGCTGCTCTGAAATCCCAAAGGAAAGGCCGACATTGTCCACACTCGAGATCACCCAAAGAATGAAGCGAGTTTGATTCAAAATCAAAAAAATGTTGGGGATCGTCTGAAGCATATTCAAGCGAGGTACAGTCGGGCTTGATGACTGATCAAAGCCCTCGGGCCCAGCCCTTGGGCCTACGGCCCTCGGGCTGGACCCTTGGGCTTTGATCAGCCATCAAGCCCTCTGTACCTCGCTTGATTATCTACATACACGAGCAATGGTTTGAGCCCAAAGAAGGACAACTTCACAACGAGCACACTTTCTGAGGGTAATATTTTCTATGTATATCAGTATTAGAACACCATCAAGACGACAAATTGACCAGCAGAAAGACAGAAAGTTGCACTACAAATACATGCATACAGCAGCTGTATAAACATAAATAATTGAACAGAAAACTATGTAACTGGATCCCACCAAAAACAGTAAAGCATCCCAAATAGTATGCGCATACACATATACATGAAGGAAGGCTATGTTGCCACCATACACTGGCTACGCACACGGACATCATTCTGGAGAGCTGAGCATCAGCGTGCGCACACACCCACACACACATCTGCATGCACGCGCGCACACCCACATGCGCATGCACACGCGCGCGCGCACACACACACCCACATATACACATGCACGCGCTCCTGCCCTGTGCTGTCGAGCCACTGCCACAAGGGTTGCGTGGGCCTCGAAGGCACCGGAGAGAGAATAGGAGAACGCAGTCCCATAGATACACACGCACACACACACACATGTACACAACACGTGCAAGTACACACGTGGCAGCTTACTACAAGAGAACCACACAAGTTCACATGTGGGCGCGAACTGTATTCACAGTTGGTCATACTGTCTTGGGCATATGAGGGAGGAGCAGGAGAGTGAGTGATTGACTCAGACACAATGCGCTTCGACATGCTAGCACATGCACCGGTTTCGGACAGTGGCAGAACGTGACGGAGAGAGAGAGAGAGAGAGAGAGAGAGAGAGAGAGAGAGAGAGAGAGAGAGAGAGAGAGAGAGAGCACCAGCGTTCCAGCTCAAGCTCCAAATTTCTAGTTGCTTCTCCTGGTCACAGTAAACACAGAACAGGGCTCAGGCAGTGCCGAGGAAGTGCTTGTACTTGGTGCAGTGTCGTGAGCAGGATAAACTTCCAACATCTCTACACAGTGTAGCTCTTCAGGCGCACACGAAGACTCAGAAACCGGAATATACTTTACATGATGATTGAAAGTCCAGCAGCACAACAAAACTTCCAAGGACTAGTTTGGCACTAGCTTCCGTCTCATTGGCGTGCGCCCAGCCAGTTTTGGAAAGAAAGAGTAGACGTTCATTCCTCGTTCAACCTGCAATGAACTGGAGACAACACAAACCAACAAGACGACGATGGTTATCATCAGCTCATGTGTTCACCACCGCAGTGCTACCATTCACTTTCCTGCTCCAAATGCACTACCAGGCTGCATGGTACTACTGTCGTGGACATGGAAATCCGGTCGCACGTATAGCGGCCCCAGGGCGCTGGCCATGCAGCCGTAGCACGGTTTATCTTGCGCTGCTGATGGTCGCATTGGATCAACATGTGCACTGCATGCAACGTTCTGTACGTGCTGAGGGTGCCGGCCCCGGTCAATCGACTGGATTTCCATGTCCGCGACAGTACGATGTGTCGATAATAGACCGTGATTTGCATTTTCCAATGATTAGGACTGGTATTATTTCTATTTTTCACACTTAGAAAGAAAACAAGGGGCAAGATTTGATATGGATTATGTGGTTGTTGGCTATGTCAACATTTGAAAGAGGGTTGCAACCGTGATAGCACTGCAACATGAGTTTAAACCTACGTATTGCATGGTATACTCAACAGTTGGCGAGCAGAGAATTTCGTGCCGAATTCCGCCCCAAGGTTGTGCACAGCAAACAACTTGATATATCATTAGCCCTACCCTTGTGCTATACGTACCCGTTGTGCCGATCGAGCCTGAGCCCTCTACTCGACTCCACGGTCCAATGACATTCGGTCATCATGGCCAAATTCAAGTCACTCAAGTGTTGAGAAGTGTCTACGTCGTCGCACACAGCATGTGTCGACATACAAAAATATGTGTACGATAGAGAAAGAACTACTGAAGAGCAACCAACTGGTTTCAGCATTCTCCTTCAAAGGATAGGTCGGTGGCAGAGGGCCAAAGCCGGACAATAGTTGGAAATTCTCAGCGTTGAATTTCTACAGGCTGTAGATACCTGGAAAAGCTCGATTTCCCGCCACGGAAAATAAAAAAGTCTTGATTTGGGGTGCTGGCGCTTCGCCTGCCAATGTACCCAATGTACCCAATGTACTACCGGGGAGCCCCAGATTCAGCAGGTCTTTGGCAGCACCGTACGGTAGACCCACATCCTCGAATCAAGCCAAGGACCCAACAAAAAGTGGGTCGCGAGTATTTCAAAAACCGTTTACCGGGCAGAGCTGAAATTTGGCATACCGTTAGCGGGCCGTATGTTGATGGTATTTCAATTATTTGTGAAAACTAAACGAAATCGGAATAAGTTTAGGTACAATTTCAAGCTGTTTCTGTTTTGGTACCCTGTGTCTCATTCGAGCACCCGGGTCTACGAACAGGGGTTTGTAAGACTCCTGCGCATGTTACATAAAACCATGGTAACCCCCTCGCCGGGCCATGTCATGTACCCCTACTGGGGGGTTGTTACTCTTGGTACCAAAATAATAATTTTAAAACTGATACATGTACCATCAAATCGCCAGGGCAGGGGGTTCAGTCTTGCGTCTTCAGTGGTACCAAGAGTACATAACCGGTTTATGTACTCTTGCCTTGGTGGTACATGTAGTCACCTGGTCACTAGTGATGATGATCTGCCATGAATAGTGTATGTCCGTGGGGGGGGGGGGGTGGTATGCAAGCTGCAAGCCTTGCCTGATGCCGAGTGATGGGTTTGTACTTTGTAGGACCCGCCTACAAGCGAGACTGCCAAGAGTACAATGTTTATGAGTCTTGCTACTAGTAATACTACAGTACTTGTACAAGACTTAGTAATAGTTTACACTTCGCCGAGATCGGGTTGGCGACCGACTTTTGGCGCATCTGCCGCCGCGCAGTGCAGTATGAGCGTGAGTCGTATTTTTACAACTCTCGGCATTTCTTGCAGCTTGTAGCTGTAGCTATGTAGCTCCAAGTACTGTAATAATACTAATATGCACGCATGCGTGCCTACCTTTTGACGGTTCTGCCTCCGAGGCTCGTCACCCTGCAGAAATGGCGTTGACGATTGCCCGTCGAACCCTTCTTCTCGCTCAAGTATGTCCTCACTGCCCGTAGCTGTACTTTGGCAAGTTAGAATCATTCAAATTTATCTCTGGGTTTGGTGTTGTTTATAGGGGTCGCGGGCTCTCTCCAGTGAGGATGGTGGGAGTAAGTAATTTTTGAATTGCGATCAATTTGTAAAAAATCTTTTCAATTTCCATTGCTGTCGAATTGTGGAAGAAAGTTTTAAATGTCGTGTCCGGTTCCTTCTTCAATTATTTTATCTAGCGATGCACGTGTGCTATGCATGTATTTGCGGGCTAACAAATTTATTTTATTTGCTGAGCATTTGTTCAAATTGTGTTGGAAATATTTGAAATTGGAAATGTATATGCACACACATACACGCACGTACACATACACGCACGCACACACACACGCACACATACATGTACACACACGCACATGCACACACACGCTCTCTCTCTCTCACGCACACATACATACACACTCTCTCTCTCACGCGCACACACACCACACCACACACGCACGCAACACACACACCACACACACACACACACACCACACACACACACACACACACACCACACACACACACAACACACAACACACACACCACACACACACACACCACACACACACACACCACACACACACACACACACACACACACACACTTATATGCGGGGGACATGCTACAGGTTTCAAGCTATCGTTTGTGTTCAGCCCTCTGTAAACTGTGAAGTTTGGTCAGATCGTTGGGAGTAAGTTAGTGGTTGAAAATTGTTTGTCTCACTCCATGTTTGTGGCGAAGAATCCATTGCGTGTTTGCACCAGGTCTAATGTGATACGATCAGAGTATTATTGCTCCATCCTTCTCTCCTCCTCCCCCCCCCCCCCCCCCCCCCCCCGGACATGTCAAACTCCTTTAGGAGATGCATCTACATCTTCATCCTTGATCCTTGATGCTGGCGGCGTTCCTATGGATGCAGAAACCCCAGTCTGACTGGATCTGACACGAACCATGAAAAAATCATTAGTTTGAGGGAGATGAAAAGAAAAAAAAGGAAGCTATCCTCATTGCATCCCCCCAATTTCCCCCCCCCCCCCCCCTCCTTCATAGTTTGTTAACACGAATCCTATGTCTGTGTGTGTTTTCATGCATTTGTGTTTCTGGCTGTGTGCGTATGGTGTGCGCATTGTGCAGAGAAGCTCACCGGTCTAGACTCGCTGTTTGCAAAGGCGAAGACCGGGAGCCCGACTGATGCTACACCAGCTGCCAGCAGCAGCAGCAATAATGTTGAAGGCAAGGCGGCCAGCAGCACCGCCGATGTACCGGCTGCTGCCGTGAGCAATGCCGACGCAGGCACCAGCGGGAGCAGCAGTGCCTGGTCTCAGCCAGGCGCGGTGCAGCCCAATTTCCTATCGTCGGCCGGCAGCAGCGACCGCTTTCAAGACCTGATGCAGGACAGCGATGCGCCGGTCGTGTCCGACACCTCCAATCCATGGTTCACCGACATCGTGGGCGGTGGCCAGGGCCTGGCCGGCGAGGACGCCGCGGATGCGTCCGCGTCGCAGCAGGGCGCCTTCGCCACGTCGTCCGCGTCCGGCGAGGCACAGTACCAGCAAGAGCAGAGCGGCGGCGGTGGTGGTGCCGCGTGGCAGGTGCCCGAGGGCGAGGGCCAGTGGCAAGTCAACGTCCACTCGGAGCAGCCGCAGCACGACGAGTGGCAGGGCAGCATTCAGCAGCAGCAGCAGCCCGTGCACGATCAATGGCAGACCAGTATTCACGGTGACCAGCAGCAGTGGCAAGCTTCTGCCCAGCAAGACATGTGGCAGCAGCAGCAACAGCAGCAGTCGCAAACACCACACGATCAGTGGCAGCAACAACAGCAAGCGCCGCACGACCAGTGGCAGCAACAGCAGCAGCTGGCGGCTGCTGCCGCTGCCCAGGTGTCAGCACAAGAGCAATGGATGCAGCCGATGCAGGAAGCTCAGCAGCAACAGCAGCAGCTCTGGCAGCAGCCTGCCGATCAGCAACAGCAGCAGGACTCGCTGTGGGGAGCCGCAGCGCAACAGCAAGGCCAGCAGCCGAAGCAGGATGACGATACCATCAAGGTGAAGGCTCTGGAAGACAACAACCCGCTGAAGGTGGACATTCCCATGGATCGCGTCTTCAAGCCGCGCACCCCATCACTGTGGGACCGCATTTCAGGCACACCGCCCATTCCCGTCGACCATTGGAAAGAACTCGATCGGTACGCGGAGGAGACGCCACCACTGGACGACGTTTCTCCGATATACCGAGACGCGGACGGCGTAAAGCACTACGTGCCGCAGAAGACGTTTACGGCGCGTGCCGAGCACTTGTCGGCGCTGCGCCAGCAGCTGCACCGCAAGGTTGACCGCCTGCAGCACCTCTACAGCTCTCAGCCGACCGACGTGGCGTACGGCAACGAGTTTCGGCAGCTGCGCCACGCCATGAAGCCGCTGCGGCAGCAGCTGCGCAAGCAGCTCGGCCTGCGCCACTGGTACGGCGCCTGCGTCAGCCCCGCCGGCCTCCGCGGCGGTGGCAAGGGCAATCGCTTTCCGCCGCCGGAGCACGTGGCCACGTCTCGCCGCAACATCGACCAGGCCCAGGTGACAGAGGAGCGACTCTTGACACCCGAGGAGCTCGACGTGGCCGGCGCTGAGCTTCGGTCCAAGATCAACGATATGCTTCAAGAGCCGTTCAAGACTGACGTTGTGAAGCCTGTAAGTCTGGCAGCATCAGGTGTTTGAAACTTTGAATTGAGTTACCTTACCCGATTGCCTGTCTACGGTGGCATGTTTTGGGGTAGCATCTGGTCGTGTTTGCACGTTTTACCTCCGTTCTTGCCAGTTGCATGCACGTGGACACGCGTGCACAGCCACGAGTGCAATGACGTGTGCGCACGCACACACACACGCGCACACCTTTGGACCTTTGGATGCCCATTGCTCCGTGCAATGATAGCATCATGAGTTGCAGTATTTCCTGTGGCGAGTTAGATCGTTGGGCCGACGGAAGTCCCTGCCACAGCCGCAAATGAACACTCTAGGCTTTGGCACAGCCGGCCGGAGACGATTGCACATGGCGCGCACACACTATCTATCTATCTATCAATCAGCTACCACGGTGGGGTCACGCCGCCCTCCACTCAGAGAACTGAGCGCAAGGTGAGGGGCAGTGGCGCAAAACAAAACAAGAAGTACAGCAGAATGAATTGAAAAAAGGAAATCAAAACAAGCTGCCATATTGATGGAAAAGGACTCACAAACCAGATGAACAGTCTGCTGTAGGTCCACACACGCACACGCACACACACACACACACACACACACACACACACACACACACACACAGTGACACACACACACACACACCATTGGACCATTGGACGCCCATCGCCGGAGGCGATGATAGCGATGATACAGCAGAAGCCATAGCAGCTTGTGCTGGGATTGCACCATTCAACAGCTTGCAAGGCTGAAGAATTGACCGCCACTATTCAGCTATTCACTATTCACTATTCACACACACACACACACACACACACACACACACACACACACACACACACACACACACACACACACACACACACATACACACACACACACACACACACACACACATATTCGTTCTTAGCAGAAACCGGAGGTTTTTCCTCTGGTGAGAAGGCAGAATTGCCTGTGCTCTAAACGAATTCAAATAAAAGAAACAAAACAAAAACACACACACCGTGTCGTCGTGTTCTTACAGTGGCGTCACACAGTCACACTATCCATAGTGTGTGTGTTCCTTCCTCTCATCCATCCCTTTTCCTTTACTTTGTTCTGTCTCTGTGTTACTGTTCTTACCAACAGTCACTTCACACGTCGGAACACGTCGGTCTTTACTACAATGTTCCCATGAAGGAAGCGGAGGATCTGTTTTCTGACGAACTGCCACCGAAGTTTGCGGAACAAGTGAGTATTATATTGCAGATGGTGGTGGTGGCGGTGGACTAGCCCCATGCACGTTTTGTTTTGAAACGGCGAAAGCTCGAGCTCGCGGCGAAGGTTCGCACCCGGCGCCTGCTGTGTGCGGCGTGCTTTATGCGGCATGCGCCGTGGGTTCTAAAACGGTTGACGTCGATAAAAAAACCTCCGTGGACCAGACCAGCTGTAGAGCTGCACGCTCTTGCTATGTGCTCTTGGTTCTACCAAGAGTACGTAACCCCCACGAGTGTGCAACTCCAGCTATGGGGTCTGTGACGGTAGAACTTCACATCACGTGATAAACCTGTACGCATTTTCTGCACCCTGTGCATGATAGATACCCTGCTTTGGGTTCAACTCTTTGCTGATCACTTTGCACTGTTTGCCAGCGTAGCCTTTTTGAGCCTTGTTATGTAGTGTGAAGTTCTGCCGTCGCAGCTCTGCATAGAGGTTGTGCAGGCAGTTGCACACTCTTGGGGGTTATGTACTCTTGATTCTACTCTTTCCATTGCTTCTTCTTGCTGTCACTGGGTCAAACACTCCGTCCTCGTTATTAGCATTGCACGTTCGCAATGTAAGTGGGTTTGCATACTTCGCTTGTGCCATTCAGGACAATACAGAAACAGAAAATACCGGAAGACAAAGCTATGAGGGTTCTTGGGATCATAATTCGATGAGTGTTTTGGAATCGGGTGGTATTTATAATTGATAGTCAGTGATCCAGTCGTTCGTTGATCCCACTAGCCACGGTGAGACATTTCTGCAGGAAGTGGAAGCCGTGGCCCCCAAGCATTCTCGGCAAATGGCACCTGAACGTCAATCGATCAAAAGCAGAATAGATAAAGATACCAAAAACGCTCTAAACTTGCTCAGTTTGCTAGTGCGGTCTACCACTTAGTGCTTGGCGACTCCGCAGTAGGCATCGATCTTATTTTGATTTATCACCCACGACCGCACCATCAGGGATGAGAACAATGTGCTACAGCCACTTGCTAGAAAAGCAAGTACTGTATACGCCAACACGTTATACAGAAGTCGATACTTATACTGTTGCTAGTGAGCGTTGAGAATGAGTGAGAATCGTTACCTTTGGTGCACGTAAACTGGTCAATTTTAGGAAATCGTTATGTTTACGACTCGTTAGAATAATGGCTTTTACAGTAATTTAATATTAAGCTTTGCCCTCGTTCTTGTTTGTTGTCTGCTTTTGCTTCGCTCCGTTCTCCTGCTGTGCGTGCGTAGGTGAAGGACATGCGCTCGTTTGACATTCTCATCCGCCAGCCGTCCATCGACATCTCCGAGGCCATACATCACGTGCACAACACGCCCGGTTACGGTGAGGCCGGTTGCAATCCCAAGATCCTGCTGTCGGGAACGCGCGGTGTCGGCAAGTCCATCGTCCTGCTGCACTGCGTTCACATGTGCCAGGACCTCGGCTGGCTCATCTTCCACCTGCCTGACGGTAAGGCTACTAAGCGACCGGAGACAGAGGGGCAGACGGACAGACAGACAAACACAGACAGAGAGGCATAGAGACAGAGACACAGAGAGAGGGAGGAAGGGAGACACAGAGAGAGAGAGAGAGAGAGAGAGAGAGAGAGAGAGAGAGAGAGAGAGAGAGAGAGAGAGAGATTGAGAGATTGAGAGAGAGAGAGAGAGAGAGACAGACAGACGGAGAGAGAGACAGACGGCGAGAGAGACAGACAGACAGACAGAGAGAGACAGACAGACGGAGAGAGAGACAGACGGCGAGAGAGACAGACAGACAGACAGAGACAGACAGACTGACAGAGACAGAGAGACAGACAGAGAGAGAGAGAGAGAGAGAGAATAAAGTGTGCACATCCGCACTACAACCGCTTGTGCAATTCTGTTAAGAAACACAAGCCGCTATCTCAGGCATGGGGGTGGCCTGGCACAAGCGAAACTGTACTTTTACGTGTTTAAGTACGCACTGGACAGTATTGTGAACCTGAGGCAACCGCGCTCAATGGATGCTCAGCAGATGATCCCTTGATCCCTGTGTGCAGATAGTCAGTAGTCAGCATCTGTTGTCGTTTGCTTGGAAATTATGGCGTTCAACTGGACCTGATTACTCCAACTTTGAGGGGTGTCAGGTGACGTATGGCAGTCTTGCCAGCGATAATATTTGCTGGAGCAATTCAGGCATACAAGAAATAGCCCGGTGTGCAATTTAATTGTTTTGTGTGAGTCGGTATTGTAGTAGACGGACTTTCTCCTACACAAACCTTTATGTCACAGTGGCCAGTGATGCGTAACTGCCTTGCTTACATTTAGAGATCGCTAGCTAGCGCTGGGAGTTGTAACTAGACTTACCGTACCGTATATAGATATAGACTTACCGTACCGTATATAGATCCGTCTGTCAGTTTCCCAGTTCAGTTATTGCAGTCTTTACTTCCGTTTTCTTAGTCTTACCTTCACTTGAGTCTTCCTGTGCTAATAACATTGTGTCTTCGTGCAATCACTTAGTTCAATATTATTCCTTGAAACTACTACTTGTGCAATTGCGAATCGTGGGAGAAATTCAGTTTGTCTTGTCACTCGGTCGCTCATTACAGGTATCTTGTTTATGTGGGTAGTAGTGTCTTATCTGCCGAATTCTCTCTCTTCTCTTCTCTTCTCTTCTTTCTCTCTCTCTCTCTCTCTCTCTCTCTCTCTCTCTCTCTCTCTCTCTCTCTCTCTCTCTCTCTCTCCCTCACATCCCTTTCCTTCCTTGTAGTGATGCAGACAACGCTGAAGCACGGACGTTACTACAATCCAGCGCTGCGTGCTAACTTCTACAAGGACGACCGCTTCGACATGCCGGAGCATGCTGCTACATGGCTTGGCCAGTTCGTCAAACTCAATGGCTCCAAACTGGGAGATGTAGGTTCCTTTCTGCTTCGTTGGAAATTGAGTGTGTATGTGTGTGTGTGGACTTCAAACAGCTGTGTGGTGGATACCAGGCTAAAAAATAGTGGCGGTCAATTCATCAGCCTTGCAAGCTGTTGAATGGTGTAATCCCAGCACAAGTTGCTATGTCTAACATAGCTGTTCGCTATCATCGCTTCCGCGATGGGCATGTCTGAGGTGTGTGTGTGTGGGGGGGGGGGGGGGGGGGGGGGAGCACGCCTTCCTCCCTTTGCCTATACTAGGCTATAGGTATTTAACTTGACGTAGCTATTTCCAGAAAAAGTACCCACGAGTACTAGTAGTACTATTTCCACTGAAACTTGCCCAAAGGGTGCCCGTACTTCGGGGTCCGGATAACCGACGTATGTGTGTGTAACTTTTGACTTTCTCTTGTATTTGACTTTTGCTTGCTGTTTGTCTCCTCAGGTGAAGCTGACTCGCACGTATCAGTTGAGTGAGAAGGACGTTGTCGAAATTGACACACCGGTCCTCAAGGCCATTGAGATAGTGAGTCATTGTGTCCTGCAGCGCGCGCGGCGGTATCTCTTGCTGCCACCTGCACCAGGCGGCCAGGGAGCGCTGTGCTCCGCGTTTGCTGTTTCTCATCCTCATTCCCCCTGTGTCCTGCAGCGCACGGTGTCTCTTGTTGTCACGTACGCCCTGCATGCACCTGGGAGCGCTGTGCTCCGCTTTTGCTTTGGCAATCGACTCACGCCCTGTACTCTTTCACTAGGCCCCGTGTCCATTTGCACGCGGCGTCTCTTGTTGTCACGTGCGCCAAGCGGCCTAGGAACGCTGTGCTGTATCTCATTGTCATTCGTTGATCGACTCATGCCCTGTACTCATTGACTTTCACTAAGTCCTGTGTTCATTGTCATCTGAAAAAAGACCCCCCCCCCCCCCCCCCCAATCCACTCTTTCCTCCACCTGCACAACCATGTGACCAGATGTGCCAGGGAATGATGTAGGAGTCCGATATCATTGACCCCGAGTGTAGCAATGAGGCAGCAAAGTGCTGCATCGTCCGACCAGTGTTCTGTGCCCCAAGGCAGAATGTGCTTGTACAGCAGCGAGAGATGGAGGCTCATTTCTACTCAGAGCGTGATCCCTGGTATCCACTTGTACATCCGATTGGGAGGGGGGGGGGGGGGGGCAGAGTTGCTGGATGCCTCAGGAGAGAGAAAGAGGTGTCGTTTCCTGCATCATATTTGCTACCCCCCCCCCCCCCCCCCTCCACACACTATCTCTGACTCTCTCTCTCTCTCTCTCTCTCTCTCTCTCTCTCTCTCTCTCTCACACACACACACACACACACACACACATGGACACACGTGCGCGCACACACACACACGCACTTTCTCTCTCTCTCTCTCTCTCTCTCTCTCTCTCTCTCTCTCACTCTCACACACACACACTCTCTCTCTCAATGTGTTTGTATCTCCTGCATCACTCGTAGGCTCTGTACAAGACTGCCTTGGCATCAGACATCATGGGTATCGTGATGAAGGAAATCAGCCACACTAGAAAGTAAGTGTGTGTGCGTGCGTGTGTGTGTGTATCCTTCGAGTGTACAGGATTGTGCTGTATTTTGTGCTGCGATAAGTAGGTACTTACCGCTAGTGGTTACCACACTTATGGTGCAGCTATTGTATTCATTATAATTCATGGGTTCTAGTTGCTTGTACTCCATTAGGTAAGAAAGGACGAAAACTGGCTAGTGAAATTCTGGAGTCCTGATGTTGGTAAAGGGCTTGAAATTTGTACTTTTTCTTACCATTTTATGCTTCCTCTCTCTTTCTTTCTCTCTCCCTCTCTCTCGCTCCCTCTCCCTCTCTCTCTCGCTCCCACTCTCTCTCTCTCTCTCTCTCTCTCTCTCTCTCTCTCTCTCTCTCTCTCTCTCTCTCTCTCCCTTTCTTTCTCTCTCTCTCTCTCTCTCTCTCTCTCTCTCTCTCTCTCTCTCTCTCTCTCTCTCTCTCTCTCTCTCTCTCTCCCACTCCCACTCACTTACTCACTCTCACTGTAACTCACTCAGATTCAAGAGCCTGTTTGCCATGGATGCGTACAACCAGCTGTTTGAAGGTTGTTACCGTCATCCCACTGGGTCACAGGAGGTAAGTGACTGTGAACCAATGGGTGCTGGCACAGGGCTCAGTATACTCAATCTGTGTGGACAGCATGCTGTTTCGTCCTTTGGGGACTCCTCTGCGCAGCACAGAGAAAATGTGGCCGAACCTGATAGCAATGAAAAATAAATTTTCCAAATCCAGATTTAAACCAGGCCCGAACGTACCTTGCCAGAGTGCTCAAAATGACAAGCCCGTGTGCTCAATACTATCCAGATGATCTGTGTTGACTCACTCTCCGCACAGCTGGCTGCCTTGACCTTGTCAGGTCTCATCAGCGGAGCACACTGGGTCTGGCCGAACCGATTACCATGCGGTCTAGTGAGAGCAACATTTTTTAAGTTTGCTCGGGGCACCGAAATCAGAGCACTCTGCTGTGAGAGTTGCAGTGAGCTTTGCACGAGTGTGCACACGCATACCATTGCCTCTGCCAGCTATGACACATCCGTGAGACTGCGGGTAGTGATTCCGGTTCGAGAACTAATGCTGTTGATGGGTCCTTGCTTCACATTGAGTGGTTTTCTCAAAACTTATCACATAATTATTAGCTGTTCCAAGCCAGTCAGCATAAGCAAAGCTGTGGACTCAACATCCTGCTGGTACACTTCAATGCGGAAATGCTTACCTTGATAATGATTATCTACTCTGATTTCTGTTACTGTGGCGGGCTGTGCGCGTGCGTGTGTGTGTGTGTGTGTGTGTGTGTCTCTCTCTCTCTCTCTCTCTCACTCTCTCTCTCTCTTTCTTCCTCTCTCTCATGTATGTGTGTGTGTGTGGATGTTTCTTGTGTCTAGATCCGACCTGCTCAGATTTCTCACTTGCGCCACTTTATGCGTGCGCTTCGCGACGACAACTACATGGTGAGTGAGTGTAGCTAGCAGCCGTCTCTTTACACTGTACTCACTGTGCTCAGGCTGCTACCACCGCCACCCCCACTGCTACTGCTGTGGTGCTCACATTGCAGAAGCTGCTGGCTGACCAGCTTGGAACGTGGCATGTGCTGTGGCTCTTTTCAGCTGACCATCTTGCCACACTGCCCGAGATGCTGGCTGCCCAGCTTGGAGCGTGCTGTGTGCTGTCACGATGAGTGTCATTACCTTTCAGTGGGTGCGTTCGATTACTCCCATGAATCGATTCATGCGATTCATGAATGGAATCTCGTGCATTCAAGTCGTTCGATTTCATGTCCTGAGCCCTGGAATCGGTTCGTAATCGGTTCATCCTATTCACATGGGGTGATGAGAATAGGCAGGGTTAATTCATGAGTGGATTCAAGATCGATTCGTGGGCAAAATCGAACGCACTCACTGCCGACATTGTATCTGGTGTCACTGCATTCTGGCTGAATTTCTGCTGAGCATTGTCGTCTGATGATTGAGTAGAAACATGAAACTCTCTGATAGCACACAAAAACCGAGGGGGGGGGGGGGGATGGCTGTGGACGTGTAGCTCAAGGTTCGCGCATTTCAGCAATAATCAGATGGTTCACGAAATTCGTTATAATTATGCGAGTTCGTTATAAGTGGAGTCGACTGTATGTTCAAAGGGAGCCAGCTGACACTTGCTCTTCGGGAATGTGTGGTTCCGGTTTCCTGCGCTGGCTGAATACGGCCACGACCAAACATTCATCTCTTCTCTGACTGGTGTTGTAAGCAAGCGGGTCCCCACTGCCCCGCCGGCCACTGATTGTCACAGTGGTTCTGGAAATGTGAGATGATCTCTTGCTGGTGTGGCCAGGCGCGAAGCCCGCATGGGACGCGTGCACTCCCCCACCACACCCCTAAAAATCTCGACCTAGGTTTAGCATGCACGTATTGACTATGAAAGACATGCGCCAGCCATCCTACACATATGCGGCCATACACCCCCCTAAAAGGGGGACCGGCTACGCCTCTGCTGTCATGCATCAACCATCCTACATATATATGGCCGTGCACACACCCCCTCCCCCAAAAAGGGGGACCAGCTACGCCCCTGCTGTCATGCATCAACCATCCTACATATACTGTAAATATACAAAATTTCGGCAGCTACTGTATAAGGCCATGGTAAAAAATAAAGTTGATTCTCAGGTCATGAGCCTGTGAAAATCGGTGCGAGCGAGCGATTTTTTATTTTAATTCCCACAATTTTTTTATTTCCAAAGATAGGGTCACACATGTGTACGTCACAGGTTCATAATTAATTTATAATTATTTTATTATTCAGGCCGGGGAGTAGAAAAATACCGGTATTTTACTACTCCCGGATTCATGCCTTTCGCATTGACCGTTTTCATGCACGCATATGCATGCATAGAAATAAAAAAAATCGTCGGTGCGCCACCAAAAATCGATGCGCGCGTACTTGAGAATCAAAGATATTTTTTACCATGGCCTAAGCAGAAAATTTCGTCCGTCAATAATTTCGTCCAACTCTAAAGAAAGGGAGTTCGTCCGGTTGTAAATTTCGTCCATGGATCATAAGAGTGCATTGAAAAGCTGAACGAATCGATATTCGTCAGGCATTTAATTTAGTCCAAAAGCTCCTTGGACGAAAAAGACGAAATTAAATTCCAGACGAATATTTCTGCTTGTACAGTATTTAATTTCGGCTATATTCGGCACCGACCCAAAACGCCTAAATTAAAACGCCGACGAAAGTTTTCACAGCATCTGTCGCTCTACCCCACGCCGAAAATAAATCGCCGCCGAAATGTCAAAAATCGTGAAGTGCCGAAATTTTGTATATTTACAGTATATGGCCGTGCACCCCCCCCCCCCCCCCCCCCCTAAAATGGGGGCCAGCTAAGCCCCTGCTGTCATGCATCAGCCACCCTGCACATATGTGGCCGTGCACCCCCCCCCTAACAGGGGGACCAGCTATGCCCCTGGTGTGGTATTTTAGTTGATGGTGTTGTTGCCACCGTTGTCATTGCTGCTGCTCCTGTTGTTATTTTCTGTATGCAGGGTAATGGTCTGGCCGTTCTTGGTCTGCGTCATTTCCTCGGCTACAAACGTGACCAGTACCCGTCGTACCATGATAACGGATATGCCAGGGAGTTCCTGAACGAAGTGGTAAGTTGATGTGTGCGTGTGTGTGTGTGTGTGTGTGCCTACTTGCTTCTGGTGATCGCGGCACTTGTGTTTGTGGGTTGTAGTGGGAGTGGCGGTGTAGGTGTGGCCAGCTCCGATGGTGACGGCAGAGGTGGTGCTGTGGGTGGTGTGGTTGGGACAACCTAGGCTCTAATAGAAAGTTGCTGCTTGCGATAGCTTATGTATGTACCGTAAAGTACCGTTGATCCGTCCCCACGCCATATCGCTTCCCAGCTGGGTTTTCGGCAGGGGCGGGAATTAGATCAAGGCTGTCAAGTGCAGTACGATGTACAACAACGTAGAAGTTCAGACTCGATGTGCTGGATTGTGCACATTTTCATCCTGGACTGGCAAATATTGTGTACAGCAGTGCATGCGTCGGTTCAACATCGTATTCTCGTTGTATACACTGAAGTCGCTTCACAGGCAGAAAATCGACAGGGGGGCGGGAATTAGAGAGGGGGCGGGAATTAGAGAGGGGGCGGGAATTAGAGAGGGGGCGGATCAACGGTACTTTACTGTACATGTAGTGATGGCCTGTGTGGATTCCCTGGAAGCACGAGTTTCGAAGTCTGAAGAAAACGTTGAACGGCCGCTGCTTGAATGACGACTACACCATAGCTTAGTGGAGTATTGCTGGCAATAAGCTAGGGTCCTGGTGGTGGCAGTAAATTTCTTCAGACTTTTCACGTGTTCAACTCCCTCAACCTTATGAATATGTTATGTATATTATGTACATGTGATGTTCGAAGGATCAGTGAGGGAAGTGAACCGCCTGAAAAGAGAAAACATGCAAACCCTACCAAGACTCGAACTTGGCACCTTGCTTTTTATGAGCAATGCTCTAACCATCTGAGCTATGCGACCAGACCAAGCCGAACCAAGAATGCACTGACAAGTTTTTTTCACTCCAAAGGCCACCACTACACAACTCACACCACCTGCCACACATACTGATGGCACTTGGGTCTTTTCCCCTCCCCCAGGTTGGCAATTTTTTCTCTTTTCAGGCGGTTCACGTCCCCGGCCGATCTTTTGAGTTTGAAGTTCTCCCCGATCCTTTCAAAACATGTGATGATGTGTTGTATGTTCACGTATTGTCAAACAGGGCGAGGAGTTCACACGTCCCTATTATGATGTGCATGTGGAGCCATACACGGACAAGGAAGTAGCATCCACACTCAACTACTACCACGACCGTAGATGGATTTCCAGAGGTATGAACGAAAACGTCCGTTTGATGTGGTGATTGCGATGCATAGCCTCTTTTTTTTCTTTTCCTCGCTCTGTCTCTCTCTCTGTCTCTCTCTCTCTCTCTCTCTCTCTCTCTCTCTCTCTCTCTCTCTCTCTCTCTCTCTCTCTCTCTCTCTCTCTCGGGGAGGCAAAAGTTGCGGTGCAGTTTATATCCTGCCATAGTCGTGTGTGTGTGTGAGGATCGAAACTGGAAGCTCCATTCATTCAATTTGATGGGAGTTTTTTCATAATTGCCTCTTGGGTGCTAGTACCTCCAGTAATGTCCCTGCAGTGTTTGTACTTGCTGTGTAAGGTTTTGCAATGCAGAACACTGAGCTAAAGCGTGCGTGCCTGGGTGTGCTGTGGATGTGTTCCACGTGTGTGCGTGCGTGCGCATGTGTGTGTTTGTTTGTTGTATATCTGGATGTGTCCCGTTTGTTTGTGTGTGTGTGCGTGTCTGCGTGTGTGTGCCTGTACGTGCGTCCGTACAGACATCTCTCTGAAGATGTATCAGCAGACGAAGTTCCTCTCGGGCAGCCGTCCATCGGTCATACAGGACATGTCGCGGGCTATGTAACAGCACCAACAAACGAGCTAGCACCAGCAGCAGTAACCGCTGCTGGTGCTGCTGCTGTTGGCTGCCAGTCACGGCTACTGGTGACGGGGCTGTTGCTGTTCACATGATCTGCCGGCATGGCTGTGTGCACTCCAGTCTCAATCCTGCTTCTGCCGTCGTGTGTACAAGTGCAGCATTAGCAGCACTCGCCATACACCGGGCACTACTGTCGCCCCGCTGTGCTACGCATCTGTCCCCCCGACCGGCGCTTTCATTTCCAATGCAGCAGCGGACACCCGTCTGCATTGTTGTCACGGACACCGCTCCGGTTGCCGCCAAGTAACCGTTGCGGAGCTGATGTCAGATGTGCGCGAGAACTATTTATGCAGTGCTATCAATTACATAGTGCTGCCGCTGTGACGATATGTGCAATGGCTTTTCCAATTTCCAGCACCCCAGTGCTGGCCTCTATAGTGTCTGAGTATGTAGCACAGCAGTATGGTGATGTTGTGTGTGTGTGTGTGTGTGTGTGTGTGTGTGTGTGTGTGTGTGTGTGTGTGTGTGTGTGTGTGTGTGTGTGTGTGTGTGTGTGTGTGTGTGTGTCTGGAGAGGTTTCACCACCCTCCAATGCATGCACTATCATGCAGCTCTGCCGGCTGTGTCTGCGTCATCCTCTTGCCACCCGTAGTGTACATGTAACTCCCATCGTCGGCCCGCAAGGGTCGTGCGCTTTCTTTCTGCATTGTTAACGAATTGTTATGTAAGTTAGTTACCACCGCTTTGCGTGGTAAGTTTGACTTTGTGTCCTTGAGGGGTGTAGTACTATTGCATGTTCTCGTGCTGTGACAATGGATATAGCGAGATTGATGTGGCAATGGATTTAGTGGTCGTATTGTTGTGTCCGTGGATTTAGCAGGTCGGGCATTGTTGTGGTACTGGATTTAGCTGATCCGCCATTGTCTTGGCAGTGGACTTAGCAGATCGGATATTGTGCCAGTGGATTTAGCAGGCTGGGCATTGTTGAGGCGGTGGATTTAGCAGGTCGGCCACTGTTGTTGCAGTGGTCTTAGCAGGTTGGGCATGGTTGTGGCAGTGTCTCAAGGAGAAAAACTGGCTCGGGCAGGTCTGACAATCCAGCCGTCCAGAAAGAAGGGGGACACGAGCACACGGGGTAATTAGACCCAGCAGTCTTTCCCTGACACCAAGAGTCAATGACCCCAATAGAGCTACATGCTTCACGCGTATCTCAGGATCCATGCAAATAGAAAATTTATTACATCCTATATATAGAGAGGTTCCGCATAACGTAATTACGTTAGTAAAACACGTAGTCGATCTACGGAAAGTCTTACGTAAACTGCATGCGCATCTGTGTTCCGCCATACGGAGTTTTCAAATCACGTAGCTGCCCTTGGCAACTCCGAACGCGGCAGTGTACGACCAGATCGATCTGGGAAGAAAGCCATAAATTTGTACCCCAATCCACTTACGGACCAGCTACGTTATCAGAGGCCTATCTACGTACTCTCCGTAGACAACTTTCCGTAAGTGGAGTGCAAACTCGCGAATTCACGGGTTTTCCCCGCCCACTAACGTAAAGTTGCTCAACTTTACGTAGTGCGGAACCTCTAAATAATCTTAGCATACCACACGCCCACACACTCCCACACACTCTCACACACGCACACACACACACACACCTGGTCCTAGGAGCTGGTAAACACTGCCATTACGGTCACGTGTCCCCTTGCGGGGCCGACAATATGGAAAAGTCAGCGGTCTGCTGAGAGGTTGGGGACCACGAGAGAGCCATCTCTGGCAGCTATGGATCTGGAAGCCACGAGTAGAGCGGCAGCACCAACCACAGGCCCCACAGTGGGCCTTGCAACATAAGAGAGCGAGCTGGACATGCGGCGGCGGAGAGTCGGCTGAGCAGCAATGGTGGGCACCGCTGTTCGGCATGGAGCTTGAGGTGATGTCGGGAGGGGGGGGGGGGGGGGGGCGTCTGGGAGATAGGGCACTTGTGTGCCGCCAAACCTCCGGCACTGCGGAACCAGCACTGGCAGGCAGAACATTGTCGGCTACCTCTTTGTTCCGATACAGGTTTGCGGTGCTCACCGAGGTATTTGTGACAAAGCAACTGGAGAAGAGACGACCACACTCAGCACAAGGTACCCGCAGACACACACACACACACACAAGTCATTACGAGTACCTTTTCCTGTGGTCGGAGAAACGTGTAAGTTACTCAGTGTGGAGCCAGGACCGAGCTTGCGACATGCGTGTGCAATCAAGCAGAAACAAGTGCTAAGCTTGGAAGGTATGAGCAGATCGAGTTACATGATAGAAAAAGTAATTTTAAATAATAATAGTTTCATCAGTTAGTCAGCTACATCAGGTCGTGTTATGTCCGCTGCATGCATGCAGCATAGCAAAATGAAACTGTCAAGGGAAAAAAACGTGAGAGGCTCAGAGCTATGTAAGGTGGCATGGGCACGCGTACACATGCAGCATTGTAGGAATTTGCAGAGACTTGGGGCTGGTGGAAGCGACAAAGGTGGGATGGGCGTGTGGTAGGGGCTGAAGAACACTATGCAAACCTTCCTGCCAGTTCAGTGTAATTGCGTTCAAGTGAAGAAAAGTTATAATTATATTTTTTTTAACCTAGTGGTAAGTACTCTAATTTCAGAAATTTTCGGTGCTCAATATTTTCGGTGTGAGTGCAACAGGCTAGGTTAGGTGAACAGAAATTTTCGGTACAGAGAAGCAGTTCCCTATTGGATTACGTGTGTTGGTGTTTGTTCGGTGTATTGAAATTTTAGGTATGAAACAAACGCACCGAAAGTACCGAAAATAAAAGTACACCGAAATTTTGTGAAATTACAGTATATTATAATTATTGCAAAGCTTGTTTCCTACAGGCTAGTGAGGTGTCGGGTTGGTGGGAAATCTAGTTAGTGGTGCGTTGCATGAGTTGTGGGAAACCTAGACAGGCTGATAGCACCAGGCGCGCGCGCCGGTGTCCTTCAAGGGGGGTTCTGGGGGCCTCCCCCGGGAAAATTTTCAAAAAATGAAGCAAAATCCTGCATTTTGTGCCACAAAAGGGGGGGGGGGTTCCGGGCACCCAGGTACCCATACGGGGCACGAGCCTGAGCACAAACATAATTATAGGGTAGTAATAGAAGGTTAGCAAAGAATATTATGAATGTTGCTGGTCTTGCAAACGGCCCAGCAAAGTACAGTAGTCACGCGCCCAAGAGCGTGGAGCCCAAGAACGTTCAGCCTGAAATGCTAAGGACGCCACAGCCTCAAGTCAAGAACGGCAGTGTTGGTTTTCTGGTAGCTTTGGGGATTCAGTACGAATTGTTTCTAAGAGCGTGCTATGAGAACGCAGCCAGGTTGCGGGGGAAAAATAAGAACGCCCCTGACAAACCCCTTGGACAACGTTCTTGGGCGCGGCTCTACTTAGACCGTGACCGGAGTGTCAGCGAGTGAGAAGCAAGGCAGTCGTACTGTCCTGGGTACGCGGCTTTCCGCGATGGTGGCCAGTCTCAGGGTTCGTTCGAGCCCGAGATCTCATTGAAGACGTCCAGCGAGACTTGGTTGTTGTCCCTGGCCCTCTGACCCGGTTCTTCTTCCATCATGGCGTCACCATTGTTCGGCAGGTAGCTGATAGAGCCAGGGTCAGCGATGCCGCTCCATTCACCTAGCAGGGTACACGCAACAAGCAAGAGAATTATTTAAAATAATATTATGTGGTGACAGTCAATTTTTTCTTCAGACTTTTCCCGTTCGTGTCTTTCCCTCAAACCAGTGAATAAAATATTATGTTTATTATTTTATTTATTGTGGTAGGGGGTTCCCCACAGACCTATGGTGTTCTTACGGGAGCCCCTAGAAAGGTTGAATGATGAACCTAGAACTGCAGTTAGACCTGCCCTAGCCGGATGCCCTTGGCGCAGCAGAAACTGTTAGTGTCCTGGCCGGTGTGGGATGCAAGCTCAAGCCACAGCACGTCGGTGCACGACAATTCCGCCAGGTCAATACAGTACTGTCGGTCGCCGAAGAACTGGGGGGGGGGGGTCAGCCTCCTAGCCTAGACCGTTCTTATTTTCATGTATTACAGTCTATGCACAGTTGAGTCACCGTGTATACATTGGGATGCTGTGCTTGGTAAAATTCTAGCCTGATCGTTCTTCGGCGCTCCGTTCTTCGGCGCCCGACAGCACTGTACAGGATCCCGCTTGGTATAAAGGGCCCGGCAAACACAGGTTTGTGTATACGTGCGCAGTAAAACCTGTTCTAAAAGGACACCCGAGACTGCAAATTGAGTTGCCCCATTTTTGGCAGGTACAGCCCATTCTAGTACATTTATGAGTATGACCTCACAATGTTCATGACCTATAAATGCAGAGCTGGTATTACAGTGTGTTGTAGTAGACTTGCCCCGCAAAACCTAACGGCGGGAAATGGATGCATATGTCCCACTCCCTCTCACAAATGCACAGACACTGTTCGCTCCCAGACGCATCAGCACTTGGCACGTCGTGCACAATGCTGTGCATGCGTCGTGACCACTGCACTGTCATTCACGCTTGACTTACTGCCCGGGTCGGTGGCTGCTGCAGATCGGTTCAGCGTCGTTGTAGCCAGGCTTTCGCGCTCCTCTTTCGCGTCGAAATCCGACTGGGTGTAGCCGAGAGCAACTAGAGGATTCTCGACCACCCGCGGAGCTCCGAACTCGCCGCGGTTCGCACCGAAATTTGCAGCTGTTCAAGCAGTGACAGTCAGAGAGGACAGGAGAGAAAATGGAGGAAATGAGAGGAGTGGAAAAACAATACACCGCACAAGAGAAATGCAGCCACCTAGGTAGCATGGACATCGGAGCGAGACCTGACTCGAGCCAGACCAGTTTGATCGGTTTTGTTGCCGAGATCAATTAACCAACACCACATCCAACGCCTAACATGACCAAAGTGTGTTATCGCTAACGGCAACTGCACCAGCATGCAAGGAAATTGCCATGGTAACAGCATACATCCTCACTCTGCTATACCCATGATGTTGTATAGGGGAAGTGCAGCGATGATTATGCCTGGAGATGCACATGCCGTGAGCTATTTTTTTTGCAGTGTCATGCAAGTCTCTTCTAATAGCCAAAGAAACACAATGGATGAAAAATTGAAAATGCAATACAAATGCAAACCTAGAAAACCAGAAAAGGAAATAATTGATGATTTATCGGAGGTGTTCCTGCACATTGCAATAGTGGGGGTTCAGGGTGTATTTCGAATTTTTAATACTTGAAATATGTTGTCACAACGCACAACTTGGCTTCTAGTTTCAAATATATTTCCAGGGGAGGGCCCCGGACCCCGTCCCTTTTTCCCCTTCAAGCGGAGCCAGACCAGCACAAGTTTCGGTTGAAGAAGCCGACAGCGCCAGCTTATCACAACGCCAGGCACACCTACATTGTAGCTCGATATTCCTGTTCTGTTTTACTTTTCTCTTCCGTTCGTCCGCCTTGATATTTTGTACTCTGTACCGTTGAGGAAACAAGCTGAAATATGAAACCTAACCAACCAGAGCTCCAATCTTGTCCTTATTGTGCTTCCTAAGCACTTGTGTCTCATCTGTGTACAGGTTTACCCTGGTTAGTATGACATAGGTTACAAGACAAACCTCATTAGTAGACAACGATGCAAAATCCCCTGACCGTGGCCTGAAGCGAGTACAGTGTAGTGTATGCCAGCCTGCTTGTGTCTGAGGCACTTTGGACTTACACCAGAAAGTGATACAGGCTGACACTACAATGAAAGCTGTTGGATGCTGTATCATTTTCTGGTGTAAGTCCAGAAGTACATGCAAGTTCGAACAGTAGATGATACTCGTTACAAGACAACAAATTCGACCCCCCCCCCCCCCCCCCCCCCCCCTTCGGGTTGTCTACTAACGAGGGTAGACCTTAACTTAGTACGCTTGCCTCACCTTGCCCCAGGCTGGCGTTGGAGGCACCGGAGGGTGAGAAGGTCTTGACGTGCGACGCCGGCGGAAGGCTGCCCATGTCGGGGCGGTTGATTGGTTGATAGGAGACTGCACCGACACCTGGGAGAAATCAGAATCAGAGCCGAGAGAGAGAATCGATAGCATGACGATGAGGACGTTTCGAATTTGATCAGTGAGGGGCATAGCCCTGTGTGCATTCCAAGCGGTTGCCAGCTAACTAACTAGTTTCTGCATGCGGCGCAGGACCGGCGTACGCAGTTTTCGATTGGTCTGGCCATACCCTAGTCTTTCATACAGTTTGTGTATGATATGGAGGGTAGTCACATGACTTTCATACAGTTTGTGTATGATATGGAGGGTAGTCACATGACTTTCATACAGTTTGTGTATGATATGGAGGGTATACACATGACTTTCATACAGTTTGTGTATGATATGGAGGGTAGTCACATGACTTTCATACAGTTTGTGTATGATATGGAGGGTATACACATGACTTTCATACAGTTTGTGTATGATATGGAGGGTATACACATGACTTTCATACAGTTTGTGTATGATATGGAGGGTGGTCACATGACTTTCATACAGTTTGTGTATGATATGGAGGGTAGTCACATGACTTTCATACAGTTTGTGTATGATATGGAGGGTAGTCACATGACTTTCATACAGTTTGTGTATGATATGGAGGGTATACACATGACTTTCATACAGTTTGTGTATGATATGGAGGGTATACACATGACCTCCTCAGCAGAGAGCACACGTTGGTGGCCAAAAAGCAGGCTCGGCCATGGCCTGACCCTGAACCGAACCGGTTCCGCCGGGCCATTTGCCGTGTATTACCTTAGCAGAGTGTACTGTAAGTCTACCAATATTCGGCGCATATTTATTTTCGCCTTTTTTCGGCCTGGTCATGTTTGGCTGAAAATTTGTTGTTGCGGCCGAAATTTCGTTTTGCAAGGTTCAGTGTGACAGTGTATACAGGCGGCAGCAGTACAGGCCGAAAATTTGATGCGGCCGAAATGGGTTTTAGCGCTGGCCCGGGAGGCCGAAATGTGAATGGGCCGAAAATTTGTTTGACTTACAGTATTGTAACTCTGTGGAAACTGGAAACCCTCTCATACGGGCAATCATAAATCATCACATCACTGACGCAACAGCTAACGAAAAAGCTAAAACAAAAAAACCCGGATGTAGTAAACAGGGTTTGTGACAAATCTTCCTCAGGCTGTGCAGACTCCACTGTAGCCACAGTTCATGTTTCACACAGTTATACACCACTACTCAAAAACGGTGTCTCGGCTACAAATTCTTCCAAATAAAATAAACAAATTCCACGACCGAAAATTCGGATAGAATTTATTTATTTCATTTGGAATAGTTTGTAGCTCCGAGACCGTTTCAGGGTAGCGTTGTATAGTTGTTTGTGACAAATTTGACAGAATTATCTGGGAGACGTTTACATTACCTGAAGACTGGCTGGTGTTTCTGGACGTATGCTTCAGGTAATTCAGGTACTCAGGGTTCTCGGCAAGACCAAAGCTGTCATCGGCTAGATGCATATTGCGTGGCAGGTTCTGCCGGCTGGAGGAGCGTTGGCGAACCTCGCCGCGCACCTCTCCCAGCTCCTTGCCCCTGTCAAACAGGACATGTTGAGAGTAGTGAGTGGGCAAGACACAACTATAGGTAATGATGAAATTTGAAGAAAAGTGTTGATCAGTCTCTGCTGGGATGACAGCTACACCATAGCTCAGTGGCTAGAGCATTCCAGCATCCCTGGTTCCAGTCCTGGTGGTGATAGTCATCTTTTTCTTCACACCTCTCCCCTGTCCATTCCCTCACAGGGCTGGAGGAAGAAGTTTTGGAGTGGTCCGGCCAACCTTTGAGGGGGGTGCGGGGGACTTCCCCCGGGAGAAATATTTGAAATTTACGTGAAATAGAGCGAATTTGGGCACCTCTTAAGGCTCCAGAAAATGCAGAAAATTATAGCAAAAGAACACAAACACACCTTTTTTTATCTATATCATTAAAGCCATACAGTGCCGGTCACGGAGTCCTGAGCTACTTCGAAGCACATCACACGTCGGCAGTACAGTCGAGCCATGTACCTCTGGATTTTTTCACACCGGTTTTGCACGAATCACATGGACCATCCAGCTGGGAAAGTGCCTGACCAGCCTGACCGGTTCCGCCGGCCCTGCCTCAACTAGTGAATGCATAATAATTATTTAGTCACTAGAAGTAGTCTAGGCAGTACAGGGTGGATGGACATCTGTCACATGACCACACGGGGCAGCCATGTTGGTGCGTGCAGGAGGCATACCTTTGGTGTACGCAGTAGGCCATGACGACGCAGACAATAATCAAGGCCACGGCGGCAAAGGCAACACCGACCCACTGGCCTATTGCGGCTGCATCTGTGAGGAGAGAGAGAGAGAGAGAGAGAGAGAGAGAGAGAGATAGATAGAGAGAGAGAGAGAGAGAGAGAGAGAGAGAGAGAGAGAGAGAGAGAGAGAGAGAGAGAGAGAGAGAGAGAGAGAGAGAGAGAGAGAGTACTTTACATTTACAACAAGTATATCTAAATGAGCTCTGGGACCTCTATTGCTAGTTGATTGTACGACCAGCACAAAGTGTACATATGTCAAGATGAAACATTTTGGCAGCGAAAGTGCAGTGTTTTAAGGAACCCTTCACTGCATGTCTTCCATTGCTAGGTCAAGCATGACAGCAAGCAACACGGCTGGGTCCAGGTATCTCGCTATACAGAGGTGCTGACATCTTGAGTCATGTGACTAAATTTGTGCAGAAAGTGATCATGTCATGTGTACAGTGTAACCAACATGGCCAACATCATGTGACCCATAGATGCAGGGGTTGAGTGGAGTTGGAACCAACATGGCCGTCATCATGTGACCTATAGATGCAGGAGTTGAGTGGAGTTGGAACCAACATGGCCGTCATCATGTGACCTATAGATGCAGGGGTTGAGTGGACAGTGGAACCAACATGGCCACTGACATCATGTGACCCATAGATGCAGGGGTTGAGTGTACAGTGGAACCAACATGGCCACCGACATCATGTGACCCATACATGCAGGGGGTTGAGTGGAGCAGTAACCAACATGGCTGCTCTGTATGGTCATGTGATAGATGTGAAACCACTCGATTGTCATGGTGGCCATAAGCCCATTGTGCATTACCAAATATGGATTGCATGAGTAGGCTGGGATCCGCTGCACTGCACTGTCCAACACCCCACACGACCATGCCCAGGTGGCTGTGTGGGGTGTTGGCGGTACAAATTAGGTCATTGAGCAATGGACATATTGCATATTGAACATACCTGACTGTGTGCCCGGAACCGGATGTCCACAGAACGGCTCATCTACAGAATCACGCAACAAGACACAACAAAACACACCAACACAGTCACCCGCAGTGAACATAAACGGTCCAAGAAACTGTCAACTCCCCATTACATTTCCCGGCACCTTTCATTAGACCTATAGAGTATTCAAGTGGATAAAAAAGAAAGGACAAAAAGTTACGAGTTATGACAAACTGTCCACCAACGTAACCAGATCATATACAGTCAGGGAGTGCGACAAAATGGCACAAAACGGACAAGGAGTACTGAGACATTCAACGACCTGACACCTAGCTCCAACACTTCTTTATCCATGATTACTTTGGCTCAGCATCCCAGTCTGTAGAGTAGTTTGTACATCTTTGTCATGTGACCCAGTAGTACTTTGTGCAGAACATGACCATGCAGGTTGTGTGGATAGTGGAACCAACTTGGCCGATATCATGTGACCCAAAGATCGATGCAAGGGTTGACTGCCTGGAGTTGGAATCGACGCGTTTAAAGCCTGGCCGAAATAACAACACTTCTCTTATGGCCGGCCAAGGGTCGTGATTCGCGAAGTTGACTGTGTAAAAAGTACTCACCGTCCACATTCAGTGTGGCTGTTGTGGACTCCTTGAATCTCCCGAGCTGTGTATCAGTGATGTGGCATCTCCAGATTCCCGCATCGTCGTCCGTCACGTTCTCGATCGTCAGAACACCATAGAAGACGTGATAGCGTTTGTCCTTTCTCGACGGAGAGCTCTGCGCATTGCAACATGCGCACACACGCGTGCGCGTGAACACACACACACACACACACACACACACACACACACCATGGAGCACACCACCGTTGTGTTCTGACAATGGATGCTGGGAGTGCAATGCCTAAATCATTTTGTTCTAGAAATTTCAAATACCCATGAATTGTGACAACAGCAGGCACTGGGCACGACATCCGCATAGCGTTCACAAGAAACTTCACAAGTTTATTCCTTGAAAACATCCACCGTGCACTACCGTCGTGTTCATAGACCGTCTCGAAGTCTTGTCTCGCAAATAAGCTCTCGCTACTTACAACATACGCTCTCGCTACTTACAACATACGCGCCGTTCTTGTACCAGTAGTAGATTGGTCGGCGTGACGACACAAAGCTGGTGCAGGTCATCGACGTCGTCTGTCCACGCGTAACCGTGTTCTTCTGCAGGAGTACCCTGGGCGTGCGGTCATCTGTCAAGTCCGCACATCATGAACAAGACCAGCGGAAACAACGATCAAGATCTTGACAGGACAGCGCGGACTTCCGATTCACTTGCAAACAGAAAGCCAGACTTCGTATGGATCCATACACGTTTGGGTGGTTTTCCTTCACAGCATAGTGACACATCCATTGCAATTTGGTAGTAACTGGACTGAAGTCGTTATTATTTTTTGTTGAATTCAGACGTGATTTCAAGCCCTCCTAGAGTTGCTACTCAGAGATTCAATCTTCAGACAACTAGTTCCGAATGGCTTCTTGTCTTGGGTGCTGTGTGTGTGTGTGTGTGTGTGTGTGTGTGTGTGTGTGTGTGTGTGTGTGTGTGTGTGTGTGTGTGTATGTGTGTGTGTGTGTGTGTGTGTGTGTGTGTATGTGTGTGTGTGTGTATGTGTGTGTGTGTGTGTGTGTTTGTGCGTGTATGTGTGTGTCTGTGTTTATGTATTCTGTGTGTGTGTGTGTGTTTGTGAAGGCTCTGAGCCTAGCACATTGAGTACTGCTCCCGGCACTTTCCCTACTTTCCTAAAGCTCCAAGTAAGCACATGGCCAAAGAGATTGCTTACCACACAGTTCTGTACGCGCCACGGCGTCGAATGGCTGACCAACCAGGTCACTCGGTGCTGAACAGAACGGCGTGAGAAAGTGCGGCTCTCGGTTCGCGGCGTCCGTCAGCAGCCAGTGCAGCCACAGAGAGTAGCAATCGCAGCTGAACGGATTGCCGATCAAGTCAAGAGATCTGCACGCGCAGAGACGGACCATTCAACAACAACAAACGGTGTTGAAATTAGAAAAAAGGATAGGTACAATAATACAATGTATGTCATGTGGTATGAGCCTTCATGATGGTATCATCCCATAGATGTGGATGTGGAGAATTCAGTCAGAGTCAGTCCCACGTGAACCGTATACTGTATATAAAAAGTCAACAAATATTCGGCGCATATTTATTTTCGGCTATTTTTGGCCCGGTCGTGTTTGGCCGAAATTTTGTTCTGCAAGGTTCAGTGTGACAGTGTACACAGCCTTTTTACAGGCGAGAGCAGTACAGGCCGACAATTTGGTGAGGCCGAAATTTGAATGGGCGGAAAATTTGTCGACTTCAAAGTACAGTACGGTTTATGAGTGTGATGACCTGCTAGTACATGAATGCAGTCATATACTGCGCGCGAAATGCTACTAAGACTTAGCACTTAGTACTATAGTAGTAGGTAAAACGAGATCACAACTGACTTGACACTTTGACCATACTGGTCTTCTTCCCCGAAGCCCATGAGCGCTTCTCTACTGCTGTGCAATGATCTAGTCACTTTTTCATATGTGCTCCTTTTTTTGATAGGATCCGCCGAACAAGTGCAGAAGTAGGTGAATTAAATCCAATGACTCCCAGACGATATTGAAAAATCTATGATTATAAGGCTTGACTGAAGGATAGATCATTTGCATAGTTAATTTGTTGATCAAGTCAGCTACAGAGCCTTGGCCCCTCTTATCTCATGACCATACGAGACAGCCATGTCGGACCTTCCGACTCCACTCAATCCCTGCATCTATGGGTCACCTGATATCGGCTATGCAGGCTCCAACTCCACTCAGTTCATGCACCGATGTGTCACATGACGTCGGTGGCCGTGTTGGTTCCAACTCCACTCAACCCCTGCATCTGCGGGTCACATGATATCGGCCCCGAAATGGCTCCAACTCCAAATCATCCCTGCATCAATGGGTCACATGACATCGGTGGGCATGCTGGTTCTACTCAATCCACTGTCCACCTGGCCTGAGCACTTTCTAGAACGTTTCTACACAAATGCAGTCACATGACCGCAGTCACATGACCGCAGTCACATGACCAATGTGTGGAGCCACCGTGTACTGGGGAAAACCCCCAGAATTTCCTCGAGTCACTTACAGTTTAGCAATGGTGGTGTTGGGAAGGAGGAAGAATGACTCCGGAGATAGACGTGTCAGTTGGTTGTTGCCCAATTGCCTGGCAGGGTGTGTGAACACAGACAGGTGAAGAAAGCGTAAGTGTGCAGTGCATCACATTATTCCAGAAGCCAGTTTTTATTTTTTTAATTCTTGCCCGGCAATTCCCAACAGGCGTCGTCGCCTTTTTTTAGAGAGAACCCAAAGAAAGTCTAGTTGGCTCGTTACCGATGTATATGCAGCATACTATTCCCAACTGGGTCACAAGTGACCCGGTGTTCTTTTTCCAAACGGGTCCAAGTACCCCCCCCCCCCCCCCCCCCGGGTCGCTGACCCTGCTGACCCGGCCGTCTGGAGCAGACACAGCGTATGGGGTTGTATACTACTTACAGCGAGGTGAGATGATGCAGATTAGCGAATACTCCTGGTCCAAGTACCCCCCCCCCCCCAGCCGGGTCGCTGACCCTGCTGACCCGGATCCGGACCGGACACTAGTACATGTATGGGTTGTACTAATACAACTTACAGTGAGGTGAGACGATGCAGATTAGCGAATACTCCTGGTCCCAGTACGTGTATCAAGTTGTTTGATAGGTCGCTGTATGAGAGGGACAGACACAGGACACAACAGCATCGTACAGTGTTGGCCTCAACGAAGCACAATGAAACTGTGATAGATCATACCCGGCATGCCTGTGGGAAGGGAGCAGAAAACTTACAGTACTCAGCTCCACAGCGGATCCTCCTACAAACAAACGATGTACAGTGGTCCCTCCATAATCCGGCACCACATTGTGCTACGGAAATTCTGCTGGATTAGGGAGGGTGCTGGATTAGGGAGGGTGCTGGATTTGGGAGGGTGCTGGATTAGGCAGGGTGCTGGATTAGGCAGGGTGCTGGATTAGGGTGGGTGCTGGATTAGGCAGGGTGCTGGATTAGGCAGGGTGCTGGATTAGGGAGGGTGCTGGATTAGGGAGGGTGCTGGATTAGGGATGGTGCTGGATTAGGGAGGGTGCTGGATTAGGGACGGTACTGGATTAAAAAATCTGATTTTCTGCTGCAATCTGCACGAAGAGGACATTTTGGTTGCTGAAAATTATGCTGGTTTATAGAGGGTGCTGGATTATGAAGTGCTGGATTATGAAGTGCTGGATTATGAAGTGCTGGTTTATGAAGTGCTGGATTATGAAGTGCTGGATTATGAAGTGCTGGTTTATGAAGTGCTGGATTATGAAGTGCTGGTTTATGAAGTGCTGGATTATGAAGTGCTGGTTTATGAAGTGCTGGATTATGAAGTGCTGGATTAGAGAGGGACGACTGTACTTAGAGATTGGCTTACTTACAGTGTGAGTAGCTTGGCTAGCCGCTGGAACAAGCATTGCGGCAACGTACGCAGGTAGTTTGTGTGCAGAACTCTAAACCCAACAACAAAGCACAGCAAACGAACAAAACAAATATTTCATGTAAAAAAAAAAGATCAGATTCTGTTCAGCTGTGTCACTGTTGCCCGGGCACGAGGATAATCAGCAGTGGCTACGTCTGCAAGTATAGTATGGTGGCGGTCCATGAAATCCAGCCCCGGTTGGAGAGTGATTTAGTGTGGGTGTGCGCTCCATGGTGTGAACCAGACAGGCCATGCTGTGCTCGCAGGCCCGGGGGTTGGATTTCATTTTCCAGCCCTGTAGGAATCTACAGTGATTCATATACAATGCAATATTTCAATTTGACCATTTTCTACGCCATTGCCAAGCCACCGTGCTCACAGCAGAGACTTCTGTGTGTGTTATTGTGGTGAAAGAGGACCACAAAGATTGTACAGTACTTGTACACAAACACACAAACACACACACACACACATACACATACACACAAACACTCACACACACACAGTCACACTTGTAGAGCGTGCGGCAACACATCAAACAATAACTTACAGTTCAGTCAGGTTGGTCAGCGGATCAAACGTATTCTCATGTAGCGTTGTCAGGTTTGCCACTGCTATCATCCTGTCAGAACAGATCAAAGAAAATCACGCAGAGAAAATGAGAACTGTGCCGACTATAGTAAAACCTCGTTAGGAAGAACATTGATAAGACAAATGTTTGCCTAAGAAGAACTAGTATTCGTAACTGTATTGGATAAACCCCTGTGTATTCACTGGGTAAAACATACGGATAAGAAGAACTCCCGTTATTGCGAACAAATATCATCGGTCCCTTGATGGTCACCGGTCGTCCTAAAGAGGTTTGATTGTACTTCATGTCCCGAGTACAGTGTACAATGTACAGTGTACAGTGTACAGTGGTACTCACTTTGTACATACTCTGGTTCGACATTCACTGGCCTAGTCTAGCAGGACCACCCGCAGAAGCAGTTGTTCATTGGTCCGGTAGTATCATGGCCTTTCGTACTAGCCCATCCCCTATTCCCAAAAATGGTTGACCCGCACAATTTGTGCAAGAACTGGTTGTTCGTCAAAAAAAGTTCATTTCCTGTGAGGCATCCCGCTTGGCCCCGCACCACCTGAGACGCCAGTGCTACGGCCCTGGGGATCCCGGCGGCCGTAAGGCAGAGGACTTACAAGCTGTGGAGAGAGGACATTCCGCTGAACGCTGCCTGCGAAACGCTGCTCAAGTGCAGATTGCTGGAGAAGTGTCTGCAGAAACAGCAGCAAACGGACAGGGTGTTACATGGCTGTAGAACTAGTCCAGTTAGCCCTTGACAGAATTTGGTACTTTTCTGGTATATTTCATGTCATGTTTGGTAGGTGGATAAAGAAATGGAGCAGAATTCGAGGAATTGCCCGCCATAAGGTTTGTATGGTTCTGCCAAGTTCGTTGCTTTTCGAGCAGAATGTGCCAATTTTACGAGCATTATCTGCCAATGGCTAATTCCAGTCACCTGTTCTCATTGCATTGCTCATCCCGGATCTTGACAGGATCAGGGATATCCAGACATGATTCCCTCAAGGGATATCCTGACATGATTCCCGCAGTGAGGTAGGTTTGTGCCACATCAATCCATTTTTCTATCACCCCACCATCAAGCTAAACGAAAGCTCAAGAAGAAAGTGAAGAGGACGGATGATGATACATGAAGTATCCATATGGTCAAGGGAACTGAAAGTGGGAAAAGTCTGAAGAAAAAATCTGGCTGTGACAACATGTTCTAGGGTTGGGATGGGAGGAGGATAGGGAGTAAGGAGAATGGCAGCTTGCAAAGAACAGTAGCGTACACCCCCCCCCCCCCCCCATTACATGCTGAATAATAATACCGGAGGCTCCGAGCAACAGGGCCTAGGGGCAAAGCTGGGCCTCTTTTAGGGGGGGGGGGGGGAGGGGGCACGGCCGCATATGTGCAGGATGGCTGGTGCATGTCATTCATAGTCATTATGTGCATGCTGAACTTAGGTTGATTTGGGGGGGTGCACATGCCCCCCCCCCCCCCCCCCCCCCCCCCCTGTGCCCCATGTGGGCTACTCGCCTGAGCAATAAGGAATGGTACTTACAAGACTTGCAGGGATTGTGCTGCGCTGGTAAAGTCGCCCGGTCCAATGGCTGCCAGCGATGTCATGGAGATCTCTCTGTTCTCGTGCAAATACAACATAAAGACACAGTGTAAGCATCAAAACACTGGTATGTATCGATTCGTGTACATCTATCACACACAATATAGACATCAATGTATCAATATCATCAAGAGTACATAACCCCCAAGAGTGTGCAACTCCAGCTATGGGGTCTGCGACGGCAGAACTTCACATCACGTGATGAACCTGTACACATTGTTTGCACTCTGTGCATGATTGATACAGGGTTGTACGCAGCCCAGCTTTGGGTACAACTCTCTTGTGGTCACTTTGCACTGTTTGCCAGCATAACCTTTTGAACCATGTCACGTGATGTGAAGTTCTGCCGTCGCAGCACAGCATAGAGGTTGTGCAGGCAGTTGCACACTCTCGGGGGTTGTGTATGTATCAATATCATCAGTATTCCTCTCCTGTTGTGGACTTTGAAATCCAGCGGGATGGCCGGGCCGGCGCCCTTACTGCTTTTAGCGTGTACATGCACTGTAGTTCACACACACGCACTGTAAACATGGACCAGCAGTACAGTGCTCACGGCTGCAAGGCCAGCGCCACGTGGCCGCTCGACTTCTCAACGGATTTCAATGTCAACCACAGAACATCAATAATAATAATTATTGAACATCAATTGTGCATACACTGACCAGTTCACAAACGTGCATTGCCAAGCGTTGCGTGCTCCCGTACGGGCAAAACAAGAGCATACTGTAAGACGTGTATATATAACGAGGAAGCAAATCTAACGTTTTAACGGATGACATTTCTTCGTTATTAAGATCCGTTGAGGCCGTACTGCTTCATAATTATATGCTGTGTGTGGATATGGCAGAATACTGCAAGATCGTTAACATATCTTCTCGTTAACCTATGAATTTTGGACAATCGTAAAATTTGCGACTCGTTATAATAACATGTCTTACAGTACAACATGTACAGTGAGACCTCGCTTAACCGCACACGTCCGTTTTCCACCAAAAAGTATCCGGATAGGCGAGGGAACCGGATAGTCGAACACCGGTTTTGTTGGATGCATCACGTGTGCTGTACATGCGCATCTGTAACCAGCTCTTTTCTTCCGGATGGCGCTCAAGGGATCCGGATAAAAGAGGACCGGATAAGCCACAAGGTCTGACAGTACTACTATGAATGGATGGAGCTAATGAAGATGCCATTGGCGAATTCGACAAGAACTGTTCCCATTTCCCATTGAACACTAACTGAACAAAGTCCTCAACAGTGCACCAGTAGTTCGAATCTCATTGAAACTACATTACTACAACATTCGGGTAAAGTGATTCCAAACACATACTCGTACTCGTATTACAAGTACTCTTCCTCTAATTCGGAATGATAGGGCAATTCAAACTGCCACTGACAAACCTTGCGTTTGAGTCAGTGTATCAGTGCATCAGTGCATCGTATGACTTACAATTCGCTCGCGTCCACTGGTAGCGGTTGCGGTATGGCCAGCAAGGAGGCGCGATCGCTGCACTGGACGGTCAGGTAGGTTCCCTCGTCGTTCTGCGAGCACTGGCAGACGTGCTCCACCTCTGGCGCGGAGCAGTTCACCACGTTCACCAGCCCATGGTGATCGGCCAACACCAGACCTGCGTTGGCCAGTATCAACAGGCACACGACGGCACGTACACGGGCAGGTCCGCCGCAGTCCACTGCCATGGCTTACTACTATGCGTACCAGACCCGAATCGAATGTAGTCAAAGTAAAAGACGGAATTCTAAACTCTCCCCGACTCCCTGTAACCACATAGCGATCTTACCGAGGGACGTCTCAAAGAAAGAGTTTGAAAGGATCGCATTGAGTTTGTGGTTGCTGGAATTCTACAAGGACTAGGAAGGGAAACACGGCATTCAAAGTTCTGGAGATGTTGAACGGAAAAGGAAAACTGTTTCTAGCGAATCTACTGGCACTTCGGTTTGTTGTGCTTGTGTGCAAAAGACGAAAACAATAAACTTCACCTGGGATGTCAACTTTTCTTCTACATGTGGTGTAGACCTTATCGCCAGGAAGCGTTGAAACGCCGCCTCATCCACACCCACTAAACAGCATCATTCATGGCCGGCTTGTAGACCATGGCACGGTTCCGTACCGTGGTGTGCGACGTTACAATCATAATCGTTGATGACGCGTACGCGTCGACGCGACGACGGCTAGGCTGGCTCACGATGTCACCACTTTTTCCCATTTTTTCCACAATCTTGTTTTCAGGAGCAAAAGAGTGGCGAGATATAGACCTTGTACGTGTAGATCTAGCACATGTATCTACATGATTGTGTACCTACCTCTACAAGTCATGTTGTAGTCACTTGCTCCGCACCTGCCTTCATCAGATTATGCACGCACATGGCGTGCATCATGTGCATACGTGCCCCTCTCTGCTCCACATGCAGTACAGTCATGTCTTTCTTATTCACTCTTGCCTGTCTTAGCGGTGCGGAATGCCCGGCGAGAACTTCATCATCATCATCATCTGCGTTGCCGAAAAAATAATAAAAGTAAAATTTTAAAAATAATAATAAACGGCATTATGCAGCTGTGTAAGCAGTAGATGCACAGTGCGACTGCCAGGCATCTCTGTCAGATGCCAACTGGCAATTCTCATGCAGAGACATACCAGTCCACGAAACGATGTTGTCAGCAAAGGAAATCTTCGGACGACCACGCTTTCTCTTACCATCCACGACACCAAACATCACGTCACGTACAAGCTCGCAGCCAGATGGGCGGCATGTGTGCCCGAAATAGTAGGTATTATAGTTTATACTTATTGTAGCCTTGTACGTAGGTCTGTGGTTTCCCGTAAAAAATAAAATGAATAAACGGAAGAATCATGCCCACATATGCACAGACGTAGACATTATAGATACAGACTACAGTGCTCCTCAATGGAATCAGATCACGTGATCGTGAGCTACAGAGTAGATCTACTGTACAACGCTCTACAGTCACCATGGTCACTGAGTCAGTAGCTGCGCGGCTGCGCCCTGCACCACCAGTTCACACCGCCAGTGTTCGCAGGTCTAGGACTGCACACTGCACAGCGCCCGGCGTGGCACCGTGGCGTGAGACGGTGACGGTGTTCAAATGTCTGCCCGTGGTTCCGGACCAGGAGCTCAAACAGCAGGGCCAATAGGGCTTGAAAGTGCTACGTCACAGCATAGCAACAATTTCAAAAATTCAAAAACTGGATCCACTTGGATCCAGTTTTTGTATGGATCCGCAAGCACATTTCAAGCGGTCTTACCCACAGCATGGTAATGTAGCCAGTGAAACTGACTGATTTGGCTACTGGGGGCGGGGTTACAACTGGTGGCGAAATAAAAGTCACACCTGCATGCGACATGAGTGGGTTGCTATGCACCCACATACTTAGGCAATAGCAAAGTCACACCTTAGTGGATCCAAAATTAGAAATCTGATGTCAACTTACTACTCCCTGGCCGTTTTGACGTCATCACTTTCAAGCCCTATTGCAGGCTAGCACAGCACTCGGCGTAGCATTGACCCTCTTCAAGCTCTTGATCCGACTTCATTGAGCATGAGATGCGGGAACACCTACCTCTTAGTTGCATGCAGGAGTTCGATTGGACATACATGTACTGTAGGGCGAAGGGACCGTCTCAGCTTCCTCGGAACAACACCATTCGGCTCAAAGACAAGTCGTGAAATGTAACCAGCTCCCCGGATGCTTACCACGTATTTTACCTTTGGATACAATTTATTACAAGACTCAAGTGTAAAATTGATACTGTAACAGTGTAAGATCATGGAGGAGATGATGGACTTGGGCGATCCAAGCCGGCAAGCGCAATGAATGGGCCGACATGCATGACTGTACATGTAACAGCAGCGTGCAGGTGCCTGGTGACGTGAAACGCGTATGCCACACGCAACCACGCAAAGTCACTAATTACTACATTGTAGTAATAGTACAGTCAACTTCGCTTATAACGACACTCGGTGGGGCATCAAAAAAGTGTCCTTATTCGCGAAGTGTCGTTATACCCGAAGTCTCATTATTATGTATTACATGTGGGATGGGACTTTGCTCTGGGCATGGAAATTCTGTCGTTATTCGCGAATTGTCGTTATATCCGTAGTCATTATTAGCGAAGTTGACTGTACATGTAGTCGAGAGTCTGACGTACATGTAAGTTATAGTGCCGTGGCGGCCGGTGATCAAGGTTCTGAATGTGCTCCTTGTAGTTGTAATCATCAGGAACAGTCTGTGCTTGGATGACAGCTACATGTATAGTCATGTACACCAAAGCTCAGTGGTTAGAGCATCGCTAGCCTAAACTGCGAAGGTTTCTCGTTGAACCAGAAACTTCGCCAGTTTAGGCTAGCAATGCACCTCCACATATCGGGACGATCCCGACCAGATCCGGACGGTTGCCATGGTATTTGGTTCAGGTCTCGGTGGTGGCAGTCAATGTTTCTGCAGGCTTTCCCACGTTCAATCCCTCAAATGTTTAAAAGAACCTCAAGGTACATACCGGTATAACAATTGGCAGATAATTCTCGAAAAAGCAGTGATATTGGCAGAGCATACCAACCCTGTGCATAGGATATGGCAGGCACTTCCTTGCATTCTGCTCCGTGTCTTTATCTACCTACCAAACATGCATGAAACATAGCAGTGGGATGATGGTGAGGTCCCCCGACACAGCAAACACACACAGCAAGGAGGTCAAGTCTTTACTAGTATATTATATAACTCGGATGGCGAGCCAATTACATTATGGCGAAAATGGATTTTGTCACACTCGCTGACTGTCTAAGATCTGGTTACGTTGGTGGACAGTTAGTCATAACTCGTAACATGTTGTCCTCCTTTTTCACCATAACGTTAGTATATTATCCATTCATTTATTGTCTTACGCGTTTCTGCATTTAGGCTTGGCCAGAGACAAGGATCCTTGTCCATGGTGAGAGAGGATCCTTGTCCATGGTCAGAGACAAGGATCCTTGTCCATGGTCAGAGACAAGGATCCTTGTCTCTGACGATGCCTAAAAGGTAGAAACAGAAGCAGTACCAGATGTTGCCATTTTTCCGCCGGCATTGTTCGGCAAGGTGCTGAGACTGATCTAGTCGCAAGCGGACTGTTCGCTTTAGCACTCCTTGTCGGTCCTGATGTCGGTGGAATTCGTATTCTCTTGGTGTTGGTTCCCGCTATTTCCCCAGCCCTTCATACGTCTTTTTGATGCATTGACTTTCACTGTGGCTCGTGGCCAACAAGGAAGATTCCATGAAGTTAATCAATGAAGGAAGGACATGAGATGAGTTGAAAGCGTGGGGAGCAAGGGCATTTGCCTAGGTTAGTGAGCAGCGTGGGCTACTGCAGGAGAAAAGGAGATGAAAGAATGAGGCATTGTCTATGGTGGGAAACATAATGATACCGTTATACTTATAATATATACATTGAACATCGTTGCTGAAGTGATGAGACCGACGTGTGATAATTTAAAATTAATAGGATAGAGTTGAAGCCAAGCATATCACGAAGTAGATCTAGCTGTTTTCCTGCGCGTGTTAGATCCTGTTTTAGCCTAATGCTCTGTTTATACCGGTATATGGCAGAATAGGGTCTTTACAGCTGATACTTGTAGCTACAATTTGTAGTCCTGTGAAACTAACAGGACAGTTAAAAAATTAATAATAAAGAACTGTTCCGCGCGTTCGCGGCAACAAACAGCATACTAGTACTTAAACTCACGAATATGGTGAAACTCACGCAAAATCAAACTGGCACTCCGTTTGCTGATGATAGAATGGACTGCCGGGGTTGCTATCAAACACGCATTTGTACATGTTTTACTGTAAATCGGCCCAAATTTGTTGTGATTGTTGTTTCCCGAAGTGAAAGAAACGGTAGGTACAGTTGCAGTAAGGCAGTTCAGTATTATTTTATCAAGAACGAAATCACCACGGCCAATATTGTGGCTTGAATGAAGATATTGGCACGCGGAATATCGGCGATGGGACACAACCGCACTCCGTGACGAAGTCGAACTCCTTTGTGCGATATTCCTTTCCTTGTCCCGTAGTATCGCAATAGTCAAAGTGTACTGACGTGTTCTTCTTTTGAACTGGTATACAGCAGGACGACCAGGTTTCGTATCCCATCTCACTAGAACGGCCGTCTACATACCCCCACGATGCGCTAGTACAGGAGCCGGCGCAGTGCGGTACACGCACCGGCGCCTGCTCCACGCAACCCTCGCCCACCATTGGCGCTGTGATGTCGGCCGACGTGACCACGCGACAGTCACCGCATAGTTGGGATGCACCCCGCTGCTGGCGATGATGATGTTTCAACACCGCTTGTGCTGATGGGTTGGCTAGTCCGATGCTCTCCATCAGATCGGTAGCATCATAATGGATGTGGCGCGCCTTTTCCCGCTTTGCAAGGGCCCTGTTCACGATTGTAGCTGTGGCGGTTTCAGGGCGGAGGGGGTGAAAAGATGGCGGTAGCGCCGTTGGCGTCTCGCTCTGCTTCTGGATTTCCACTTTCGCCTGTTCGGCGACGGCAATGACAGGCTTAGTAAGGTTGAGACTGATGATCGCGTTCCTTGGCACGGTTGCACAAAAGACAGCATCTCTCACGCACACACTAATACAGGCAAAGAAGACAAAAACGTCACGTGGTCTGGCAGAGAGCGGATGGGTCTTGGACATACTGCTGTGCATGCAGGACATTCTACTCGATATTAACTTTAGTTCAAAGTGGAAAGTTTAGTTCTGAAATTGAAAGGCGAAAGCTGCAGAACGTCGGACAATTTGACACTGAGCGAAAGTCGACTGGTGCTTCGGTTTTTCTGGCTCTTTTGTTTCTATACCTCAGTGCAGCCGCTACTTGGGTACAATGCATGTTGAGACGGGGCTATTTCGCGTAATTCCTTTGTCCAAGGTTTGTCTTTTTCAGGAATGCTGCGGTTCCAGCCCTCTCTCGTTCAAAGGCGGAGCGTGGGGCGTAACTCTCTCCACAGTATGATAAACATGCTGAGTGTTGTCTGTAGC